ACACAGCCAGTACCAGCCAACCGACGAACCCGACCCAAATATCCAAATATCAAATACAAGGGGGAATCCCCGCCGGGTGAGGACCCCTCCTGGGAAAGCTAAGTCCCTCCATTGTTTGCACTTCGTCAGATCCGCCGCATGAGTGCCGGCACTTTGATAATAATTAATATTTAAATCCGTTTTCGAAAGCCATTTCATTCATTACGGCCTATGGGCCTGTCAATTTGGCCCTCGCGGTCGCGTTTTGGGAAAAGTTTTGATCGCATCAGCTAATAACTACCGAAATTATTGCTAGTTCTGTCGATAACATTATATTTTATCATATGTTTTCATATTTTTTGAGACTAAATTTGTAACCCTCCAGGTAAAAGCTAGAGGATTTTTTCTTTTGCATAAATAAGCATTGTAAATATGTAAAATTGGTTTCAGCCTAATCAGTAAGTTTTTTAGCAAAATTGTTATTATTTTGTTATTAACTAATAGGGATGTTCAGTGCAATTTAGAATGTTTATGACATTTGGTCGCTTTTTGGCCATAATATAAACAAAAGAAAACCTCAATTGTTAGGCATAAATAAATATTTATATATATATTTCCATTTCTTGAGGCTAATCAAATTTAAAAATTCCATAACTAAGCCAAAAGTGTCTCAATTTTTAATCGAAAAGAAGTTTTGTGTAACTTTTCACAAGGTTAACAAATCTGCTTACTTAGTTAAATATTTCAAAATATTTAAAATTTTTGTCAATTTTATAAAATTTTAACGATGTAACCCCTTACATTTTTTTCAAAAAATGACCAAAAAATTTCTTTCTCAATAGACATGGCCAGATCGACTCGCCTGTTTATGCTGATCAAGAATATATATGGTTTATAGGGTCGGAAGTGACTCTGACAAAAACTATAATAACCTAAAAGTGTATAAAAAAGAGAATATTCACACAAAAGTTAATTTTTTACATTTAATTATATTATATACTCTAACTGTCCCTTTTTTCTTTCTCTGTACAGCAGCTATTTATAGCATAGAATTGTGAGATTTTCCCCAACAGGTTTTTATTCTCATTTCTTTTCCCCGGCTGATTAATTTGATTTGATAAGTCTTGACGCAAATGTGTTTCATTTAGCTCTAACGTTTTCCTGGCCTTTTTTTCAGGTCTTAACTGGCTCCAGTCTGAAGGGCCACCCATGGCGTGGTCGCTACCAACTTTTGATCAAGGTAAAAGGGAATCTGAAACCGCCGCCTGGTCATTTGATATGGTCTTAACCTGCGCCCTAACCCTTGCCCTGGGCCCTTCCTCTCGAAGGGGCTTCACCTTGGGTTCTTTTGATCAGCGAATGAGGAGTCTATTTATAACGAAGAGCTACAAAACCAATAAAAGAATATACCTTTTGATTGTGTTAATGTAACTTCTTAGTTCTTGATAACTTAAAAGATATTATGATATTTCTTAATAACGAATAAAAGATGCCCCCTTTGCAGCTGACTTTAATTTGTATTTTTAGTAGAGCAATGCCACTTCAATCTGGTTCTGGTTCTGGTTTTACAACTTTTTCGAACTCGAACTCAAGCTGAGATGCAGTGATGTCTCCCCCTGCCACCGATTCTCCAAAGGGCAGGACAAAAGGTCACACAAACCGAGACCCAGAATGAGACCCAGACCGAGACCGAGACAGGCGGGGGACACATTCAAATGGTTGTCATCAATTACGCGTAAAATACGAAAAAATAAGAATGGAAACACAAAACGAGAGAGAGGCCATCAGTGGCGTCCCTGGAAAAGTGTCCACTTCAGTCCAGAACCCGGGACCCGGGACCCGGGAACCGGGATCCGGCACCGGACATGACCAGACGACACTCCCAGCATCGCCTGTTGCCTCTTTCGTCGAACTAATTAGCGTGAATTATGGGAGTTTGATGAGTTGCCTAATGAATGGCCAGCCAGCTGGTCGACAGTTTTGTTGACCATTTGTTGCATGCTACATCCACCACCACCACCGCCACAGCCTTAATGGCCGCGAGGGATACGTGTATTCCGGTTCGAACTAGCTGGTAAGAGGAGCGGAGACTCATTCCCAGCGAACGTGAATGTTATCTGCCATAGTTACCATTCGAAACATTCATTTATTCCCACACAAAGACGACTTTGATTGATTGAGCCGCCCAGCGCAGCGAGGCTTATCCATGGTGGATCCGAGTCCAGGTCCAACTTGGAGCTGGGAGCATCATCCTTGGGTTGGGGCTTAAGTTTACGACCCGTCTATGCTTCTCCTCCATCTCATTCTTTGTTGCCGGTTTCCCTTTTAACTTGACATTTATCGCTTCATACGCATTTTCTTGGACCTTTGCTTGTGTTTTCCCAATGTGTGTGTTTGTGTAGTTTTTTGTAAGACAATATATTTACCAACTTAATTGGTAGTTATAGACGTTCAACGTCAAGTCCTGAAGAGATCTGAAGACCAGCCAGCACTTGTGGAAACAAAGGCATTCTGCTCTGAAAGATGGATGCCTTCTCAAGCTGCCTAAAGTGAATTCATTCAAATACAGATTAGCACATACACTGGAATTATTTGTAAATTGTATTTATTATTATTATAAATACAAATTCACATTAGAAGTGTTAGAAAGCAAATAGAGAAGAGAGCACTGTAGATATTTACTTGACAACAAAAAATACTATCTAGAAATAGATTCAGTTCCAGCAAGAAGAAGAAAAAGTAATAGAGAAAAAATACCTAAATGTAGCTTGAATGTCACTAGTTTTCAGCCAGAACCTGTTGGGAATTATAAAGTAAGGTAAGCGGTACAAGACTTATAGGACACTTGTAGCCTTTCCTAAACCAATTTTTATGTACTATTTGATTCTATATATTTCCCTTTACTTGTTTCCAATATTCTATTAACAACCCCTTATTTTCTCTCAGTGTTGCATACCTTTTCTATTTGTATTTTTATTTTTCCTCAAACTCACTTCACCAGACGGACAGACAGCTCCTCGCATTTCTAGCCGCACCTTGCTCCGTGGCCTGTCCCGCCAATGCCACTTCCCAATGATTGTCTGTCCGCCGACCAGGCGGGCGAGGACATGGCACATCCCCATCCTCCCATCCTCCCATCCTCCCATCCTCCTCCGCCATTGTCTACGGCCGTGTTTATGGCAGCTTCCGCTGCCAGCTGTTTCCTCGAAATGCTCCTCGAGATGTGCCACTGGGGAGCAGAGGTGGTTAGGGGATCTCGCACTATATATGTATGTATAGTGTATGGTGCGCCGGGAGGAATAAAATCAAATTTAATGCAAAATTAAGTAAACTTTCGGCAATACCTTCTGCGGCTCTCGATTCGGAATTCAACTCTCTCTCGCAGTTTTTGCTTATACCAAGTAATAGAAAAGGGTATATTCCATTCGTAGCCAAGTATATCTATATTTAAAATGTATTTCTTACCCCAGAAACCATTTTAATAAATATCTGCAGGATTTAGGTGCTATTTAGTACTGAAAATCCTATTGTTTTACCGGGTACCTTGTGGTCGGTACACTTTCTACGTTAACTTGTCTCTGCTGGCATTTTTATTTTTGGCATCTTTCAACTTGTAGCCGCAGCTGGCACGAAACGAAACGAAACGAAAAATTTCCCAACTTTAGCCCAAAAGTCCTGCCCCTCCCTGTTCCCTTCCCCCCTCTGGTATCTCTGTTACGGCGTCTTATTTAATTTGGAAGGCCCGCCGCATGTTCGTTGACTTTATTTGCTGTATGTAATAAAATTAAAGCCCTTTAGCTATTGTACTTCCAACAGCAAGAAAAAATGAAAAAAGAATACAAAAAAAAGAAAGCAAGACAGAAGAACAAATTGTATCTGTACACACACGCACCGCACACTCGCACACACGCACAACCAACGAGCCATGAATGCAGACTCTTAGCCCGGGATATGGCCATTAAGTTGGCCTTTTTACGACCATCCTTGTAGTTGGCCATATATACATCTACATACATATAGTATATGCAGCCGCAGTCGTGTCGGGATTGCCCCTTCAAATCTGACTCCACAAAATGCCCCCTCCGACATGGCCATTTTGTGTTTGTGTTGGCCAAGTTTTTGGCCGGCCATCACTTAAGTTTAGGCCCGGATAATGAACTCTCGTCTGGAGCTAAAAACAGAAAAAGAAAAACCCCGCCGAATGAATTGCCACTGAGCTGGTAATTACATCGTTCTAGGTTCAATCATATTCCTGTGGAGTCAGTCCCTCTCTCCTATGTCTTTTATATTTGTTTTGCAATTTGCCAAATTAATTTTGAAAGCGCAAATCGGAAAACGGAAATGCTGCTCAGTCATCGAACATTTTGCAAGTCACACAAAAAATATGAACAATCAATTACAATTTGGTTTCTTTTCCTTTTTGCTTGAATTTACTCAATAAAATTAAAGAATAGTTAAGAGAAATAGCTGATGATCACAAAAATTATAATTAAATAGAAATAATAGCAAAAGTTTTCAGAGAAATAGCAACCTGAATTGGCAGAAAATGCTCTTATTGTATTTAAACAATAGGGAGAAGAATTCAGTTCATTTTATCTTATTCTAAGCTTAAGAATTGTTAAATTATTTGTTTTGTTTATTAGCCCATCTTTATTCCTTTGATGTGAATAAATTTATAAATGTATTGTATAAATAAGAATGATTCTATTTTGTTCACCAACCTATCCAAAGACTTCTAAACAACTTGTTGAAAATTCAATGCAAGGACTCTTATATATTATGGATTAAGGAGCGGTTACTCAAACAAATCCTTTTGACTTTTTGTTTTAAAATCTATAAGACTTCCCCTGTTATATGTGAAATATGATAAATATTTAAAACTTGACAAACAACTCTTTCAGTAGCTAAGTTGCAGTTGCATTTTTAGCATTGTTCTCTTTGGTTTTTGTTTACAAGCACACAAGAATTTGTACAATTTTCCCCTTCATATATGAATAAATAAATAAAGAACATGTACTCACCTCCACAATGATCCTTGAAGTCATCGCAGCAGTCGCCCAGCTTGAGGCAGGCATGATCGCAGTAGCAGGGCTTATCGCTGAGATCCTCGATGATGGCATTTATTGGTGCCTTCTGGACCACGCAGGACGAGTCGCGGCCATTGCAGCACAGCTGAGCCTCGCGACAGGAGCCGCCGGCCACAAAGGTCAACCGCTGGCCGGGCAGGACAATGGCCAGCAGGAGCAGGAGCATGGGCTTCGTCTTTGCTTCCGACATTGTCGCTACCGATTAACGCTATCGAATATCGAATCTAGTCTGCGGATTTGTCCTGCGAATTCGGAAGTCCTTGTCACAAACACACTCAGCACACAGTAGACACACACAGCACCCCTCCAAAAACCAACTCTCTCTCTCCCTCTCTTGGCGTATTAGTATGCAAATGCAATTTACGCCCAAGAGCGGAAATTAAAACTAAAATTGAATTATGGCCAGCAATTCGAATGCGAATTTGGAAGCCAACAAAGGAGAGGAGAGCACACATAGGACAGGGCTTACAGGGGCACCACCAAAAACACCAAAACAGGCAATAGAGAACACACACACAAAAAAATCGACAACGCACAAATATGAACTCTAAACACGGCAAGCGGAATCAAAGTAGGTCGTCCCTGAACGGAGCTGGAGCTGGAGAGGGACCAGAAACAGGACTAGGACTAGGACCAAGACTATGACTGCGGCTGGGTGATGGCAACCTGCTACCTTTTGACTGTAAATCAATGCCGCCGAAGGGTAGGAAGTGGCTCGAGTGGGAGTGGCTAGTCTGCTTTGCATAAAATATTGGGCAAATGGTGTAACCCCCAAACTCCATGGAATCCATCCCAAAACTCACAGATCCCAGGACTCCCAAAACTTCACGCTCCCTGCTTTCAACTCCCCCAGCCATTTGCCGTGTGTCCGGGATAATAAAACAAAGACTTCAATTTTCATAAATCGTGTTGCCAAAAGCGAATCGCAACAGACAGCGAGAATTTATATTAACAGCTGTGTCAGCGCCCAGCGGAGGACATTCAAATCCAATGACACACAGCGATAGAAATGTTTAAAAAATCGAAATCAAATAATTTACTAATCAGTAATTATAAACTGAGACTATTTACAGGCTGAAGAGTGCATTTTTGAAGCCACAAATTAATTGAAAGTATTCTTTCTACTTTCTACTATTTTTCTTGCCGTGCAATTTGTAAAGTGTCGCCGCATGTCCTTCACGTCTCCACGTGACCCCGAACGATTGAATCCACTCGTAAAGTGTGCCAGCTCCTCCACTGTGATGCAGTGTATCCGGGTGATTTAAGCAGTCGCCACTCAATCGCGATCGGAGTGATTCCCCGGGCCGTGTTTATGGCCATGTGCAAGTGGGTTTAAAGGCGTAACAAAGTGAATTGCAATCGGGCAACGAAAAAGGAAAGGACTCCCACGAAAAGGATGACCTACTCCATTGGCGGGAATTACGGTGGGAAATCAATTGCGGAAAAGAATTCCCTGATTGCAATAAATAGTTGGAAAAGTGTATTCGTCTTTCCTTAAGCCTTAAGTGAAACTAAACCTGGGAGCAGCTTACTTGAATCGATTTTTAAAACTACATTTTTAATTATTATATATAAGATTTCGAGGGACTTTCGAAAGGTAAGAAATATGAGAGTCCGAAAAATATATTTCCTTGTTTTCTTAACTTTAAAAAGAGACATAACTTTTTCGAAAGACTTCAGTTGTTTTCCAATTTGAACATTAGGTGAAAATAAATATTTAATATGAAATATTTTAAATAAATAAAATTTGATTTTGAAAACTTCAATTTCAGCTTTAGAAATATCTTAAAAACACTTTTTAAGAGAGCATCATTTATAAGGATAACTACTTGATGTGCGATTCTCTTTGAAAACTGTCAATCCTTTGAGAAAAATGCGCTTTCCGCTGCCCGTTTTGGGCTTTTAAATTTTTTTTTGGCTCAGGACTTTGAGGCGTAGAGTGCCGAAAATAAATATTATGCGACGCTGCTTGTCTGCATGAGGGCAAATAAATTATTTTGTAAGCGTCGGCGACCCGCAGGACTAAAAAAAAAGGAAGAAAACCCCAGCACAAAGAACACAAAAAACAAAACACACACACACTCATACAACCAAGAAAGGACGACAAAACCCCCTGAAAACAGGACAAGGGGGTGCCCCGAGAAACAAAGCAAACTAAATTTGCGGCAAAAATGTTTGCCAGGCGTGTGTGTGTGTGCGTCCATGTGTTCGTTTGTGTGTGACAGCACGCGACATAAATGTCCTTTAATGATTAATAACTTTTCACTCCTTTTCGCGCGCACAAGCGTTTCAAGTTTCACTCAAACAACAACAAACAAAAAAAGAAGCAACAACAACGAGTGTACAAAACATCAAGGCCGCCCGCCCAAGTTCCATATCAAAATCCAATAAACCGCCGAGCGATCCTTGTCACGTAAACAACAGCAGCAACAACGGGGAATGCCCACACGTGTTGACAGCACGCCTGCCTTACGTCCGCCGAACTAACGCTTTCGCTTACCGTTCTCTCGTTACGTCGCGGTCACACGGTTACGTTTCACTTGGCTTTTACTACGACGCCTATGTTCCACTTCGCTTTCACCACGATGCGCGCGCTACGGAAGCCGGTCGACGACTGTGCCCGTCCGCCATTCGAGTGGTGAGTTATAAAGGCTCGGCAGCGACGCCATAGCTTCGGCTCTGCTCGCGTCTGGTCTTCGGCTAGGCTCAAACCTTGCCTCTTGCAGTTGCGCTTGCAGTTGTGTTAAGCCAGTTTGTTGTTGTTCTCGCTCTTGGCTTCTCATTCTTTGTAGAATTGTAGAATTCTAATTAGAATGTTGAGTGGAGTTTGTGAAGAGAGTAAGAGAGTGAAAGAGTGCAGAGAGTGGTATTTCTAGTACAACTTACTATTCGTAATACAATAGAGAGTCTAAGAGTACAATTCTAAGTGGAGTGAAGAGAGTGCAGAGTTTCTTCTACAAAGAGATAAGCCATGGAAGTGCCTGTGGGATTCAAAAACTCAATTTAAATTAGCAGCCAAATTTAAATTTAGCCCTACAGTAATTATCCTTCCAGAGTATTTATATTTTAGTCAAAAGATTGAAACGTAGTGAAGGAGTTATTTCCGACCCCATAAATCATATATATTCTTGATCAGCACGAACAGGAGAATCGATCTAGACAAGTCCGAGGGTAAACAATTTTTTGGTAAATTTTTGAAAATTTTACAAGGGGTTACATCGTTAAAAATTGACAAAATTGAATTTTCTGAATTTTTATTCCAAGTAAACAGATTTGTTAGCCTTGTAAAAACTAACTTAAAACTGCTTTCCTAATTGCAATCAAGGTTATTTTGGCTTAGTTATGGTATTTGAAAAACTTTGATTTACCCAAAAACTTGCATAAAATTTCAAGACCACATTTGATTTCTTGAATAATATCCCGAATAATTACAAACCGTCTTAGAAGCGAACATGTCGCCAAAAGCAGCAATTAAATAATTAGGATAAAACACAGCTTCGCCTGAGTGCACTCAAATCCTGACAGAGGATTCCTCCGCAATGTCCCCAAAATAAATCCAAATAAAGTGCTGGTCGAGGAGGATGGAGGAGGAGCTACCTTGTGAAATTTGGGACAGCCGGCGGATCCATTTACCTGCGTCAATTACAGCCAACTTAACGTTGGACTTGGCACTCTCGTCCTTCCGCCCGAATGTGTGCGTATGAGTGGGTGCATGTGGTGTGTGTGTGTGGGCGGTGCTGATCCAGGATGCTGGGCTGGGCGGAGTGCAGTTAACTGGGCCTGAGCCCAGACAATGGAGCCAAGCTGACATACTTGCATAGATTTGGAGGCACTGAATCGGCAAGTGAAGAGGCGGCACACGGGGATCCGGCTGGAATGGAGACGGTTGATGGGAAACGGAGGGAGTGACGTTTATGCTGACACCGAAAGTCATCAACAACAATATACAGTTTCGAAAGAAATGCACTTGAAGAAAATGTGATGTATATTAATTGGGAAACCAGGTAAGCAAAGTTGGGAATTAAAAAGGGAAAATAATGGTGACTAAGAGTCTGTTTCAGGAAGATAAAATGTATACTACTTGAGGCAATATTTTTGTTAACTTTACTCTCTAGAAAAATTTAAAATTATAATATTTATTAATGCAATTTCCTAAATGTATTAATATTTATTTATTTTAGATACTATTATTAACCGATTTCCCCCAGTGTGGCAACAGCTTGCGCCGCCTTCTTGCCTCCCTGCTGACTGGCAAATATTTGCCGCATAGGCAAACTTGTGCCACTGCCCCTGGGTACCCATAGCATCCAGTTCCAGTTCCACCTCCAGCTCCTCCTCCTTCGTCACTGCCTCCTCCTCCTCCTCCTCATCCCCCTTGTGGGCTGTCGTCTAAACAGCCACTGCCACTTCATCGTGGGCCTCCGATTCGGCCGGGTTTCGGCGAAGGTTCCGCTTTGTTTGGGTGTCGCGCATTTGGCGCGCCTCCAGGCGAGGCAAGTGCTTGCCGGGAGCGGGAGGAATGCTGAATGGGTGGAGCAGAAGGTGGCGCTGGAGGAGTGACTGCCGATTCCGTATCCTCGTGGGCACCGTGCGTCTCGTTTCCGCTCCAGATCATAAACAAAGCGAACGCGTGCATGGGCCTGTGTATGTACATAAATACATGCAAATTTGATGTCACTCTCTGCCGTAAAGTCACCCATACAGGACCCCATAACCCTTGCCATCGAAAAGTACCCTTAACACCCTCAAACACCCCACACACACCCCACACACACACCCAAACAAAACGTTTCAACACTTCATGTAGACCTGCGGCCATTTGGCATTGCATACTTTTCGGCTGCAGTCGGCCATCCCTGCCACGGGGTCCCCTTTTCTGCTTTTCTGTGAAAGAAGTGCTTTTTCGAGTCGTAAAGTCTGGCGAAAAATATATATATATATGCAAATATATATATATGTACCCCGTGTTTGCTTTCTCTCTCAATAAAAGTTAATTTTAGGTGGCATTCCCAAACAAACACATTTTATAATAGAGAAACATTTGAGGCAAACACAAAATGGCAAATTAAAATGGCAACAAAAATGCGTTGACAAAAATTTGCAGATAGTTTCAACAATTTTTTAGTGCTGTTGTTTTTTGTATGAATATTAATTTAATTAAATAATTTAAATGCTGACTAGAGAGAGTTTTTTGTGGACCTTGTTTTATGGGTAGTTAATGAGATTTTAATTAAAATAGGGCTGCCCAGAGAAACCCACTAACTTGGTTAGTTTTATTAAATAAAAACAGACCTAAGCTAAGAGTAAAATTATCATATTTTGTACCCTTATTAATTATATTAAGTCCCCCTAAAAAGGGCATACATTTTGCGTTGTGAATCATATCCATAGAAGTGCTTCACCTCAGGCAAATGCAATAAAAACAATTAAAATCAGAAAAGAAGCAACATCAACTGCAACTAAAAAGTCGCCCCAGGCCACATACATTTCCAAAACTAATTGAAATGCCCTCGCAGAAGCATAAAGACGCTACAGGCTATGGGTCTGATGACAGCTCCAAGCAGGACACATTATGAAAAAGGAAAAAAGGAGGAAAATTGCATAAATCGAGAGGTGGAAAATTTTTAGGAAATATCAACAGGAAGCTGGCTTAAGTCGGCTTTAGTTTTCAAGCGAGTTTTTTGGCCATCGGCAAAGCAATTTTATATATTATTCGAGTTTGGCTCTGAGCAGCCCCTCAAAAGAGAATCGTCCTGAAAGGAAACTGCACTCCCACACACAAACTTACGTCTAATTCCGGGTACCAGGTTGCAGCTCATATTCTACCCCCCAGATTTCAGGTGAATATAAATTATTAACCTGTCCTAGACGTATGTACGTACGTGTTTGTGTCTGAGCACTTCTACGAATGTGTGCGAGCCATGCTATTTGCTATTACAATAATGTCCTGCCAAAAACTCATTGCTATTCCCTTTGTCTCGCCATATTGGCATTTAATGCAGCCAGTGAAGGGAAATTAGCCTGGCTCACATTGAGGCCGAGAAGTCGCTAATGCCAAACAAGAGTTAAGACCTGGCTCTCACATACTACAGTCAACAGTGGCTAAATATTGCTGCATTTGCTGGGAAAACTTACTTGAAGTTACTAATTAATATTTAAACTTTTTGATTACTTCAAAATTGAGAATACAGAAAGAAAGGAAGCTAACTTTGGGCAGCTAATAAATTTGTAAATTTCTTTGACAGTTTTCCCTGTAATAATCCTTACTGTGGATTAAAATGTACCTATGCTACATAATAGTATTTGCAATAAGATACAAAACCATTTACTTAATTGCTCATGAAAAACTTATAGAGAAAAGCGATTAAATTAACTTATTAATAAACTCACTTAGCTGGTTTTATATTTCTAAAAGCTAGTTCCTTCACAGTGTAATCCCTGTAATTAGAGTTAAGTTTCGAAATCGTACAGAACAATGGAATAACAAAGGATTTCAAAGTGCTTTTGAAATGTGAAACAAATCGAATCTTATTTACTCAATGATAATTAACTCCTTCCTAAGACTGTGTGAAACCAGAACAATGAACAGAAATATATTTACAAAGAACTATAACGCTATAAAGAAAAATCATGAGCAATTAAATCTTAAACATTTAAATTGCGCCTATAAAAATCTATTTTTATATATTAATATCTAAGCATATATGTATCTCTATGATGCACTGTGCTTTGCGTCTTAATAGAGCCGCCTAATTGTTGGCCAGAATGTCAAAAATTAAATTGATTTATTTGTCGCAAATAATGTCAAGTGAGAGCCATATCTCGATACATTTCAGGGCAATTTAAAGCAACTTGACAGTGGCATTGCTGCCGCAAACTTTTAATCAGATATACACGATGGCATTTCTCAGCCTTTCAGCCGGGAACTGTGGCCAAAATGTTTTCAATATCATAAATTTTTAAAAATATCAACTGTCGGAGTGTGTGTGTGTGGGTACGTGTGTGTGAGGTGTGTGTGCCGGTCTAGGGGTCCGTTGAAATTTGAATGTGTGCCAAGAACTTGGGCGTAGCGGCGGCTGCCGTCTCTCGACTTTCAACATTCGACGTTCGACGACAAACTCGACAGTTGCAATTTGTGCGTTGCCGCGATTCGAACAGCTACGCGTGGCCAGAATTTCCCCAGAATTTTCCCGCTTTTCCCCAAAAAACCAATTTGCAGGCGCAATTAATTGACAAGTTGTTAAACATATCTATTAAATGCGATAAATGCAAGAGAGAGAGAGGGAGCAGAGATAGCCTTTAAATAACTCGTGCGCGCACCGCGTTAAAATTATCAATTAAAATCAATTAACAAGCGGTCCTCGGTGATATAAAATAAAATCAAATTTAAATACAAATAAAGCGATGCCGGGAAGAAAAAAAGTAAACACCACAGGTAGCGCAGCGGCTGCATAATTAAAAATTAATTTACCACACAGACAACGGCAAATAGTAGATGTAAAATGTAAACCACATTTACATAAGCACAGCAAGAAATTAATCTAGGATTTTTATGTTTAATTTAAAGCTAGATAATACTGCATATTTTATAAATAAAATAGAGTATATATGTAAAGGCATTTGTGCAAAGTAAAAGTAGAAATTGGCAACATCTAAAAGAGTCTGTCAGAGAAATCTTTTTAATGGCTCTTAGCTTTTATTTGCTATTTATTTTAATGGGGTTAAAAATTATGTTCTTTTTATATATAATTGAAACTATTTTGCTTATGGTTTAATGTTTTATTTATATTTTGTTTGGTTTGGTCTATAGAGTTGGGTTTCTTTAGAGCTTTAGTTGACTCTCTAGAATATACCTTCTGCAGAAAGAACTTTTCTGCAAGTGAATAAATAACTTGAAATAATACAACTAGGATAAAACTTCTGTAAATTCCTTATTAGATTTCTCTATTATTTAATTTGAAACGTTCCTAGTTATTTATACCTGGAAGTAATTGGTAAATCGGTTTTGTTTCTTTCCGTGTTCTGATTATTTGGTGAGCGTGCATACGCATATGGCCGAGCTTTTAATGACACGGCAAATAAAAGCCACGGGAATCGGACTCGGAACTTGGAGGCTATATCCCCCCAGATCGAATGCATTATAATCAGTGCCCCAGTGAAGACATATAAAAATTCCTGAACCGCCACAGAGAGCTAACACAAATCTATTTTGGATACTCTGCAGATTGCCGACTTTTCTTTTCTATTTAGTTTGGTTTTTTTTTCAGTTTGTGTTTTTATTTTTTATTATTTCTCTTCTTTTTTTGTGAAATTTTAGATTGAGGAACCACTGTGCTTTTGGGCGGGTCTTTTGGGGGTGTTTCTTTGTTATGTTTTCGGTTTTTATTTATAACGAGCGCAATGTGCGCTCGGCGATATTCAAAAGCGTCGCCGCCTATAAATAAATCGGATATGAATGAATCCAATATATACATATATGCAGGCATTCAGAGAGAAAACCAGAAATATGGATATTGATTTTAGCCACGCGAATGGGCCATGAATCATTATCCGATCGGTAGAGATGATATATGGATTTGGTTATCCGCATAAACTATTCAAATAAATCAAAGAAATTGGGGATCAGTAATGGTTGCTTATTAGAAAATTATAGGGAATATTTTAAATATAAAGCTTATAAACAAATTGCTGATACCTTAACTATTTATCAGTTTGTTTTTGGTAATTTAAGCTAAGGTTTTCTAAGTATAAATACTTGTTGAATGCATAGAGAATAGCTCTGTTTATGGATTAAATGCATTTCAATTTATTTATACTGCCCAGAAGTATGCACTCGGATATTTGTTAAATATATATTCCATACATTATTCAGATATATTATGTATATATTTTATAGAAGAAAAGAAAGCTAAAAACTATAGTTAAAAATTGATTTTTGTTTACATGATTTATGCCTAGAACAAGCCCAAGATTCTTTTCTATATTCATGCCGTATTAAAGATAATTCCAGTTTAAATAACTTGACAATTAACTAAGCTTTTAAGGACATCCCAGAACACCTCAAAATTAAGAGGCACACCCTCTTAGACAGGTGCAAATTAGTTAACTTGATGCAATGTTTAGGGCCACCTTCGAGATGGCAACTAAAAGCCATCATCAGTTTAAATAAGTGGCTAATGGAGGGCATGTTGATCGATTGAGACACCTCAATGAGGGTGTGCGTGTGTGTGAGTGTAGAGGTGGGATGAAGCACCTGTTGCGGCCAGCTGAGTGGCATTTAATTGCCAGCTGTTGACAAGGTGGGCGTTGGGTGCTCTTCTGACCAAACCAAACCAAACCGAACTGTTGATTAATGAGCCAGAGCAGGGGACAGCAATTAGAATACAATTAGCAGTGGACGTCACTAATGAGCGCTCTTGTCTTCCGTTCTTCTCTCTTCCGTCTTCCTTCCGCTGCAGCCCCATCATCATCACCGGAATGGTGGCCACAGGACATCAGCCAACAACAACAACAACAACAACAGTCGACAGAAGGACCAGCAAAGGCAGCCCAAGGAGGAGAGTCCTTCACCGGAGCAGGCTCTACCCTATCGCATTGAAAAATCCGAAATATATGGAAGATATCTGGTGGCCAGCCGGCAGCTAGAACCCGGTGAGCTGCTCATCACCGAGGAGCCTCTGGCCATTGGTCCCTGTGTGAGTGGTGATCCCGTCTGTCTGGGTTGCTATCAACCGGTGTCTCTGGCCTCGGATCAATATCGTTGTCCCGCCTGTGCCTGGCCAATGTGTGGCCCCAGTTGCTCCGGTTTGGGTCATCGACATGGACACACGGCCGCCGAGTGTCAGTTGTATGGAGAGCGTAAAGCGGCGGCAGGGGAACTGCTCACGGATCGAGCCGGTCCGGCGGAAGTGCGTGATCTTTACGAACTGGTAATGATTGTGCGCATCCTGCTGCTGCGCCAGCACGAACCGGAGCAGTTCCAGCTGATAGCCCGGATGGAGTCGCACACGGAGGAGCGGCGCAAGAATGCTGTGCTGTGGCAACACTACGAGGAGAAGGTGGTTAAGCGACTGCATCGGGACTGGCAGCTGGAGGATTTGCCCGAGGAGCAGGTGCACGAGGTGTGCGGCATTCTGGATGTGAATTGTTTTGAGATCGGCCAGAATGGGTCCAAGGCGCGGACGCTATATCCGAGCGCCTTCCTGCTCGCGCACGACTGTCGTCCCAATACGGCGCACACGGATGATCCAGGATCCTACGCCATCCTGCTGAGGACCTCGAGGCGCGTGCGCGAGCGGGAAGCGCTGACGCTCAGCTATGCGTACACGCTGCAGGGCACGCTCAAGCGAAGGTCCTTCATGCACGAGGGGAAGCTGTTCTGGTGCCGGTGTGAGCGTTGTGCCGATCCCCGGGAGCTGGGCAGTGATTGCAGTGCTCTCGTGTGCTCTGCCTGCCGGGAGGGAACAGTGAGGGCGTTGGAGCCACTGGAGCAAACCGGTGACTGGGGGTGAGTAGTCAGGGCATAACATTATCCTGTAACGAGAAATATATATCAAATTCTATATTCTTTTAGGTGCGATCACTGCCCGCATCGGCTGGGCTCTGAGGATCTGGAGCGTCTACTGGATCGCATCAACAATGATCTGGAGTCCATAGATGTCCATGACATTCCTGGACTGGAGAGATTCCTCCTCAGGTGCGTAACTACTCAGAATCACACTCGGCATAATATATCTAAACTTCTGCCAGCTTATACTAATTTCATTTCAAGAATCATTTTAGCCAAATCACAGCCAGGAGAATGTACTGCCAGAGAGACAGCAGCTCCTCGTCGCCACTTAAAAGCGCTTCTTCATAAACTTTAATACAATTAATACTATTCTTTGCATAAACTTCAACTCATTAATGTTCTTAGACTCCTTTCTTAATCATTCGTTTGTAACTTACCCGCAGATATCGAAATGTCCTGCGACCCAATCACTATCTCCTCCTGTCGGCCAAGTATTCACTGTGCCAGATATATGGCCGGATCGAGGGTTATTTGCTGCCGGAAATGTCGCCAGAGGATATAGCCCGCAAGGAGACATATTGCCGAGAGTTCCTCGAAATTGTTGATATCCTGGATCCTGGTCTGACGCGCCTAAGAGGTAAGATATAGCATAAATTACTTTGATCTATCATGATTTCTATATATATATTTATATCTCACCTTAGGACTCATCATGTACGAGCTGCATGCCCCTGTGATGGTCCTGGCCCAAATGGGCATGCAGAGGGGGCAGATCTCACGTCAGGACTTCCAGCGCCGTCTCAAAGAGGTGGTGAAGCTGCTCCAAACCAGCCGGGATATCCTGTGCCTGGAGCCAGAGGGATCCACGGAACACGCCATGGGAATGGCAGCAGCCGATGCACTCATTAAAATGGGTTGCTAGCCAAAGGAATGGTCAATCAAAGCTCTTAGAGGGGGAGTTTATATGGAAATGTATCTCAAAATATAAATTTAATACATCATCTTTTTTTTATAATCCGATTAAAAGTGATTTATTGTTGCTAAATATAAATATGAGCAGTAATTAACTATAAGCAGTAAGTAACTCCGAACACTAAGTATCTATGACCAGTAAGTAAATATGATTCGTAATTAACTATAAGCAGTAAGTAACTCTGAACACTAAGTATCTATGGGCAGCAAGTAAGTAAGTATCTATGACCATAAAGTATCTATGACCAATGAGTAACTATGATCAGTAAGAATGTATGAAGAGTAAGAATGTATGATCAGTTACTAACTTTGAACACTAATAAACAATGACTTGCAACTTATGAAACACAACACATGCCTGAGAGGTGGCTGGCAGCAGTCACTTCGTTCCGGGGAGGTGAGAACCAGTTGGGAATCATAGGCACAGATGTGCGAGATTTGTTTTGGAACAAATTAAAGCTATTTAAATGAAACTATTTTGTTATTCTTCTATATAATTTTACTAGTATATAAGTCGGAGCATGTCGAATCGGTGGACTATATATATAAATATATATAGCTGATATAGGAACAATCGGACGATTTATAAAACTATGATCAGTAATTAACTATGACCAGTAATTAACTCTGGGCAGTAAGTAACTCTGAACATTAAGTATCTATGACCAGTAAGTAACTCTGACCTGTAAGTAACTCTGACCAGTAAGTATCTATGACAAGTAAGTAACTATAATCAGTAAGTATCTATGACCAGTAAGTATGAATTATAAACGGCTACAAACTTTGAACACTAATAAACAATGACTTGCAACTTATGAAACACAACACATGCCTGAGAGGTGGCTGGCAGCAGTCACTTCGTTCCGGGGAGGTGAGAACCAGTTGGGAATCATAGGCACAGATGTGCGAGATTTGTTTTGGAACAAATTTAAGCTATTTAAATGAAACTATTTTGTTATTCTTCTATATAATTTTACTAGTATATAAGTTGGAGCATGGCGAATCGGTGGACTATATATATAAATATATATAGCTGATAAAGGAACAATCGGACGATTTATAAAACTATGATCAGTAATTAACTATGACCAGTAATTAACTCTGGGCAGTAAGTAACTCTGAACATTAAGTATCTATGACCAGTAAGTAACTTTGAACACTAATAAACAATGACTTGCAACTTTTGAAACACAACACATGCCTGAGAGGTGGCTGGCAGCAGTCACTTCGTTCCGGGGAGGTGAGAACCAGTTAGGAATCATAGGCACAGATGTGCGAGATTTGTTTTGGAACAAATTTAAGCTATTTAAATGAAACTATTTTGTTATTCTTCTATATAATTTTACTAGTATATAAGTTGGAGCATGGCGAATCGGTGGACTATATATATGAATATATATAGCTGATATAGGAACAATTGGACGATTTTTAAAACTATGATCAGTAATCAACTATTACCAGTAATTAACTATGAGCTGTAAGTAACTCTGAACACTAAGTATCTATGACCAGTAAGTAACTCTGACCTGTAAGTAACTCTGACCTGTAAGTAACTCTGACCAGTAAGTATCTATGACAAGTAAGTAACTATAATCAGTAAGTATCTATGACCAGTAAGTATGAATTATAATCGGCTACTAACTTTGAACACTAATAAACAATGACTTGCAACTTTTGAAACACAACACATGCCTGAGAGGTGGCTGGCAGCAGTCACTTCGTTCCGGGGAGGTGAGAACCAGTTGGGAATCATAGGCACAGATGTGCGAGATTTGTTTTGGAACAAATTTAAGCTATTTAAGTGAAACTATTTTGTTATTCTTCTATATAATTTTACTAGTATATAAGTTGGAGCATGGCGAATCGGTGGACTATATATATAAATATATATAGCTGATATAGGAACAATTGGACGATTTTTAAAACTATGATCAGTAATCAACTATTACCAGTAATTAACTATGAGCTGTAAGTAACTCTGAACACTAAGTATCTATGACCAGTAAGTAACTCTGACCTGTAAGTAACTCTGACCTGTAAGTAACTCTGACCAGTAAGTATCTATGACAAGTAAGTAACTATAATCAGTAAGTATCTATGACCAGTAAGTATGAATTATAATCGGCTACTAACTTTGAACACTAATAAACAATGACTTGCAACTTTTGAAACACAACACATGCCTGAGAGGTGGCTGGCAGCAGTCACTTCGTTCCGGGGAGGTGAGAACCAGTTGGGAATCATAGGCACAGATGTGCGAGATTTGTTTTGGAACAAATTAAAGCTATTTAAATGAAACTATTTTGTTATTCTTCTATATAATTTTACTAGTATATAAGTTGGAGCATGGCGAATCGGTGGACTATATATAAATATATATAGCTAATATAGGAACAATTGGACGATTTATAAAACTATGATCAGTAATTAACTATAACCAGTAATTAACTATGAGCTGTAAGTAACTCTGAACACTAAGTATCTATGACCAGTAAGTAACTCTGGCCAGTAAGTATCTATGACAAGTAAGTAACTATAATCAGTAAGTATCTATGACCAGTAAGTATGTATTATAATCGGTTACTAACTTTGAACACTAATAAACAATGACTTGCAACTTTTGAAACACAACACATGCCTGAGAGGTGGCCGGCAGCAGTCACTTCATTCCGGGGAGGTGAGAACCACTTGGGAATCATAGGCACAGATGTGCGAGATTTGTTTTGGAGCTGTTTCTATAAAACTATGAACTTATTCTTCTATATAATTTTTCTTTATATAAGTTTGAGCATGGCGAATCGAATATATATATATATATATATATATATATATAGCTGCCGTATGATCGGCCTCAAAAGGGTATAGAATTATTATACATAATGCAAAACAAAAGTTGCATTTACATATGTATAATCTTAATGTCAATCTGAAACCGTTTCCGTACCAAAAATATCTCGTAGAAAGGGTAGCGACTCCCAGCACTCTCTGAAAATCTGTCTCGTCATTATTGATTTCAAACTTTAACTTTATTCAAAAGTTATTTAGTGCTCTCTCTTTCTTTTGCTCTCTCCTCTCTCTCATATTTTTTGTTATATTTTTTGAAGAATGTCAATAAACGAAAAACTCAAAGTGCTCCGACGACAACTCAACAGTTTTGAGTTCGAGCCCAGAAGTCCGCACTGAATAATTGTGTGCGCCCGAGAAAAACTGAAATTGAAAGAAAAGAAGAAAAAGAAAATGCTGGAAAAGCCCGCTAAGGCAACACAAAGGGGCTGGAAAATCCGCGACTTGGGATGAGAGATGGCTTCAGCCAGAAGTTTCTCTTCAAACCCAATGTTAATTAATGGACATTTTGGCATTTCACTCGATTCACCGAAGGTCGTCATCATGGCCATAAAAATTGTCACAAAACCTTCAGCATCAAAAGCAGCATCAGCTTATCACACACAGAGAAATAAAACCAAAGCCCCGAAGAGCTTTAAGGTGGAAAAGACAACGTTGTCAGTTGTAATTTTTCCTTTTGTCTTGCCAAAGAAAAGCTGCCCTAAGACGAGCAAAGCAAAAACACTATTATGAATGCATTGAATTTTTATAATCATCCACAATGTGGCCACATGCAGATAAAGTAGAATGCCCCAGCCCCCCGATGTGGATGCACTTTTCACAGCCTGCTCTGCAGGTATGACGCCCCACATATCACCACCAGGAGCAAGGAGCCAGGAGCTAGGAGGATCCATGAGGCAGGAGGAGCCACCAGGATGTACTTGGTTGTGTTTTGCAGGCAACCAAGCAAGTATATATGATGGCATCACCAAGGACATAAATGAAACAAAAACATTATCAATGTAAGGATGGCACTAAGAAGCCTGAATGCTCTCTAATAAATACATTTATTTATACAAGAACAAAATAATAATTAAAAGAAAATATTAAATCAGGCAAGTAGTGAGTAATTTTATATTCCTGGATTCCTTTCAAGTAATCCCCTTTCCTTTTAAATCCCATAATAATTAGCTTATTTTAGCCACCTTAAAAGTTATACATTTTTAAACCCAGTCAAAGCTTTCTGTGTGTGTGTGTTTTTTTTAAGGATTAAGGTTAACCTCATTTGGCCAGCGCATAAGCCCCATTTACGCCTAGAGTGGACCCAAACAAAAAGCGGCTAGAACTAAAAGCGTACGATAAATATAAATTGCATTGTGCAATAATCTTCAAAGTGCAACAAAGTAAAAAAAGAAAAGCAACAAGAACAACAACAATGAGTACAAGAAGGACGACAAGGCAGCTAAAGCACACACACACCTAAGGACACACCAACACCAACACCGAAACAAACACACATATAGGACACACAATGAGATGTTGCCGCATAAAGCCACATAAAAAATAAGAAGACGACATCAGGAGGAGGAGCTGGAGCAGGGAGCAGGGGCAGGAGCAGGAGCAGCGCCAGGATGTGGCAGCCGCACACAAAGTAAACGAGGCTGCGGATGGTCCACGGGGATACCGGGGATACTGAATGTGGAACTGGTTACTGGGGTAGTGGGTAAGGGGTAGTGGGTAACCTGCCTCCTGCCGCCGCAAAGCCAAAGACATTGGCGTGGCACCCAGGAGCCGGGAGGGGGAAGTAGGAGTCCGCGCCAAATGACTCGTAATTGTTTGCAATTTCCCTCTCGCTCTCATTGTGATTTCACCAGTCATTCAGTTGTCCTGAGTCCTGTGTCATATAACAAACAAAAAGCTCGATGCAGGTACCAATTGAGCTCAATATATGTCCTTGTATCTGGCCAATCAGCTTAAGTTGTTGTCGCTGCTTAAAAGAAAAACAATTTCCGCCATTGAATTGCAGCTTGGGTCTTAGTCTTTTTACTGTAAATTGAGTGTGGGTTTTCCATGTATTTTCCATAAATATTTAGTATTATTGTTATTTAGGAAATTAAGTAAATTGCAAGGAAAGTATTCAGGTTAAAAAGTCTAATGAATAGTTGAGGGAAGTCAGGCTTCTGTCTATTCAGTAGACAGCAGCTTCTATACTATTATATGTCATAGAGATATATTATTTTATTTAAGGAAGTTTCAAGTTTTAAGTTTCTGTTTATATATTCCCTTGAAATGGCTTACTATACTTGTTGTTTTATTATTTTTAAACAATTTCTCAATAGTACAGTTGCGTTATCTGCCACTAAAACCCTTTTTAAGGACTCGACGCCTCTGCCTGTGGACCGCAACATTATGGCAGCTAACGGTGAGCCGATGATGCCAAGTATCTTTTGTATTTACTTCAGCGCCACAGCAAGGATGCGCCAGAGATGGAAGCCAGGACGAGACAGGACAGGACAGGGACAGGGACAAGCACAAGCCAGAGCTAAAGCTAAAGCGGAGGTGGAGCAGGAAACAGGCAGCAGGAAGCAGAAGGATGAATCCAGGGGAAGATGGAAGATGCAGCTCGGTGGCTGGCTATCAAAAGTGTTGCTTATTAAAATAAAATTTATTGCTTGTTTGCAGATAAAAATGAAGACAGAAGCACTGAAGCTGCAGCTGCAGCTGCATCTGCTACATAAAAGTGTTAAAACGATAAGCGGAAACAGGAAGCAGCGCTGCAGGGGAGGATATATGTATTATCCACCAGAAAACAAGGACAAGACAGCTTCTAGCCTCCAGTTCCAAACGAAAAAAAACTAACTAAACCTAATGAGAAGGAGAAGGAGGAGTTAGCTGGCTACTTGGGCTACCAACTTTCGACCCTTTCAAGAGCCTGTCTAGACGCAAAATCAAAAGAGTGACACAGCGCCAGTTCGAGAGATTCCCACTGTGAAGAGGCAGAAGTTCTGGACCAAGTGGCTGTCCCAACCACCTGAATTTTACACAAACAGAAAATCTATTTCATAATCTATAAAGTATTTAATAAAATTAAATTATATATTTCCAGATCAATACAATCTCAAGCAGCACTTCATCTATGTGACCACAAAAAAAAAACAGAACACACTAACTATGAGAAGTTAATTAGCTGATATATGTATAACTTTAGTCTTATATTTAGAGTAAGCCTTGAATTTGGCTATTTATATCCCAAGGATAGTTATAATACAAATTCATAGGGTCCAGTGTAGCATTTTTTTGGCTCAGTGTGATGACAATGACGACGCCTATAATGCAGGAATCCCCCTTGTCGGAATGCCAAGTTGTCAAGTTCACAAATCGCAGAATAATTTGATTCACCGGCATGTCCTTGACTGCTCCTTCTTCTTCCTCCCTCCTCTCTTAGTAGTTGTTGTAGACAAACTCACTGAGCAGGGAATTGTTGGGACCATCGCCGCCGGCAGTGCTGGATCCGGAGGAGCCGGTGGATCCCGTAGAGCCGTCGCGCAGCAGGCGATGACGGAAGTGCATGGTGCGCAGGCGCTGCATCCGCCGCTTCAGGTTGCAATAAACCGGACAGCAGTCGGGGAAGGGCTTGTACATCAGCTCCTCCTCATCGCCCTGCTCGCACTGCTCGGGCAGGATGTCCAGGCAGCTGGAATAGAGGGGACAAACGAGGGCAACACACACACAGAGAGGCATTAGTTCTGGCTCTATAGTTTCAATGGGGAAAAGAGTTCTCGAGGGAGCAGGAGCAGGAGCATGCAGCGAGCTGGACTGGGATGGGGTTGCACATGCTTAGCTAGATATGGTCATTGGTCAACACTACTCATTCGGCCTAGACATTTTTTCCACTACGAAAATAGACCTGGAACGTGGCATTATGTGATTGTTCTCGCAAAAGAGATTCGAGCACAGGCTGAGCAGGACAAGGCGGCGGGGCAGGAACTTGGATTGCTCCCACATGCAGCGACGGAAGGTTCCTACGCCACAAGAAAAAACATCATAATTTAGAGGAATGATATATATACCTGCTCTATAGGGACAAAACTCACGCAGCACGCTGTTGTCATTCTCGCTAGAGTCCTCCTGCGTGTTGTAGTTACGCTGCAGCTGGTAATGCTTCATGTGGAACTGGCCAAAGCCAAGGACGCCGACAAGGGCCAGGCACAGCAGGATCCAGATCTTCTCCAGATGGTACATCTCGTGTGGCTCGGCGATTCGGTTGGCTCGGCTGGTGGGTGCAAACTACGCGCTAAGCTCACACCAAACCACACATAGAACGGCGGTGGCATGCATGGTCATTATTACGTATACGCAATGTCTGACAGTCTTACATGTGTATGTGTGCAAGTGTAAGTGTAAGTACACCACTGTGTGAGTAGTTAAATTGGCGTTTGTGCTATGGCACTTGATTAAATCAAGAATAAAATTGCAATGCAAATTTTTGCGTTTTCACCCAGGCCAAACGCTTGCCCCGTGATTAATGCCCCCAATCCAAGCCAATCCCATCCAGTCGCAGATCCAGCTCCAGGTCCCACCTAATGTGAGAAAAACAAGAGACCGGAGAGCGAGAGATTGGACCGAAACAGTTTGTCATAATAATCGTTTCGTTTTTTTCACAACCATCGCAATAATGTCAAGTGCAAGTGTTGTGTGTGCCGTGTGTTTTGTTGTGGCCACTGGAATGGCCACCCAACAATAAAACTCAATTGCGATCGGTTTGCTTTGTTTTTACTTTTGGAAAGTCCATGGCATTATGTTGATTGTTTTTTTAGAAAAATAAATAAATGTAATATGTATATATGGCAAGGTGAAATTCCATGCGCAGAAAGTAAATTACAATTACCTTAGAAATACAATTAAGTTACATTTCTGAAAGAATGCAACGTGAAATTGTTTAATATAATATACCTACAAAACTATGGCTCTTAATAAGATATTGAAAATATTATTTAATTAATATATAATATATATAAAACCAAGAACAATTTAATAATAGAATCGAATCGGAAATCAATCATAGGTAAGCTTTAGATTTACGAATCCATATTTTTATATCAACATTTTTTTGGACATGTCAAATTTAAAAAATTTCATAACTAAGCCAAAAATGCATTAATTTCAATTTGGTAAGCTGTTCTGTGCTAGTTTTTAAGAGGTTAAAAAATCTGCATACTCAGTTTGAAATGTATAAAAAATATAATTTTTTCCAATTTCTGAAAATTTTAACGATGTAACCCCTTATAAAATTTTCATATTTTTGAAAAACAAATTTTTTTTTGGATATCGTAGATCGATTTGCCTGTTGATTCTGATCAAGTATATATATGATTTATAGGGTCGGAAATGATTTTTTCACTGCATTTCAAGCTTGTGACTGAAATTAAATTCAAATAGTGGTCACAGTATTGATCCCAGAATTTCTAATAATAATAGCTTAACCAAATAGAAAATTAAAGCAACCAATTAATTATTAAATTTCCTCTTTTTATACCCTTCTTTAATATTTCTCAAAATATTCCCTGTATGCATTAGCTTTACTTACGTGTTATAAGGTCCATCTGGTGACTTCACTTTGACCCACAAGGACAAAGTTCAGCAGGAGAGAACTCCTCTCCCCATATCCGCAGGATGCAAGTACTTGTAACCCATCTGTTTCCAGTATCTCTTTCCCTCCTCCTCGTCCCTGTTTTTAGGGGGCGTGGTCTGTCAACTCATTAGCTGGGTCTTCCCTCCCAGAGCAGAAGCAGCAGCAGCAGGGGAAAAAACCCCTAAGTAGCTTAAAAGCTTTTTTCCAGAGCTGTCCCATGCAGGCAAAGACACAGAAAACTTCTGCGATGCATTAGAAAAATAATGTCTCAGTTGGTTTCATGTCTTTTTTTTGCCACAGATGACACGGCGAGGAACTAGAATTATAAATAAGTAATTTAAAGGACTTGAAACTAGGATTAAGACCAGGGCAAACTCAATACCATATATTTTCTAGATCAGAAGGCAGAGCCACGTGCCAGAAGGCCAGGCTAAATGAATTGGTAAATCTGCTGCACTCACCTCGATTTGCTGGCTTCTGGGGGACCAGGGATTAGCCCAAAGTTTTTCGATAGAAGCAGCAGCTGCTCCTGCTCCTCCTGCTTCTCCTGCACCTGTAAATGGATAAACAGGAGAGGCAGGATCTGAAGCTGGGATGGAGGCACTGCAGCCACAAGCTGCCACGCGAGGGATGGAAAGTAAAAGTTTCATCTCGGCCTTCTCGAATCGCTGCACGCACTAATACTCGAGGAACTCTGGGGGGTTGGGGGCGGTAAAAACGAGAGAGAACTTGAAAAGTGGAAAGCAAAAATTTGTGAAAACTTCGACTGGCAGTTGGAGAGGAAACTCCGCCACCAACTCTCTTACTTGGATCGAAAGGAATAAGAAAGCGCTGCGTTTTATTTATACTCGACGCTCGTACACTTTCAACTGTCTGAAAATCGTATAAATAATTTCTTGGCATCTTTTCTTTTGCCATTTTTGAAGCATGCACTAACGAAAATGATTACAAACTTTCCCCAAATGACATCGTAAAAAGTTAAATAAGTTTTTGCGCCGGCAATAACAACAGCCAGTGGCCAAAAAGCGACACGATAAGTGCTAGCAAATTCCACGCGTAATTGCATTCGGAATATTTATTTGGCAGAGTTGAGCTCTACTGGCAAACTGCACAACACTCATATGGCACATCACGTATACGCCATGATGGCAGCAACTCAGCAACTCGGCAGCTCGGCAGCTCTCGAATTAGCTGCGTACTTCACCTGCAATTCAGAAATCTCCTGGGCGACGCCTTAATTTAATTTATTAGAACCTTTCTGGTGTACTTTGCGGGCTTACTTGCGGCGTTTGTTGTTTTTTCTTTTTTGTTTTATTTCATTTTGAAATTAACCATATTTTAGGTATGTCAAGTGTTGGGTTTTAATATTACGTATACGCCATGGTGAGCAGGCAAGAGACTCAAGTGAGCAGCTAAGGCTTTCAAATCTAATTTGATTGTTCTCTTACGAAGCCCAAGTTTAGTATTTATAATGCTTTAAAGATATGTAAGGTAAGAAAGAAAGAATCATTTACCTTAGGTTTCAATATTACGTATACGCCATGGTGAGCAGGAGTGAGACTAAGTCAACAGCTTTCAAATATAATTTAATTATTTTCTTACGAAGCCAAAGTTTAGTAAGTAATAATCATGTAACTTGGTTTTCAATATTACGTATACGACATGTTGAGCAGGCATAAAATCAAATGATTTCATTATAAATTCCATTCTCAAAATCCTCACCCTTATACTCTCCCTCTCCATTCATTTGGGGGTTGTTTCTATTAATTTCCCATTGTGAAAATATTAAATATAGCTTTAAGCAGCCAAAGTGCCATAAATTCCACAAACAAAAAACAAAAAAAAAGCCAAAGGCACAAAGGCGATTCCCGGGCACTCGCCACTTGCCACCCGCAGGACGAAGGCATTGGGGACCTGCTGCGTTATATTTAGAGAGCAGGCAACAATTAAGTTTGTAAAAGTTAAAAGTTTTTTTTTTCCAGCGACAACATTGTCTGCGACAACCTTTTGTTTGCACGTGCCCGTTATCCAGTCGCTTTTACTCCTTCACCTCCCGTCATTTTCATTCCCGAAACGATTCCCATTCCGCTTGTCCAACTCCAACTAAGCCACATCTCTGGACCAGAGATGGAGAGATCTGAAGGATGGACCAGAGATGGGAGATGGGAGCTGGGAGACCGGAGACAGGAGACACCAGACCACCTGGGGGGAATTGGTTCCATGGGGCGTGAGAGGGACATCTGTACGTGTTGTTGTGGAAGGCGTAAACTGTATTTTTATGACACTAAGCAAACAATTAACTGGGGCGGCTAAGCGTTTGAAAACTACACTGGAAGTTAAGTACAACACTTACAAATTAAAAATAATACATTAAAAATAATACTGATCGGTAAGTATCTTCTTATTAATACCTAAAGATTAATATTTTATGAAGGCTAGGTTCTTTCTCCACAAATTTAAATACTTTCCATATATTTACCTTGAAAACTAATTGTTAAGTTAACAAAACCCAAGGAATTTCTTATGGTGCAAAGACACAGCCGCCAAGACAATGGACCAAAGGTTACCCCATCCACGCGCTGGTCCTTTTTGGCAAATCACATGCAGCCGGGGAAGCGAAAGGATCTGCCTCCTGCGATGCCTGCGAGTTGGTTACTTTATTTTCAGGACAACCGAGTCAATTAGAATGCTAATTTGTATGCAAATATTTGTGAATTGAATGAGGTTAGGCTGGCGCTTGTCTCCAGTATATACTATATCTGTATCTGCACCACCGCCGCCGCCTTTGTCCCGTGGCCTTTGTTTTTTGTTTGTGTCCTTTATTACGAAACCGGAAATAAACTAAAAGCCAGCCGAAAAGGAAAGTAAAGGAAATTGCCTGCAGCCTGCTTGCCAAGGCAATGAACACCTTACTCTCAAGAGGTGGCTTCCTCGAGTGGCATATGGCAAGTGGAAGGAGAGCGGTCGGACGCAAGGACAATTCATCATGGGCTCCTTGAGGGCCAGGCAATGTGAGATTTGAAAGCAATCAGCATTAATGACTTCTATGTAGTGCAAGCAGTTGAGACAGGCACTTCAAAAAGGGTGTCGGAATATCAATACAAAACTTTTCAAGGAGGTTTAAGTCCTTGAAGTGGGTTAATTTCATTAAATGACAGGAGGTTGACTAGCTAAAAGATGTTTTAAATTAACATACAGCTTGAATATATATAATTAATAGTAACTAATATTAAGTTTATATAATAATATTTTGTATGTGGGAAACTATTTTTGAGTAAAGAAATCTTCATAAAATAGTTATTAGTTTTTTTATTCTTGCAAAGTATTATTCTTTCAGTTTTTTGACTAAAAAGCAATGAAGGAATCATTTCCGACCCTATAAATCATATATATTCGTGATCAGCATGATTAGCCAAGTCGAACTAGTCTGGTCCGGGAAGAAAAAAAATTTTACATTTTTTTCAAAATATTTAAAAGGGGTTACATCGTTAAAATTTGCAAAAAATGGCAAAAAAAAATTTATTTAAATTGAGTATGTAGATTTAAAACCCTATTAAAAACTAGCACAGAACTGCTTACCGAATTAAAATTAATGCATTTTTGACTTAGTTATGGCCAATTTAAGATTCTATTTCCTCATCCGAGGGCATACTTGAAAGGACGTCGGATTCCGTCTTATTAAAATATTTAATATTTAATCCTTAACATATTCTTAATCACATTTACCTAACAATATGTTCACAGTTACACTTTTTTTTTATAACTTTTCACTGATTTAACCTTAACCTTAACACTTTCAACAAAATGAAATTAAAGAAAATCGTAACCATTCACTTATTTTATGCAGTAACCCATATTTATTGAAGCATACAATTCTTAGTCACAGGAAGTATTTTAAAGAAGAAAAAAAAAAAAAAAAAAAGGCTGATGAAGAGGGGAAAAAGAACAGAAGCAGATGAACCAGAGAGTCCTTAGAAGTTGGGCTCCTTGCCGAAAAAGGAGAAGGTCTCGTTGCAGCGAATCTCATAGCAGTCCGGGAAGGAGGTGAAGTGCCTCGATAGCCGCAGATCGAATATGAATTCGCAGTAAGGATAACTGAAAGCAAAAAGAAACAATAAACCATAAGCCAAACGATGTTATATATGTAGCTCTAAAGAAAGACTGAGCAAGGTGAATGCATTGGTCCTGATATAATATTTATTCCGATGGCGGTGGCCATAACAGCTCCTCGCCAAAAAAGAAAACAATCCTGCCAGCAGCCATTTTAATTGTTATGCAATTCAAATGCCACTGTATATATTCTATATATATACGTATATATCGGTTATATCGATAGAAACAACGTTACGAGTGTGTTTGTGCCCCAAGCTCAAGTCCGAAAGCAAACCCCAAGCAAAAGCCAAACAAGTTTATTTTAAAATGCAATTCACACTACAAAATAACAGAGAGGCATGCATAAATTGCAAATTGCAGCTAGAGTGGGCGGATTTTGGGTGCATATATCTACTATATATATATAGTATATATATGTGTGGATATTGTGGATTTCAATGGCAGGGAATGGTGCGAAAATGGTAGTGATTGGTTGCATAACTTACATTGGCGGAAACCAGAGAAAGCAGCGATATGTGCAGAGTATGCCAAAGGGTCGCTTAAATTCACCGTCTGGCGTTTGAATCGATCCCGAGTTGTGTTTCCTCCAGCACTGCGATGCCCAGCCTGGAATTAAATATATATTAATATATATAAATAAAGGTGTATTGTTTAAGAAGCCAAGACCAAACTTATAACCAGAGCAATTCATTTCGTAAAGTAGTCCTTTGTGTATATAAAACAATAAGCTCTGAGTTTAAGGTAAACCTTCTTTCTGCCAAAGTTCAGCTGAAGTTATAAAAGGTTTAAGATTTTGTTTTCAAATGGTTATAAACTTGCTTAACCTTATTTAATCCCATTCAGGATTAATATTGTTGTCTGGCTTCATCAAAATATAAATATAATTGAGTACATATTGAAAGTAATATAATTTACTCCCCATATTGCCTTTTCTTAATGAACTTGACTGGAGTTTAAGTAATTTAAATGTTTAAAAATGAAATAATATTTAATATTAAGGAATTAATTATTTATTATTTACAAAATTAACTATTTATATCAAAGCTAAACCTTAAACACTTGCAATATACAAGTGTTTACCATCATCAAAGAGGTTTCTTTTCATTTTCCCAAATTTAAACACTTAAAATAAATATTAAATACAAAATCTACTTAAAAATTTATCACCATAAACTCCTTATTCAGTTGTAATATTTCCAAGTTTATCCACTTGACCATAGTTTATTTTCACAACATGCTCTGCATACGGACCACAGTGCGTATGAGCAACAAATCATCTTTTCTCACTGATCAAACTTTCAACACAAACAAAAAAAAAGAAAGAACGAATAAAAAGTTATCTAGTTAGAAGAAAGAAAACTACATACTTCCATAGTTGTAATCACATAAACAGCAGAGTATTAATAGCAATATAAATGCAATTGTTGTGGTGCTTTTGCGTGTATTTATTACAGTGGTTGTTGACGCTCCCGTTTCGTTTATCGATTTATCGGCCATTGAACAACAATCGTAAGCACAACCGCCGCCGGAATTGCAATCGGTATCGAAAATGAATTCTGAATCGGAAACTGATGTATATGAGCCTGAGCCTGAGCCTGAGCTTGAGCTTGAGCCTGGGCCTGCCATGGAGCAACTCTTGGTCTCCGGGAATAATTTGATTTTGCTCTGCGTGGATGTCTCGGCGCGATTTTAACCGCGAGTGTGCCAAAAAAAAATCCGCAAACGGAGCGAGCGCGAATCCAAATGCGGAGGTAAAAAGTGTAAACACACAGACGGAGCACGACGAACAGCAAAGAAATGCCACGAGCTGATGCCTGTGCCTGGACCAGTGCCTCTGCGCACCTAAATTGATGCCAATTGATAAATTATCGCGTGCGGTTGTATGGGTATGCGATCCCCTTCCACCTGAACTGCCAGCGATACCTTCTCTGCCTTCTTCTCCTTCGTTTGCCACCCATCTCTCTGGCCTCTCTAATGTGATTACTACACTGGGAAAAAATATTATCTAGTTTGAAGAGTTGGGCTTTGTAAAGGGGAAATTAATCTCATGCTCTTAATGAATCTCTAGGCGTTTCTCTTTCCGTTTCTCTATCCGTTTTCTATCAGTATTAACACTTTTATATCATGAAATATAAATAACTATAAAATCAATGCTTTCACTACAAATGTAATATATATTTCTCAGTGTAGACCCAGGGCGACTCTGTCACACTTTGGCATCCTCGTTTTCCATTCCACGTCTCCGGTTTCATTTTCGTTTTTGGTTTCGTTTTCGGTTTCCATTTCGGTTTCAGTTTCGGCTCCCATAGAAGCATCGTGTTGACAGCTCTTGTGTGGCTCAATCAGTCAGCTATTGCTCATCTCATCTCATTTCATCTCATCTCATCCTCATCCTCATCCTCATCTGGTCTCCTCTCATCCGAATTCAGGTTTTGGCAGAGTGCAGTCCAATGGAATGCAACATGCTATTTTGCTGTGTCCACTTAACATCAGCATAATGAGTCAATCAATCAGGGGATGAACTCAACCAATCACTCGAAATTATTCAAAATAATGCCACTGATTCATACACACCATGCCTTAAGATTCGAATGAGTAATAATCTTTATATCTATCTAAACATATTATAGAAATAAATAAAGTTTATTCCAATATACAATCTTTATCTTTCTCCTATATATTCTAAATAAAGAAAGTGATATTTATGTATACATTTTTATCTAAAAATCAGCATCTGCATTTCTGAAACACAATAGAATCAAAACCTCATATATAATGCAAATTTAAACACAATTATAATCCGTTTAGAGGGATCTAATGTATGCAGTTTTTGCCCCAACATAAAACCCAAATGCATGCACAATTTTGTCGTAATTAATTTGTTTATAACTATTTCAAAATAATCTAATTCCCAGAGCTCCCCACAGAAATTGCCGTAATTTGCCAATCAACATTGAAATAGAAGCCACCGCCGACGCAGTCAACGCAATAGAGTCAACTACGCACTACAATCTATGGCACACAGTACACACTATATACTATATACTTTGTACTATATATCTATATATATATGTATATATATAACAACGCACAACGACCACGACCCAAATCCCAGTTACGAGTGCCGAATCGAGTTGAGAGAGATCTGAGTTGATCTTCTGCTTCTGCGGGTCCATTGGCCTTCAGCGATCAATGTCATTTCGTTTGATTCCATTAAAGTGCGCGTCAGCCCCACCATCTGGCATTTGAGTGGGCCTCCTCATCCTCCTCCTAGCCCACGGATAACCATTCGCTGGGAACTGGAAAAATAGAGAAATGGAGAGCTGGGAAACTGGGCTAGAAGAGGGAACTCCAACTCCATGTTCCCAGCCCCTCTCATAGAATGTAACCCGTCCGCGACTCAGGTGCGCAAGTTAACAGCTCCATTGACTACGGCCACATAATTTATCTTATTTTTAGCCAGAGAGCCACCTGACACAACCCCATACCCCACACCACACTCGACCCTGGGGTTCGGGAAACGCTTTGGCATAACTTTGACTGGCTTATAAATGTCGAACGATTTATTTGCGGCTGAAGTTCGTCGAGTTCAGGTACCGCGAGCTCCTCTGCATCCTATATACATGGACTAACCAAGTTTGGTTAACGGTCCTCCCTCATCCGCTATCCAGGCATCAACGTGAATGGATATATCGCTTTTAACCGGGTGGAGAATGGAGGCTAAATGGAGGCTGGGATGGGAGCAGGAACCTGGTGCTCTCGAAAAAATGACGTTGGTAACAAAGTGTTTCAAATTTGTTTACTACAAAAAGTGGATTGCTTTTTGGGCGGCAAGATATATGTATGTGTGTGTGACCAGGTAATTGGGCGTGGCCCCTGCCCCAAAACTTGCCGCCTGGTTTGGATGTGTCCATTGATAGCTTTTGTGGCTTTTCAACTTTGCCATCATCAAATGGAGTGCGAACAGCGAACCGTCTTTAACTGGAAGTGGAACTTTTGCCTCCAACTATGTCGGAAGTACACGCACATAAACTAGTTTGTGGCTTAAGGAATATATATCTGAACATATATATTTCCCCATACGGAAAGGTATGAAATTTGATTAGGTTAAATCATTTTAGCCGCGAAATCATAAGCTAGAAGGAAGGAAACTTAACTAATGGAACTTTTCTTTTAGTTAGTTTGAAAATACACTCGATTCACCCACTTTTTCCACTGGCACAGTTTTAGATTCTTTTAAATTCATAAAATTAAATTCTAAAATAATGATCTAAGAGGATTTTCCTCAACAAATAATATTAAACTCAATATATCAATAAAACATCACATCTTCATAAATTATATGTTTGTATTAATAGTACATCCTCACCCTCTACATTTCCCATATAAAATCTAGTAATAATCAGACTTATGCTATGAAAAAAAAACACACTTATTACATCTACACTCGCCACAAATACACACTAGATTTAGTTACTCGAAGTAGTTTAGAAGCGTACACTTGACGCTGGTACAGTCGGGCAGTGACGTGAACAGCACGCAGGATAACTTATAGTCGTAGATGAACTCGCAAGTGGGAAAGCTGTCAAAAAAATCAGGAATAGAGAAAAGGAAATCCAAGTTAGGAGAAGAAAACAATTGCTGACGAATATAAGGACTCACCTGACGGTGAAGAACCAGGTGCACTTGAAGTTGCACAATATGCCATACGGCTTCTTCAGCTGCTCCTTCTTGTTGACAACGGTATTCTGTAGATTATAGCCATCGTAGCGACGCCAGCAATGGTTAATGTTACCTGTAAATTGATGTAACCATAACTAATAAGAGATATTGGTTTATTTCTCATCAAAATGAATTACTTCTGCCTGCCTAGGTAACAGAAAATCTAAATAAAATCCCATCAAATTCTTGGTTATCTTTTAAATTTTCGTTTGCTAACAAAATTCTTTAAATTATAGTATATTTTTAAGTAAACTTCCTTTTCCTAGAACTGTATAGTAAGCCTTTTCAAAATATATCATAACAAACTCCCACGATTTTTTGGTTATTAGGTTTTTAATGCTTACTTTTTACTTTTAGAATGGCATAATGAACCTTAAAAACTTATTTTTCCCTTATTATCGATAACATACACACTTAACGATAAATTCTCGTAAATTTTCATATTTCCACATCCGGTTTAGCGGCTACTTACGTCGTATATGATGACTGCCGCCATGATGATGAAAATCTCGCCCCTCCAGCTGTCCCCCATGCCCATTGGTGGCTTCCACGCCCCGGATGCCACCGATGCCACCGCCTCCGCCACGGCCACCGAAGAGGAGAAGGTACCAAAGCACCAGCGAGCTGACGATGAAGATGTAAGTCACTAATTTGGCCATTTCCGCTGCACACACACACACACACGCACGCAAAGAGCTGCTCCTTCCGGCTGCTTCCTCTAGCTGCTGACAGTTGACAGCTGACAGTTGCTCCTTTCCTTGGCCACTTTCTTTCCAAGCTTTCGCAGTGCGTATCCGTATCCGTATCCGTATTCGTATCCGTATCTGTGTGCGGTGTGTGCGAGGGTATTGGTGTGGTGTGTGCGTTGTGTGTGTACGGTGTGTGTTATGGCTGTCGCTTTCGTTGCCGCTGCGAATGTCGCCCCTGCACTGAATACATTTTCAGAACCAACAAAAGTGAATTCGCCTCGCTGTCTCCCAAAGCACTGCCGATCCGCTCGACGGTCCGATTTGCTCCAGGTCGCTCCGCGTGCCATCATGTCCAGCGTGTCCAGCGTTTATTTTTGGATCTTTTCGGAGCACAAACTATTCAATTTGAGGCACTGCTCCTCCTCCTCCTCCTTCTCCTCCGCCTGTCACTCATTTCGCTAATTTAAATAATCAAATGCGAATTAGCATTTGGGGTGCCAGCGAGGGTGTGTGTATGAGTGTGTGTGTGCTCATGGGGTGTGTGTCTAAGAGGGGGTTTCATGGGGTAGAGCAGGCCAAAAACGGGGCTACGAACCAGCTTTGTGGCTCACTTACTCAGCGCATGCAGTTGCGACTGACAGAATCAAGCAAGGTTATCGCAGATTTGACAACAATTTATCGATAATAATCGGAATATGGAAAGAATTTTGTATTTATTCAACGAGTAATGTCAGGTTTTTCTTAGGCCTCTCTCAAATCCAATGATATTTAATAAATCAAAGGACTACTGCTGGGATGAGACCATACTTAAGGTAAATATTTATTAATTTTTCAACCAAACTTTCAATATAATTTTTGGCTTAATAATATTTTTCAGTGTTTTCTAAGCTTTGCTAGAAATCTATCTATCAATCTATTGAATCTACAAGCTATTCAATGTGACTTTCACGTAAACAAGGTGAGTGATTATCCTTTATATACAAACATATTAATTTATAATCTCTTTGTAATGTTATTTTCCAGGTGCGTATTAGAATCAAAAGTAAATGTGTATCAAAACGTATTGGAAATTAAAGAAATTATTTTATGCTCCAATAAATATTGACAACATTCGAATGACAAGCAAAAAGAAAACATTTCTTTCGTTCCAATTACTTACCTAGATGATGTTTCTCAGCTGCTTTTACCTGTCTTGGGGCTACACCCCGTAGACTTCTTTTCACAATGCCTGCTAGTCAAAGCCCTTATAAATTAAAATTTTATTTAGCTGCAGTTGACAATTTATTTGCATTTCATTTACCACAAAAGCGAGCAGGCAAGGCACATGGAAGGCACTGAGAAAGAAAAGGGACTTTCCCCCAGAGTGCAGCAAAACGCTTTGTTAGCGATTAATAAGTACCCTGTTAAATCTACTGAAAGGTAACTAAACACAAGTTTAAAGAGCTCTTTTATTATCAGTTAATATGAAATTTAATTACTAATTAAATAAGATATTATTGTAAAAATGCATAAGAAAGTATTCGCTACAAAATAAATATTTTTTGATATTATTTCCCTAAGAAAATGTTCTAAAAAAAACTCCTTCTATTAAAAATATATATAAATAATCATTGAAATATGTTATTCTCCCCTCTTAGCCCATTAAGCCTCACCTTTCATCAAGGGGTAGCAGGAAAACGAAAAAGAAAGCGACTAAGAAAGCCTTACATCATAAAAAAGGGGGATGCCCAGAAACGGAACGGAAGTGTCCACAGGGACCATGGGTGGGCTGAAGGACGAGGTGGCGAACTGTGGTGACGCCTCCACAATGCGGTTATGCCACCAAAACTGGGTAACCGGGGGGGTGGTGCTATGTGGTATGGGCTCCATGGAAAGTTGTAAGAAAATGCAATGAAACGAAATGAATGTCGCCGAATGAACGAATGAATGCATGCATAACTAACACGACACCAAATGAACGGAAACACACACATATACATACATATATCCTTTGGATATCCTTTGCCACCGAAAATGGAGCGGGACTCGTAGTGAATGGAGGCGAACGAGCAGAGAACTCTGGCCTGAACCGAATGAAGTGTTTGACAACACTTTAACTTGATTAAAAATTTAATAGCCAGCAGGGCAAACATTGTGTGGTGCGTGTCCTGGAAAGAGGAGATCCGGCTGGGAAGGACTCCTCTCGTCTCGTCTCAATTGGATTGCACAAGTTGCCACAACATTTGTCTGCTCTTGTCTGCGGGTTAAGCCAACGAATGCGAATGCATTTCATTAAGATTTTCTCTGCCAAAACTACACACAGTACTTTAAATGGCGCCAATCAAGTCCATCTAATTGAATAGGGAGCGGAGGGAGCGGGCAAAAGGCGTCTTAATTAAAGTACTTGTAAGTGTATTACTTCATAAGGAAGGCAAATAACTCATTCGGTTAACTGATTGCCAAAGTTGTCGACCAAAAACTGTTGACAATATGGTTAAATGAAAGCTTTCTCTGCCTTGGTTTGCTTACCTTTTTGAATGTGTTTATATATATTCCATACACAGCTTCAAAGGGGCTTTAATCTCTTTCTCTACAAATAAATTTAAATGAATTCAAGAACTAGTTCACTGAATGAGCATCTCTATGTACTGGCATTAATTGTGCAAACATTCTAGAACAATTTTGAGGCAGTCACAGCACTTACAAATGAAAGGCCCCGAAAAGCCGATAAACCGCCTGACCCCGCCACGAGAATTGTGAATCGGCGAGAAGCCGGGGGAAGCTGAGAATCCCAGAATTGAGAATCCCAGAGACGAGAGACATACCAGTGGCGTTCTTCAATTATATAGTAATACACAATAATCAACGGAACCCGAAAACAAAAACGCAAACAAAACACAACTGTAAGATGTGCTCGACTATGGGTTACCCAGGGATTTCACTGGGACTTCTTTTATAATAAAAGTAATAAACATATAGTTGTATATAAGTTCTCCTAAAGATTATTCTTGGGAGATTAAACCAGCTTTCTTTCTGAGACCTTGTGTCAACTTCTTTAAAGTAAACGTTATCCTCCTATAAACTTCTTTAAAGTTAAAAACCCTTTTTTCTACGTATATCTAAGCTTTAAATAATACTTAACTAAACATTAGACAATTGCTTTGTTATATTTCTCCCTCTAACACATATAAAATTTAAAGTGATCTATATTGATCCCCCTTACTTCTTACTATAGGGTATTTTTGGTTTGAAAACCAATTGATGAATCTCTCGCTCGGCAATCTTTGTGAGCTCGCCGGAGTAGACATCGACGATCGGAGTCCGGGTCCGTGTCAGTGCAGTTTGGAACACGAAAGCGGTCACAATGTACCCGGAACGCTGCGGAAACAGCCGGAAGATGACGAAACCCGTGCTGGCTATCACCATTATTGCCCTGCTCTCGATGCTTGCCCAGGTGATCGGTTACTCGGGCCTGATACCAGCGGATCCAGGTAAGTTTCCTTTCCCCTCCACCGCTTAAAACCGGATCTAGATTGGTATACACTATTTTCACATCCTGTAGAGAATCCTGGCAAATGCATCTATCGTGGTGATGTCCTGGAGCTGGGCGTCAACAATGGCATCTCGCCATGTCAGCGGCTGACATGCAACAAGGATGGCTCCATACTTATCGAGGGGTGAGTTTCAACGGTGGTGTTACTACGACTTGGCCCTGATACCTTCACCTACATACACTGGGGGAAAAAAAGGGGGAAAGAACTTTATAGAACTATATATAGAAATTAGGAAGAAGGTCTCATGTATTAGGAATGAATGCAGTGACTTTCTTTGACTTTGTTGAGCAGTTTTTATCATAATCTTTTTTACCTTTTAGTATTTGTTTTAAATGCCTCAAGCACATATTATTAAATTGGTAATTGGTAATTTCGCTCAGTGCCTGTCGCTGATAAGACAGACACATCACACCCTCGATGACGCGATGTCAACAACTTGCGACTGCGACTTTGCGCCGAGTTTTAGTTTCAGTTTCAGCCGGGCTTGAGCTCCCAGCTTCCTGCTCCCAGCTCCAGCTCCCAGCTCCTAGCTCCTGCTCCCAGCTCCTACTGACTCCCAGATCCTAGTAGCTTCCAGCTTCTAGTTTCCGTCTCGAGTTCGCAGAGATGAGACTGTAATTTGTAGGTCAAGCCAAAGAGCCGAGTGAGAGTGAGCTAAATGAATGTTTCTGGGGGTGGGGACAAGGAGGCTGGGGCTTGGGGCTCTGCGGTTTTTTCGCGTTGAGGAGACGAAAATAAATTGAGGGAAGCTAAAAGTTTTGCCCCAGATCCCAAATGGGATTTGCTCTTCAGGTTTTAAGTGTTTCTATTTTTTTGGTAACATATTTTCTGTACGCTTTGACAAAAGTTCCTTGAGCGACGGCATCATCGCATCCCTTTTGATCTGAACCCATTTTCGGAATCTTTTAAGCACAAGGACAGTGTTTACAAGAATACCATGAATCCAATGACAGTTTCCTAGAATTTCCCAAACACAAAACTAGAGTTGATTTTCCGCGAAAAGCTGAAACTGTTGCTAAATTGTTTCAGTTAAAAGTTCATTAGAATTCATTGAAAGCTATTTATTTACCACAAAGCAAGTTGGTTTTAGTAAACTAATGGGAACTTAATAAGGTTGTGCTGTCTAAATCTAATAGTTTTTTGGATTATTTTCTTGGTTTTCTTATTAAAAATATGTTTTATTAATCATTAATTCATATTTCTTTACTTTGACTATACGTTTTTTATGACAATATTGAAAATTTGACGCTTAATCTCAAAGTCACATATTTGGAAACTTCTTGAGGCCATATCTTGAGCAAACAGTGACTGATTGCCAAATGTCATATATATTTCGAATCGCAATGAAAATCCCAATTAGTTAATAATAAAACATGGCAAATGAAATTTTTTTTAAATTTTGATCAATTTTTCACAAAAAGGAAAGGGGTTACATCATTAAAAATGTTAAAATTTTGCAAAAAAAATTAATTTTTACCTAAGTATGCAGATTTATTAACCTAATAATAACTAGCATAGGACAGCTTTCCGAATTCAAATTAATGCATTTTTGGCTGAGTTATGACATTTAAAATCTTTGATTTGTCCATATTTTGGGATGTGAATTTTTTAAGCTTAATTATGATCGATTTCCAATACGATCCTAGAATTCAATTGAAAGCTACGAGGGTATATTCACTTGGGCTTCTCTAAGTTTGTTTCCTTTCTTGATAAGTTTCCACTTACATGTTTATTATATTTTTTAATTTAAAATTGTATAACATATATAATTTCAATCTCTTTCAGATGTGGAAAACTGCGCATCGAGAACTGCAATCGCGGGGAGAGGATAAAACCCGGCGAACCCTTCCCGGAATGTTGCAAGCTGCGTTACAAGTGCAAGGAGATTGGGGCAGCGCCCTATTACATCGAGAGGAATACGGCGGAGAAGGTCTAGGAAAAGCAAGGACATAGCCAGAGGATGCCTTTAACCTCACCCTAGAAGCCACTAATATATATATATGTTTTTCCACAATTTGCTAATTTATTTGTCAACTTGTATATCTCAATATAAGCAGAATGTTTTGTTTTTTTTTTATTATTTGTAACAGACGAAAGTGTGTGTTTTTTATTTAAGTTTTTTGTTTTTTGTGCCCTCCCCTTCTGGTGGCTGGCTGCCTTTTCCTGGTTAGTGAAACCGTTTGCCGGGTTGAGCCAAAAAGAAATTGTTTAATTACTGGGCCAACCCGCTCATAAACAGCAATTAAGGCGAAGCCCGCCCACATTGTCGAGTGGCTCGCGTCAAGTGGCGGCAGCACGTGCACTGAGAATAATAAAACTATACAAAAGGGGTTTCATTTAATTAAAAATAAATTAAGGAATAATATTTACAAATAATTGGAATATATTTTGAAAGTTTCTTAAACATTATATGCATTCATTCCTAGCTATACATTCAAGTTTGTATGCTTAACAGCTCAGAAAAGGCTTGAAAATTATAGAAAAATCTTTAATAAATCCAAAATGGTATCTATTTTAGTAAGCATATATATTTTTTTCTGAGTGCAGCAGCAGTAAAACCCAGTTGCAGTTGCTGTGCTGCAGCAGCATTTGTGAAAATACATTGCCACCTTTTGTCGCAAAACGTTAATTAGTGCGAAATAATGAACGTGCAAATGGCTTGACATAGGGTGTGTGTGTGTGTGTGTATAAGGAGGTGTGTAAGCCCAGGTAGGGGCTGTTCCTTCGTTCTTGGCAACTATAAAAACTCCCCTCGCCAAGCAATCAAGGTGAGCAAATTACTCAATTAGTTCGAAAGCATCTAACGACCTTCTTGCTGGCAAAGACAATTGATTAGAGAGAGTGAGAGGGGGAGAAGAAGAGGACGGAATGCAGCTAGAAAATGAATTTTCCTAATGGTTTTTCCTGGTCACTTTTCCTTTTAATAGGTGTCTTGGTTTTTGTGTAGTAAAGGTCACAAGGGTTTTCAAAATCTCACACTCTGCTTTACGAAATTGGAGTAAAAAAAATTAATGAAAATGGGGAAAAATATAGCGATAGTTTTATAGATAGTTTTTTCGACAAATCTCAGTTCAAAAAACTAACATAACTCAGCCAAAAATGCATTATTTTTAATTCGGAAAGTTGTCCTATGCTAGTTTTTATTAGGTTAACAAATCTGCATACTCATTTAAAAAGTTAAATTTTTTGCCAAATTTTGACAATTTTAATGATGTAACCCCTTTCCTTTTTGTGAAAAATTGACCAAAATTTAAAAATGATGTGATTTACCATGTTTTATTATTAACTAATTGGGATTTTCATTGCGATTCAAAATATATATGACATTTGGCAATCAGTCGCTTTTTGGCCAAGATATGACCTCAATAAGTTTCGAAATATGCAACTTTTAATCTTTATTTATTGATATATTTATATGGTAATTTTTTAAGAAAAATGTAAAATAAAAAGTACCATAACTAAGCCAAAGGAGCCTTGATTTTAATTCGGAAAGCAGTTCTTTGCTAGTTTTTAATACGTTAACAAATCTGCATACTCAGTTTCAAATTGATAAAAATTAAAAATTTTACGAATTTTTTAAAATTTTAACAATATAACCCCTTATAAAATGTTCAAAAATTGATGAAAAATTTTTTTCTTCCGGAGATAGCTAGATCGATTCAGCTTTTGATGCTGATCAAGAATATATATGGTTTATAGGGTCGGAAATTACTCTTTCACTGATTGTCAGCTTCTTTCTAAAATAAGAATACCCTGCAAGGGTATAAAAACCAAGGGAAAAAATAAATTTTACCAAAATTGAACATCAAACAACTCTTTCTTTTTAAATAGAACACAAATCTAGTTTTCATTAACTCGACAATAGTTTTATTTCTTTCCTTTCCAAGTATAAGTATCTAATAACTAATTTTCCTTAGCCCATTTATCATTGAAGTCGCTGCTTTCTCTATCGAAATTAATTTGCAGTTCCTGGCAGTGTGTGTGGAGCTTAGGGCACACATTGTCAAAATACTTTTGGCAGTACTTTGCACCATTGTCCATCGAATGCAGTCCTTCCGTCCAAGGATGCGAAACGTAAGGCAGTTGCAACTTGTAAGGCAGCTCGAGGACGACGATGATGATGATGAGGGTGAGGAGGATGATGATGGCGTCCCCTCTCGAAGCTGCCACCATTATTATTTTTCAACTGCTTGTGCGAGGAAATTCGCTGCTGTTGGTGCTTTTTCCTGCTGCCTCTCAATTTATTTCTGGCTCGTACTAGTTGACTCTTTTAATAACCAATTTGGCACAAAGTCGGTGGCAACTTGAGCGATATTAGCGTTGCCTCCGCTCCGGCAAGCTGAGCAAACTTTTACCTGGCAGTTCCACAATGCTGCTCCAACATACTACCGCCGAGGTCCTGGAGGTAAAGGACCTGGCTGGTAAGTTAATGGAAAACGCACACGCACATCCGAGAAAAGCTGAAGAGGCAGCGCTGCGGCTTAGGTTCCCTGTATTATGAAAAGCTCATCTAATTTCAATCAATTGTGTCAGTCGTCGGCGGGGGACTAAACTTTCAAAGTGTACAAGCCACTCACAGAGGAGGGGGAGGTGGTGCGGGGGGTAAATCAAATGAAATCAAAACGAATCAAAATTAAATTTAAAGGGGGATATGTGGCTTTAAAGGGGAAGAAAGTACTACCGGAAATCAGGGTGGAGGCTGGAAAAGAAGGGAGTTATATTAGGGATATTTAAGGAAACAAAATTAAAAGAAAAAAGGTTTGCAATGTAGTATACAATACAAAATAAAATATAAAATATCTATGTGGCGGAATGCTCAAGAATTTATTGCCAGGTAAATGTTGCCAGGCAAATGTGTCCATCAACATGTTGCATCAATCATATCGACGGGCAAATGCCGAGGACATGCCAGAGCATAAAATCCAGGAGGGTTTCAGCCACCCTAATATCCTGCCAAGGAATCTCCTGCACTTGTCATAAAGCCGACAGAGTCAGCGGCTCGGAACCAGCGAACCACTTAATCATATCAGCACAATAAGTCAGCGATGGTGGTGGTCCCGGGGGCAATAAAATTAAATCCTTGCCGTGCTCCACAGAGCTCAAAGAGCACCGAGGGTGAATGCAAAAATAAAATAAAATATATATATATATATATACAAAAAATATACAGCCATAATAATAAGCGAAATCAATGGCAAGTCACCTTGAAGCCAGCTCCCGTTTCACCTGGAGAAAGTGAGTGGTGGAGAGAGTGGGAGTCCAGAGCAAAGAAAAGGCGGTAGTTAGAAGAAACCAATCCAAGAAGGAAAAAGGAAGCTGCTCCTAAAGTCCTTCAAAGACGATTTTATAGAACTCTTAGTAAGGATATAAACTTAGTTAAGAATTTATCATTTAACATAAAGGTTTAATGGAGATATTTCAAATAATGATACCTCTTTAGGGTATTTTATTTATTATATATATTTATTTAATATAAAAATGTATTATATAAATGCATTAAAAGACTTGGCAAAACCACCCTCCTGTGAGCGCAACTCCTTAAGCTGCTTATTCCCATATTAAAAATGGTTTATTTATGTTCCGTTTTCCGTGGGTTAACCGGAACAGGGGCACCTTAGCGGCAAGGTAATCGATTTATGTGCTGCTATTTACAATTTTTGATTTATCCTCCTTTTTGGTGGCTTTTGTGGCAGGACAAAAAGTTTGTCAAAACATTTGACAAATCTGCATGTTTGTGAAAGTGAAAGCAAAGCCTGTGTGCGTTTGCGTTTTGCGTGTGCATGTGGAAGTCCTTACGGCGGTCCTTGCGGAGTCCTTGTGCGTGCGTGCGTGCGCGTTGCGTTTCCTGGGGGTTGGTTTGCTTTCGGGGACGACCTTCGGAGAACCTTTTGCTAAGCCCGGCTCTATTTATAGCCCTCATCACATCGCTTTTCCATAGTATCGCTAAACCTTTCCACCAACGTTCCTTACATTTAATTTGATTGTTTTCCTTCTCCGGTCTTTTTTTTTGTCGCGCGAAAAGGAAACACAAAGGAAAAGGTTGGAAATAAAGGCCCGTCGAGTGAAACTTTTTCCTGGCTTGAGCCCATTAAAAATCTCACGGCAAATTCAATAAAATTAAGCATAATAAATGAAATCAAACCAAATTAAAACTATAATAAAAACAAGATAAATAAATTACCAAGGACGTGCCTCATACAGTTGAAATTGCAAATATGGAAATGATGATGGATTTCACCTTTTGTTTTGTGTTTTATAAGAATTTTCCTTGGTATGTAAGTGATATAAACAAATTGGTACGAGAATCTACTAAGTAGTCCAGAAGCTAGCTAAAAATCAATATTTATATTTGTCTCAAAAATAATCAAAGTTTTCTGTATCAACATCGATTTTAAATCACCTTACCAACGATTTTATAACATATGCTGCTTCTTACTGGACCCTTTCATTTATTTATTTAATTATTATTAAATATTTATTATCACTTAAATAAAAATAATAATTATTATTACTTAAAGTCAAAATATTCTTGTGCCTTTTTGGGATAGAAATTTAAATTACACTTAAGATTATTCGAAAAGCTACTCGTGTGAATTAATTTTTTTGGAAAGACGGAGACCAAAGCCCCCTTACAGTCGGGACACGCCCTCATTGGCATAGAGTTTCTGATCTTTGAGGGGATTAGGATTGCTATTAGAACTACCCTCCACCACACGCAGGGCGAGGTTCTCCTCCGCCTGATCCCGCTCCCCATCCCTATCCCGATCCCTTGGCTTATCCTCCATTACCTCCCCATCAAAGCGAACCTTGGGCTCGGGCTTGGAAGTGGTCACCACCTCCGTTGTGACCGGAGTCACCATCTGACTACGTCTCACATCAGTGCTAATGGCATGAAGGGTGTTGTAGCACCGCCGGAAGCTAGGTCGCTCCCAAGGATCTGTGCGCCAGCAGAGCAGGAGGAGAGCGTAACTAGGAGGCATTACAAAAGGGATACAATAAATTAATAATTCCAAATAGGGGAGTCATGGAATACCCACAGCTTTTCCGGACAAATGGGCGGCTGCTGAAGACGACCGCCATCCTTGACATGGGCCAGCACCTCAAAGTTATTCCTGGCCGCGTATGGCTGCTGGCCCAGCGTGAGTATCTCCCAGCAGAGCACTCCAAAGGCCCACACATCCGACTGGGTGGTGAAGACGCCATCAACAAGGCTCTCGGGTGACATCCACCGGACGGGCAGGAGGCCCTCGCCCTCCTTCCGGTAATAGTCACTCTTGTAGATATCTCTCGCCAGCCCAAAGTCACCGATCTTCACCGTTCGCCGGCGATCCGTCAAGGATCCAGATGTGGACACCGCCGCCTCCGTCACCAGACAGTTGCGACAGGCCAGGTCACGGTGGACAAAGTGCATGTCCTCCAGATAACTGCAGCCATTGGCCACATCTAAGCACATGGCCAGCAGCTCGGAGAGGGAGAGCCCAGGATCCTAAGGAGAGATTAGGGAGGTAGAATCATGAATTTAAGGACTCACTCACCTGGCCACTTGCGGTGGCTCTGGCGGCACGCAGGTAGCTGAGAAGATCCCCGGCCTCCATGTGCTCCATGATCAGCGAAATGGACTCGGTGTCGAAGCAAATCCCAACCAGGCAGACAATGTTCTCATGCTTAAAGTTACTCATCAGCTGGGCCTCCTGGAGCAGCTCGGCAAACTCGCTGGCACCCTTACGCAGGCTCTGGAGAGGATTTAAAAGGATTAGGGATAACCTTCTGCTTTCTGCTCGAGCCACACACAACCCACCTTGATGGCCACCCGCTGCGGCTCCTTGGCATCTTCCGTCTGCAGCTGACCCTCGTAGACCTCTCCAAAGGCACCACTGCCCAGAAATCGCAGTAGCTTCAATTGACTCCAGTTGATCTGTGGGAGAAGGGCAATGTCTGCATCGCTTAGCGTTGTGGAGAAGGCACGATTCCTGGCTGCCATCAGTTGCTGCTGTGTCTGCAGTGTGGACAGGTTGCTCCAGATGCTGGGACGGCTCTGCTGGAGGAGTTTCTTGGCTCGCAGGCGACGCTTTTGAACTGGAAGGTGGAAAATATATTAAAACAAGAGTCTTGTAAAGATTCCCCAAGAGATTCCTTACCCTTGCGCACCAGGACTAGTGCCAGGACACAGCTGGACACAATGGCCGCTGGAGCAATGATGGCCAGGACCAGAGATCCACGCTTCTCTGGCGAAACAAAGGGCTCGGCCACTCGTTCACTCTCCTCACTCCAAGGACCCCAGCCATGCTCTTGGCTGCGTGCCCTAACCCGGAACAGGAGCAACCTGCTCGAGTGCAGGCTTCGCACAATGCAGCTCAGCTCGGTGGTGTTGCAATAGTCCAACCAATGATCCTCCACCACCACAGGTTCCTCGGCCCAAGGCAACTGCTCCACGGATCCATCGCTATTCCTTCGTCTTCGACGCCGCCGTCGGTGACCATTGCTCCGTGCCTGCAAGGCCTCCAGATTGTACAGGACAATCGGTGCTCCATTGCCGCGTGCCGCTGTCCATGTCACCCGGAACACCTCTTCAGCAATGTGCTCCAGCTGCGGCTTACCCGGCTGACTGGGTGCATCTCCCAGCGTCTCGTAGTCCACCGCAGAGCCGGCATAGAGTGGAGCTCCCTGGGTGACCGCATAGCCCAGGAGCAGGCGACACTGATACCTTGTGCGTGGCTGCAGGGGCTCCAGCACCATCCGCGTGTGATTACCCACCACATTTCGACGCAGCTGCTCGCTGGGGGATCGACACTCGAGGAGTAAAGATGCCAAAGGATCCGGTGTACCCGGCCAGGTGAGACTGAGGGAGTAGGGTCCAAGTTCCAGAAGTTGCAGTTCCGGCAGCTCAGCAAAACTCCGCACATGCAAGCGTCCAGTGCTATTGGTCTTTGTGGGCGTGGCATGAGCCTGAACCCACAGACGGTACCCGGTTCCTGGCTTGATGCCCGCCAGGCGATGGCTGCCCGCCTTCTCCAGGCGAAGGGATTGCACCGTGTCCTTCTCCTCATCCAGATCCTGCTCCTCCTCGCCTTCCTGCTCTCTTTGCCAGTGGAGCGTGTAGTAGACACTCTCGCTGCGGAGTCGATCTGGTGGCAACCAACTGACGTCCAGTTCCCTGGGACTCAGCACCCGAACACTAAAGTTCCTTGGAGCTGAAGGAGAAGCTGCAGCAGTCAGGAGTTCCAGAGGCGTCATCATTCCACTGGCCAGACCCAGTCTCTTCTGATAGTAGCTACTAATGACACCATCCAAGCGGTAGCGAGTGAAGGGCAGGAGATTGGAGATGCTTAGAGTATCTCCAGCGCTGAGCTGCCAGTGTCCCAGAGACGGCGGTGTAGGTGACTCCAACTCCTGATCCTTGGCCAGAGTCAAGTTCAATTGATAGCTGACTCCAGGCACAGGCATTGAGCACTCACTGGAAGCCATGATCTGTGGCAACTTCAAGCGACATGCCTGTTCCTCGCACTCCGCTGCTTCCCCTAGCGGAGATCCTCCAGGACTAGTAGCAGGTGCTGGCAACAGGAGACAGCTCTTGGAAGGGTAGGCCTGGTAGTTATGGGCCTGCAGCAGACGCACTTCCTCCGGCTCCAGCTCCACCATATACTCCAGCTGCTGTCGCCGCCGGCCATAAGCCCGAATGCTGCCATTCCTCAGAGTGTAAAGGTAACCCGAGTCCTGGGCCAGCTGTCCCGAGATGGAGTCATCGCCCAGCAGACCCAACTGCGCACGCAGAGCACTGCTGGCCGTGCACAGCTGCCGGGCCACATCGTAGACACACAACCTACCCTGCTGATCCACCAGATTGAGGGTTTCTCCACCAGGTTCCAGGCTCCCGGCATGCAAACGGATCAAAGGTTGGACCGTCGTCCCCAACTGGAGCTCAGTGCCATCGGTTAGGTTCCTGCCACGCAGCGAACCATTCCTGGGCAGCTCCTGGTCATACTCCAGCCAGACCAGAGATCGGGCATTGGGCAGGGCCACCAGATCCCTTAGCAGGCGACCCCTGGGCGTGCTCCACAACCTCTGGCCTTGCAGGATCTTGCCCTCAAAGTGACACAAATTCAGGCCATAGATCACCGCCGCTGGTGCCTGCGGTGCCTGCGTGGCATCCAGTTCCGCCCAGTAGACGATGCGCTGCACCCAGTCCACGGCCAGGGCCAGGACCTCAGCTCGCATCCTTGCCAGCTTGGCTGGAGCTGCGCCCGGCACATGGGTCAGCAGCTCCACGTGCTCGTTGACCCACAGCAGCCGCTGTTCACCCTCCATTACCGCCAGATGCTCCACTGGACTGGCCGTGTGCACCAGTCGCCGACGACTCCTCGTGTCTAGGTCCAGCTCCCCAATGAACTCCGCATTGGCGTACAGGATCCTTGGCACAGCCTGCACCTCGGGGGCTACGTGAAGGGCATGGCTTGCGGCTCCCGCGGCAACTCCTGTGGCGGCCACACGAGCCTCCACCTGGAAGTGGTAGGTCTGGTCCGGCTGTAGGTGCTCCACGCGTGCCTCCAGGGCACTCTGGTTGAGGCGCAGCTCCTCGTGCAGCTCCGTGCCCAGCCAGCAGCTGATGTGGTACTCCAGCGCCTGGGCAGGTGCTTCCTGACCCTGGCCCTGCTCGGGAGTGTCCCAGCGGAGAACCGCGCTCACATTGGCCTCCAAGAGGGGGGCCGACAGACGCTCCACGAACACCCGCAGGCGACGAGGCTGTGTGGGTGCCGCCGGAGGAGTAGTAAGCTGGACACGAGTGGTGACACCACTTCGCCAGGCGGTGCGCGGCGTGATGCTAATCTTCAGCTGAAGCTGAGCCTGTGGCAGCTGGGTGAGCCGGGCAAAGGGAGTGGTCAGATCGAGGGTCTGCAGACGCTGGCCAAACTCCAGGAGCACCCGATACGAGACACTGTGGTTGCCCGCCGACGTGGAGGGTTGCCAGCGGACATGGAAGTCATCCCAGTGGCCATCATCCAGGCGCACGGTATCTGGAGCCACCGTCAAAGGCACCACACCGCTGTCCGGAGCTGGAGGAGATTGCTGATCCAACAGCTGCAGGGCAGAGGCCGGAGAGGCTTCCTTCGGCGCCGGCAGCTCCATGGCATCCTGAGGCGACGTGAGGCGAACCAAACGCGCCCTTCGTCCACTCTGCTCTAGCCAGAGAAGAGCGCCCAGCGGTCTCAGCAGCTGCAGGCTCTGCGGGATGACCCTCTGGCCGCCAGTCACACCCTTAACCTGCCGCAGGAGCTGAGCTCCATTGTTGCTGGCGCCTCCTCCAGGGGCCAAGGGAGCCTGGTACAGGCGCAGGGCCGAGGCAGAGGCACTGCCCACCAGCCAGTAGAGCTGCTCCTGCTGTGTGTCCAGCACGAAGGAGGCAATACTACCCTCCAGTCCACTCACCCGATAGTAGGACACCGCCTCTTCGGGCGTGGCTCCGTGCCGAGCCAGCTGAGAGCCGGTGGCATAGTAGAGATGACCCTGCCGTGAGTCCATGGCCAGGGAGCGAGCCTCAAAGATGGGCAGCAGGTCACGTCGTCCCGACCAGGGATCCATGCGCACCACACAATTCCTGGCCAGATCCGTCCAGTACAGTCGACCTCCTCGCCAGTCGTATGTCACAGCGCCCACATGACGCAGTGGCTCTGACATGGGACAACCTGCTCCTGCTGCTCCTGTCTGGCTGTGGAGCAAATTGACGCAGTGGAGCAGTCCAGCGCCTCCACTGACGTAGTAACCGATGCTCTCATTGACCATGGTCATGGCTCCGGGTTGATCCTCCAGCCGCTGTGCCAGCAACTCTGCCCGCTCGCCCAGTTCGTCGGTGACGAGGAGTCTGCCGCCATTCCGACTGGCCCAGCGCAGGCGATGTGGTCCCAGCGGCCAGGTGCGAGCCGCCAGCGGAGCTGTCCACTCTCCAGGCTCTCCGCCATCGGCACTTATGGCTCGAACTCGCAGCTGGTAGAGATTGTCCGGCTGGAGGCGCTGCAGGCCAAAGAAGGGTCCACGGATATTCCGGATGCTAAAGGCACTCTGGCTGGCCACGTCCAGGACCTCCAGTTCGTAGCTCCAGCCGCGAGCCATGTCCGTTGATTGGTAGGGATTACGCGTTGGCTCCCGCCAGAAGATCTTCGCCGCCTGAGCTCCCAGTCGAGCCCTAAGACGATGGGGTTTGCCTCCGCCGGCTCCAAAGCTGGCTAGGGGTTGGGTATCCGCCACCAGGAGCAGCACTGCCCAGCAGTCAGGCAGGCTCTTCAAGGGCCACATGGCAGCCAGAGCTCCTCCAGGCTGGCCACCAGCCATTAGAACTAGGTTATCCTTTTCAGGCAGCAACCACGAGCTGCCCAGCATGGCAAAGCTTGCCCAGGCAAAGGAGGAACCATTCCGAGGCAGGGACAGCGACAGGGGATGCTTGAAGCCCCCATCATAGCTCAACTCCAGGAACTTATCCTCCGCCTCCTCCTCCTGGGGCAACAGTAGACGGATGAGCCAGTGCTGTGGCCGCAGGACAAACCATCCCGGCTGCCTGATCCTAAGCAGACGATGCCGATGTCCACCATGCAGATCCTGACGCCACAGGCCCTCCTCATCCCGCCAGAAGAGCCAGCCATTTAGAGCATCCACCTCCAACTGTTCCACGGGTAGGTGAAGAGCTTCGCCAAGTGTGACCGCTGTGCTGCCCTCTAGATCCGTGCTGATCAGCTGTGAGTTGGATTGATTCCCTCCAAGGGGATCCATGGCAAAGTAGAGACGCTGATGCTGCCAATCGTAGGTCAGGCGCCGGGGTATCCATTGTTCTTCTTTGTTTGTGGAGATATTACCCAAATCCAGTTGCAGTTTCTGAACAGGACTCATCATCTGTCCAGCTTCCACCTTCATGCTGTAAAAAGTGAAAGGATAAAGGATTAAAGGAAGAGAAGTAGAGGTAGAAAAAGCTACCTGCGCAACTCCCCATGCACATCCAGGAGCCACAGCTGCTGATCCTGCTGTGACCAGGCCACATCGGCTAGCTCCTCCTGCGACTGATAGATCGTGGAGCTCTCTCCAGCCGGTTCCAATGACTGCCAGACAATCCTCCTGCGTCCCACCAGGAGCACAGTCTCCGTGAGATCCTTCACCGGCTTCTCAGGCGGCAGAGACTGCGTCTCAGCCCAGGCCTTGGCCGCTGGACCCTCGCCCTGCTTGTTGATCATTGTCAGCTCCAAAGTGTAGTTGGTACCAGCCAGGAGATGGGCAAAGATATGACTGCCATGGGAAACTGGAACCAACTGACCCCTCAATGAGATTCGGTTAAAGGGAACTCTAAGATCTTGAAAGGATTATGAACACTCACCTGTTCCTGGCTACGATTTCCCTCGCAGCTCAAATGCAGCCTATAACCCTCGATGGGTCCATTGGTAAAGCGTCCAGGATGCCAATGCACTGCCAGATGTCCATCATCCAAGGCCAGCAGATGCTCAATGACTGGTGGCGAGATGGGGGCACCTTCCGGCGGTGTTTGATAAGCGGGCGTGGGCGGAGAGTAAAGCACCTCGTCACTGTCCTCGCCAAAGGGCAGCTCGAAGCGGAACTGCATCAGGAGAAGGTTCTAGTAAGAATGGAAACTTTGTAATTCCGAACTCCAAACTCACCCTGTACTGAGTGTAGGGTATGAGAGTCTCCAGAATCTCACAGACATAGTACTCGTCGCAGTCATAGTCCGCCAGGTTGAACCAGGTGCTGGTCTCTTGTGATACCCGATCCTGCTCCAGTTCCTGCTGCTCTTGATCCTGCTCTTCTGGATCCTCTTCGTCTCCCTGGTGATCCACATACTGATATTGTATATTAAAGGGTCTGCTGGCCAAATAATGCTCTGGAAAGTGCATGGCCCAGCGTATGGTCAATGGCGGTGTCTGTCCATCGGGACGTGGAGCCCGCTCCAGCTGTGGTTGTGTCCGCTCCACCATGGAGCTAATGGCCAATCGCTGGAGGTGCCAATAGTCACGCTGAGCCATCTCACAGGCACCAATGCAGGGCATATCATAGGGCTGGAATTGCAGGGATTGCTGCCAGGAGAGAGGAAGATCAGGATTAGAGTAAAGATGGAAGCAAGGATTAAGTTCTAAAACTTACACAGGCCTCCTGGCAGGGCTCCAGCTCCTTGAGGGCACGATACCACTGAGCACAGCCCTTTGTGCACTGGACAAAGCAGGGAATTCAAACAGAAAGAGATTGGAATTTAATAAAATAATAAATTAATGGTAAATAATATTCCTAATCTTGCCCTTATTTTATTTTGATTCCAATCCCCTTAGCTTTATCATTCGTTATTTAAAATTGAGAAGTTTATCAAAACTTATTTGTAAATTTCAGTCTAAAGAAATCCAGACTTTTTCCCATGCCCCAACTACCCCTAGGAATCAATTCATTATTATGGGAACGAGGCGACAGGCAGTCCAGCAGCAAGACCAGAAAGGACAACCTGACGATCCTGTTCGAGGGCTTCCTTAGCTGCCTGGAGCGGGAGAAGGACTGGCTACGGATCATGCACTTTGAGTTTGTGTCCAACTAAACCAGTGTCAAGTTACCAACCCCCCTCAAAAAAAAAAGAAAAAGAAACAAAAGAAAAGGAAGGATCCCCTCATACTCACCCGCGTCTTGTAGCACTTCTCGCTGTTGTCCGCCTTCTCACACTGGATCCCAAACTCGTCCAGAAACAGATCCTCCTGGAAACCAAAGCCAAATCGAAATGTGAAAGCAATTAGCACTCTTTGGTGGGAACGGAAGTTGCGGCGTGGTTTTGTGACCACATCACCAAGATGACAATACGTAGTCCCCAGTTTTGCTGAGTATGGGAGAATTCTGGGCCAATGCCAGCCGAGTGTCTCCTCAATTAATTATCATTGGAGAGCAGCGTATATAGACTTCACTATAGCTATATATATATCTCACATAATATAAACATAGCTCTGCCTGCCCTTGTTTATATCACATTTTTATTTGCGTCTCCGTCTCGAATGCCGACACCAAGAATTGATGCATAAATTTAAGCAAAACTAAATTTGATATTTGAGCAAAACGAGTTTTATCTTTGGCACGTGAGCCCTGAGATATCTTCGCCAAAGTCTTTATCAATTGGCATGGACTTTGGCCAGCCAAGGGTTAAGACCAAAACTCTATCATAAAACGGGGTCAGCCATGCGAAAAAGAAGAAACTAACAAAAACTCCAAGCCAAGTTTAAGCCAATGATGATCATAATAAGTAAGACCTCAGGCTGAATAAACCCAAATTTATGATAAACGAAGCCTTAAGTCTAAAATAAAATATATATACTTAATTTAAGATTGAGGGGAAATAAAAGTATGTTAATTTAAGTAGTACACATATTTAATTACATGAACATATTTTTCGTATTGAAAGAAATGCCTACAGTTAGCAAAATATTTTTAAAATAAATAAATTTTATATATATATATTTTAATTCTCTTTTAAGACTATATAGGTTACTCTACTCCGAGTTGAGTATAAAATATGATATATATATTTATATTTATTATTTTTTGCTACGCTAGAATCCTTTTGGGAAAACATGTGCTTAAAACGCAGTTTAGTCCTTTTGGGAGCCAGCACTCTCTGAACCAATTAGAAACTCCTTAAAATGGCAAACTTTGTTAATTGTGCTGCTAAATGGACTAGCAATTACCAAGGGGATTCCCCTCCAGCAAACGGATTTCTTTCTCCAGCATCACACAGCATCCCACAGCATCCCACAGCATCCCATAGCATCCATCCACATGAGTGGCTCTCTCCCCTCCTCTCCTCTGCCCAGTTTGTTTGTACTTTCCTTATTTATTTTTTTGCGCACATGCGTCAATTTAATTTAGAATTCTACGTAATATTTTATTAATTTAGCTTGATTGGCTTTTTCACAAACAGAAATAGCTCTCGAGTTCCCTCTCTCTCTTATTATGTCTCTCTCTCTCTCTTTCTCTGGAGGAAAGTGAGAACTGAGAACCGAGATGAAGACGAGAAGAGGGCCTGAGCCTGAGGCTCGGGACTAATTGGCATTGGGGCTTTCGTGTCGTCATTGCTCATCTTTTGTTGTACAATTTCTATTACATTAACTCGGAAACCGACCCACACACACACACACACAAATTCCCACACCCTCTCATAGGGGGAGGGAGGGAGGTGGGCAGTGGGCAGGGTGGTGTGTTATTGACACCATTATTGTGCCATTGTTGTTGCTGCCGTCAGCCTTTGGAAAAGCGAGCCAAAGAAAATATACTTGTGTGCCGCTAACAGCAAGAGAGAGATTTATGAGAGCAAGTAATTAATTTAAAAATGTATTTTTTTACCTACAAAATAAAATATTTAATAGAAAATTGGTGATAGCAATTATAAAATTATATAAGGAAAATAATAAACAAAGTAAATTTGATCGAGGAAAACTAATATTAAAATATGCAATAATCCCTTCTTAAAGTATTCAAATATATTTATATTATAAGCTAACACAAAAATATTAAATATGAAATAGGTTGAAAAAGGAAAAATATAAATGATAAATAAGCATATAAATGATAAATAAAAAATAATAAAAACAATAATGAATAATAATAAAGTGTGTAATAATTGTTTCTTCTATCGTTAAAATCATAGCATACATCACTGCTGCCAAAGCCTAAAATAATAGCTCAGTCAAAAGATCTTAAATTATTTAATATATATATAACAAGGCTCAAAAAAAATACAAAAATTCGTAGATTTAAAACATAAATAATTAAATGAAGTATTAAGTATTATAAGAATCAATAGAAATATTATATTGTAGCCTTTGTTAAAGAACATAAAATCTCAATTTAGCATCCTTGAGATTCAGCTTAACATATCTTCAGACCAAACAGCACTTGATTTAAAGTATTACCTAGCTAAAAATAATAAAAAACACATGTGTCTAATCTCAAAAATATAAATTAAATCCTCCCATGAACCCCCAGCTAGACCCATTAATTTGCCCCCAATTGTGATTCCACCTACATATGCGAGCACACACATAAATTGGCTAAACATTTAGCTCACTCTCGATGCGAGTGTATAAGGCAAGGCAAAACATCTTAATGAAATTTCTTTTGTTCGCCACCAGGCAAAGCATCGCCTTTCTGGGTTATGCGAAATCCAGCTGCTGGATCGGCACACGGAGGAGGAGGAGGTTTGCTCCAGTTTTGGTCCAGCCAGACCAGGGATAAGTGGTTCCAGCCGCTTAAATGATTAGTTGAAGTCACTATTCCGCCAAGTACAAGCGGAACTTGAATTAACGAAACGACAATTAACATTTTTCTAATTGAATACAATTTCCCTCCGGAGTTTGGTCATAATTAAAATGATAAATTAAAATGATAAATTGAATTGATTAAGTCAGTTTCCATGTGGGTTTTAAGGGAATTTCTACAGGGAAATGTTTCGAAAAAGATATTTGAAGCCTGTGCAATATAAAATATAAATGGTCTCAAAGACTTTCTTATATATACATTTGTTATTATTTGGCAAACTATTTATAAACCCCAAACACAAAGGATTAACTGTGTTACTTTCTGTTGAATCCTTAAATCTCCACCTCCCACTGGCGGGTTAATTGTAATAATAATACCCGGCTATTCCCCCATTCCCGATCCAATCTCCATACTTGCCAGCTCATTGATAGCAATCACAGATATCGCTGGGTTATCATTAATTTTAATTGGCATCCGGGTGTCGGGTGTCGGGCATGGCGCTCCGCTAATGAATGAAGTGCAAGTTGGAGCCACTGATTAACATGCAGCTTACTCCCATTACACACGCACCACCCATAATGTACTAATTACTGCCAGTATATCGGATATCTGTATATATGCGTATATGTACATATGTATATGGATGCATAAATGCTGACGCCACACAAACATATAGTTTTGAGTAAACAAAACGCTTTGTTCAGCGAAATATACCAATTATCATCATCATCATTATCGAACTTGAGTAAATCACTATAAACATCGTCATCTATTGTTTGTTGATGTAGCTGAGTATTTTAAACAGAAATAGAAATAGATATTAACGTTTAAAACCAGGATTTCTTAGTGCAAATCTATTTAAATTAAGGGAGAAACAAACGAATTAGAACCTTTTAACTAATTTTATGTTATTAATGAACAAAAAGTTATGGAAATAAAACACATTCAATAAAATGTATAATATATTTTAAGTGAAGGCAAAGCCAATTTTTTAATCATTTTATACTTTCCTTATTTAAACTCCCATAATTAATTTGTTTACTATATTTTTGCCCAATATAACCAAGCCCTTAACACATGTTCACAGAATTAACAAAACAAAATGTATAACGTATCAAAGCTCTTGCATAATTACACATTTTTCCCCCATATTTTTAATTACTCATCCTGCAGGAGAGTATGAAAAAATTATATAAAATTATATAATAGAAAAATAGTTTAAACTTGGCAGGGGAGTAGTTAATGCGAACAGAATGAGAGCAGGGCAGCGACATCGCCCCATATGCAACCCACTTGCTGTATGCAAATTGCAATAAAGACCTGATGAACACAACCCAAATAACGCCACCGACTCTAATCCCGAATGCGGCAAATTGAAATGTCAACTCTGGCCAGGCATTCCATGCCATTCCAAGCCCATCCCACAGTCCATGATTACCGACTTGACGATCTTCAATTACACACACATATCATTTAATTAGCGTCTGCGTGAGAGGGAGCGATTAACCGCATTCATTTAATTCCGTAAAGCCTCAAAAGAGTTGGTTCTGCCCAGAGTCTGTCATTCGCGTAAATGGAGGTAACTATTAGCCCGCCCCCAAAAATGAGAGATAACAATGTATCTGATTTGGGTTTTTTAAATAGAGTGATTTTCCAACTTGATTTTGTTTGCTCTATTTTGTTATTTTTACAGCCAACCCCCTAGGATTAATGGACAAAATGCTTATTATTTTTGAAAATACTATTTCATTTGACCAGAAGCTTGAGAACAAAGCACACAAGGAACCTATAAAGCTGACACTGGGATTATTATAGCGTTTATAAATTTCCAATTTTACCCTTTTAGGGTATTATAATTTCAGTCAGAAGCTTAAAATGCAGTGAAGGAGTCATTTCCGACCCCATAAATCATATATATTCTTGATCAGCATCAACAGGCAAATCTTTCTAGCTTTCTCCGATAGGGAAAAAAAAATTTCAAAAATTTTCCATTTTTTTCAAATCGTTTTTTCCATTGTTACAATTTCGAAAAATTGACAAAAATGAAAACTTCTAATCTTAAAAACTAAGTATGCAGATTTGTTAACCTTGTAAAAACTAGCATGGAACAGCTTTCCGAATTTAAATTAATGCATTTTTGGCTTAGTTATGGCATTTGAAAAACTTAGATTTACCCACAAATTAGCGTATTAAAATATCGATTTAATATATAACATACCTAGATATTTTCGATTTTCTTGGAGGTATACGAAGACCAGAATAAGAATAATAAAATAACAAAAAATACAACGGAAAGTATATAAATATTAATTGATTAAGCCACCGGGTATGGTTATGGATCCTAAAGATACTTTTGTATCTATACCTATAAAATACTGATATGTATCTTCAATATTACGTGATTATTTAACAAATGTTTGAAGGGCATTGAAGACGCTTAACTGCACTTTTACTGAATGTTTATTTATTTGTTTAGTTTTTTGCTGATTATATTTGTTGACATATGCAAAACTAGAAATAAACATTTTGTACAACGAGTGCGAGTGTCGAGTTTCTTTAGAGACAAATGATGGATGGTCGTCGTTGGCTACCCCTGAGACACAAATGCATCTTAAATATTTCTATTTCAAGTTAAGAAACTACAACAACATTTTTGTAGTTTTTTAATAATTATTACTTCAACCTTTAAAGCTTTGTTTTACAAGTTTTGGAACTTGAACTCATGAATTGTTTATGACTTAACTGAGGGCATGATTTCTAGATACAATTATAGCGAATTTGAGCTCAGTAATAATTATAGACTATTGAACCAATTTTGAGGAAGTATTTTATAAATTATTTGTAACATTTTAAGTCACTTTTCCCTAATTTCTTTATATATTTTTTGCTTACTTTAATTAGATTTTATAAGAAATAAAGGGTACTCACCTCCACAATGCAACGCTGGACGCATTCCGGGTGACACGTTCAAGGACCATCCGCTCGTCGACGCCCTGCTGCTGCTGCTGCTGCTGTCGCTCCTCCTGCTCCTGCTCCTGTCCCTGCTCTTCCTCCTGCTGAGAATCTGATGGAGCCACTGTGATTAGTCTACTTCCTAGTGTGGCTATTCCCTCAATGATGCTAGGCGGAGCTGCAGCGGCATGCTTGTGCCATATGGCCACCTTCTCAACCACATCGCTGTCCAGCTTGGGTCGGAGCAGATCCAGTTGCTGCTCCTTTATGGGCTCGGGTCCACTGCGTGGAGCTGAGTAGTTATGGGAGCGACACACATCACAGCAGATGGAGAGCAGAATAAGCAGGAGGAGATTCACAATTAAAATCGTGGAGATGCCGCCATGCCCATCCTGGCCGCTGGTCAACTGACGTCCCAGGCGGGTCAGCTGCTGGCGGAGATCGAAGGTGCCGCCACGATGCTGTTGCTGCACCACAGTCTTGGTGGGTGAGGAGTTGCCCTTGGAGTTGGACTGCTGCGGTGACGGATTGATGTGCGTGGTGGTCATCTTGGTGTTGACATTCACGGCAATCTTTACATTGAAGCTGATGTTCAGGCGCTTGGCAGGATTGGCACTGGTGGCGGTCTTTGACTTTTGCTGCTCCTGCTGCTGATCCGTCGTCGTCTGGTGATCCACATTTTGTTGGTGATTATGCCAGAACATAGTCATCGGGGGGCGACTTGACCTTCACCTCGTCGTTGTGTTTTGGGTTCGCAATTCGAAATTCGAAATTCACGAATTTCTATCGTTCGCTCTTCGCTTTTTGTTCTGTATGTTTCCTCAGCCCAATTTACATTTTAGCGCCGAAACGAAACTGAAACGAACCGAGAACCAGAATCGGTCGATGGAGTCAATAAAAATTCAAACAAAAAAGTGTGAGAGCGAGACAAGCGAAATTCAGAAGTCAAAAAACCAATGTAAGCTGCATTAGCTAATTAACATATTGATTTTATTTCAAAAACAAAGTCGAACTGTGAGCCAGGCAGCCTCTTTTGCCTTCATTTCAGTTCATTTATGCACAAAAAAGTGGGAAAGCAAATTACTATGAATTATCATATTAAAACTCTAATTTATGGTGAAAATACTATTAAAACTTATATTTAACAGGGCGAAAAGGGTTATTGAGCAAGTATACATAGGTTGCTGGGCCCATGTTGCAGGAACAGCCCGAGCAACAATTGAGCAACATGTTGCATAAGTTTAACATTAATTGAAAAACTACTCTATTATTTAATAGCTCTCACTCTCAGGTTTGTATTTTAATTATTGTAATTGCTGAGTAAAATTACATTTAAGATATCCATTAATTAATACTTGAAAGGCTTTTCTATTTACTTTTATATAATTTAGTTAGTAATTCAAAGCAAGAGGAACCTGTTCTTGAGAATTAAAAACCTATTATTATCAATTTAAATGCTGAACGAAGAGAGCCCTCAACGAAAATGATATATAAAACCTTGTAAACAATGCCTTATGGCATTGTAAACTGGGATTTGTATATATTTAAGAACACTAAAGAATTGACTCTTTTTATTTTTATGGAACTTGTATATTTAAATAGCTACTAAAGGTTTAATTACAGAGATATGACAACCAATAAGTGTCAGAGATGAGGCTCAGAACCATTAGCAGCTTTTAATTAACACGTCCTTAATAAATGGCCAATAGGCCACACCCCTTGCGCCCCCATTTGACCAACAACAAACACAAATCCTAGCCGCATAACAAATTTATCCTTATTAAGATGCAAAACCAAAGCGCGGACTTGCTTTCAAACGAAAATCCCTTTTCAGCCGCAAGTCCCGAGCAACACACAAAAAATAAAAAACAAAAAACAAAATATAGTAATAAAAAACCATAGTTAATTGCACTTTAATTTCATATTTGCCAGGAACCACAAGCGGCATGGGATGGCGTGGCTCTGAACACAAAATGTTAATTAAATCGCCCGACGAACGAAAATAAATTGAAAATAAAATTGAATAAACTAGTGGAAACATGGTAGATCACAGCGGATTAATTGCATCAAAGTTATTCTGAGAAACTTTATGCAAATGCCGGCCAGAGTTTTGCATTAATTACTAAAAGGTTTGAAAGGGTTGAAAGGGTTAATATTTTGTTATAATTTATTTAGTATTTAGATATTTTATTTTGTTATTTTTATCAGCTGGAGTCGGTGGAGCACCCACATGTATCACTCTACGCTGTTATTGAAGTTGTTAAGCGCAGTTGACGCGGTTTAATTCAATTTATTGTTGATTTGAGCAGCTTAATTGCATTTTATTGTTGCAGTTGTTGCCTCGACTTAACAGCTACTACTTCACCACACAGCACTGGAAAAAAATGAGTCATTTCTGTATTAGTTGTTTACTTATTCAACACAAACACAAAGAGTTTAAATTATAAAAATATGTGGAAAAGATCATTTCAAATATGATATTTCATATTATTTGCACAAGCTGGTATTCTTAGCTATATTTTTTGCACAGAAAAAAATTTAGAAAATTGTTAAGCAAAAATAATATATGTATTAAGACATTGAGCTCTTTGTTTTTATATTTCTTATCTTTCTTTTATATATTTATTTTATTGCAAGCAAAATTCAAGGAATCTTACTTCTGTTTTTGGTATATATTTTTATGTTTTATATTTTCTTCATATTTTTCTCAGTGTGAGAGGAAAAAGAGCGCAACTCACTCGCTGATATCTGAATTTAAAGCGGTATTCGGACGCGTTACGTATACGTACTGCGCAGTGGCGCGATCGGAGCAGAACTGATTTGCCGGCGAGCGGCGGGCTTTTGACCAAGCCCCAACCGAAGCCCAAACCGAAACCGAAACCGAAACCCAAGTCCAAGTCCAACCCCCAGTTGGAGACACGAGACGAGACGAAAGCCGAGCACCGATACCAGACACCGATCACCGATTGAGCACCACCGAGCATCCATCAAGTCAAGTCGTTCGGGCTTGGAATCCCATGAAGCTTCGACGGCGACGATCACGTCACGGACAAGGGCAACCCCCAAAAAATTTAATTATAAATAAAAAAAATGAAGAACTGCATTCAGTTATCCAGTTCAACAGGTCAACTTTCAACTTATTTAACCCTCCGCATCGATCAGTGAATACTTTCCATATTATGGCGAGTTTTAAAAAATATATATAAAGGTTATACAAAAAAGTTTACTTCTTATTGTTTTGATAGTTTTTACTTACATTCAAATATGGTATTTATAGTTTTTAAAGAATTTGATAAATAAGATAGAAAATCGGTAAGCATCTATGAGCAATAAGTGACTATGATCAGTAAATAACTATGATTCGTAATTAACTATAAGCAGTAAGTATCTATGGGCAGCAAGTAAGTAAGTATCTATGACCAGAAAGTAACTTTGAACACTAATAAACAATGACTTGCAACTTTTGAAACACAACACATATCTGAGAGGTGGGCGGCAGCAGTCACTTCGTTCCGGGGAGGTTAGAACCAGTTGGGAATCATAGGCACAGATGTGCGAGATTTGTTTTGGAACAAATTTAAGCTATTTAATTGAAACTATTTAGTTATTCTTCTATATAATTTTACTAGTTTATAAGTCGGAGCATAGCGAATCAGTGGACTAGATATATAAATATATATAGCTGATATAGGAACAATCGGACGATTTATAAAACTATGATCAGTAATTAACTATGACCAGTAATTAACTATGAGCTGTAAGTAACTCTGAACACTAAGTATCTATGACCAGTAAGTAACTCTGACCAGTAAGTAACACTGAACACTATGTATCTATGACCAGTAAGTTACTTTGACCAGTAAGTATCTATGGCAAGTAAGTAACTATAATCAGTAAGTATCTATGACCAGTAAGTATGTATTATAATCGGTTACTAACTTTGAACACTAATAAACAATGACTTGCAACTTTTGAAACACAACACATGTCTGAGAGGTGGCCGGCTGCAGTCACTTCGTTCCGGGGAGGTGAGAACCAGTTGGGAATCATAGGCACAGATGTGCGAGATTTGTTTTGGAACAAATTTAAGCTATTTAATTGAAACTATTTAGTTATTCTTCTATATAATTTTACTAGTTTATAAGTCGGAGCATAGCGAATCAGTGGACTAGATATATAAATATATATAGCTGATATAGGAACAATCGGACGATTTATAAAACTATGATCAGTAATTAACTATGACCAGTAATTAACTATGAGCTGTAAGTAACTCTGAACACTAAGTATCTATGACCAGTAAGTAACTCTGACCAGTAAGTAACTCTGAACACTATGTATCTATGACCAGTAAGTAACTTTGACCAGTAAGTATCTATGACAAGTAAGTAACTATAATCAGTAAGTATCTATGACCAGTAAGTATGTATTATAATCGGTTACTAACTTTGAACACTAATAAACAATGACTTGCAACTTTTGAAACACAACACATGTCTGAGAGGTGGAGGGCAGCAGTCACTTCGTTCCGGGGAGGTGAGAACCAGTTGGGAATCATAGGCACAGATGTGCGAGATTTGTTTTGGAGCTATTGAAATGAAACTATTTAGTTATTCTTCTATATAATTTTACTAGTATATAAGTCGAAGCATGGCGAATCAGTGGACTATATATATAAATATATATAGCTGATATAGGAACAATCGGACGATTTATAAAACTATGATCAGTAATTAACTATGACCAGTAATTAACTATGAGCTGTAAGTAACTCTGAACACTAAGTATCTATGACCAGTAAGTAACTCTGACCTGTAAGTAACTCTGACCAGTAAGTATCTATGACCAGTAAGTAACTTTGACCAGTAAGTATCTATGACAAGTAAGTAACTATAATCAGTAAGTATCTATGACCAGTAAGTATGTATTATAATCGGTTACTAACTTTGAACACTAATAAACAATGACTTGCAACTTTTGAAACACAACACATGTCTGAGAGGTGGAGGGCAGCAGTCACTTCGTTCCGGGGAGGTGAGAACCAGTTGGGAATCATAGGCACAGATGTGCGAGATTTGTTTTGGAGCTATTGAAATGAAACTATTTAGTTATTCTTCTATATAATTTTACTAGTATATAAGTCGAAGCATGGCGAATCAGTGGACTATATATATAAATATATATAGCTGATATAGGAACAATCGGACGATTTATAAAACTATGATCAGTAATTAACTATGACCAGTAATTAACTATGAGCTGTAAGTAACTCTGAACACTAAGTATCTATGACCAGTAAGTAACTCTGACCTGTAAGTAACTCTGACCAGTAAGTATCTATGACAAGTAAGTAACTATAATCAGTAAGTATCTATGACCAGTAAGTATGAATTATAAACGGCTACTAACTTTGAACACTAATAAACAATGACTTGCAACTTATGAAACACAACACATGCCTGAGAGGTGGCTGGCAGCAGTCACTTCGTTCCGGGGAGGTGAGAACCAGTTGGGAATCATAGGCACAGATGTGCGAGATTTGTTTTGGAGCTATTGAAATGAAACTATTTAGTTATTCTTCTATATAATTTTACTAGAATATAAGTCGAAGCATGGCGAATCGGTGGACTATATATATAGATATATATAGCTGCCATAGGAACGATTAATAAATTTTAAGAACAAAAATTTTAACTGTTTCAGTTTTCAACAGATTATTATTAAATTTAATATGTAGCATATTTATATTAATCTAGAATTTTGTACTAAATTTTATGAAAATCAGAATACTATATCTATATATTACAACTGCCACACAAACGATCGTTAAAAATATAGGAAATTGCCAAACGGTTAATGAAATGAAAGCAGGCATTATTATTGTTTTTTGACATAAATATATATAAACTTATATTATAATAATTCCTAGTGATCGAATTTCAATTTGCAAGGGTATACAGACTTTGATTTAAACAAATAAACTATCATCATATCATAAAATCATTATTTTATCAATTAAAAATCTTTAAATTAAAAGGACATACATTATACATTATTAATTTTTTACGAGCTAAAAAATATGCAACATTTTCATAGATTAAACCAGAGACAGCTCGCCGAATCGGAGAAAAGTAGGCTAGACTTGAACCTTTGCGCCCAAGTTGATGACGACACAAGCTGGCGTCCCTAATCCAAAGAGAAGTGCCAAAGGTAAAAGACTTTCGTGTGACAGTTTCCGTTTCCGGCTAAGGATATGGCCGCCGGAAACGATGTCTCCGCAGCATTTCAAGAGCTGCACTCGTGCGGATTTCGGGCGGGCTCAATGCGGTCATCATCAGGTTTATTTAAAATCTTTTGAAGAATTTCTAGAATTGATTAGACACCGACTGACAACCCACATGACGATAGGCTTATCGCATTTAGCCGGCAATTCTGAATGAATTCATAATGTCTTGGGGTTATGGGTTATTACACAGGCCGCCTTCACGTGTAAATCGGCTTCCGGATTAGATTTTAATAAGGGGAAGTCCCAGGAAAATGCCTGGTTTAGTAAGTAATACAAGATGTAAGCAACTTTCTTAACTAACAAGGTGTTTTATGTACGATGCTCAAAATCTATGAAAAGCCATTCTAGTTACAAAATCCTTTGACATCAATGTTCAGGTTATGAATAATTTTAATTTAATTCATACCAACAATGGGTTTTTTATTTCTTTAGCAAATTATACATTATGTGATGATTTAAAATGGTTAAAAATTGTAAGAATCGTAAAAATGAAATTCAACTGATATAAAATGAAATCTCTAGAGACTCTCAAAAATTAAGAATGGAAAATAATTTCATAAGAAATTCCCAAATGCTAAATTTTGTGTATATTTTATTCATGAAAACAGACACTGGTGAGTCATCGTTGCCCCAGTGCCCCACTGTCCGGTTAATGGTGATAATGGCAATGGATGCTTCTGGCTAGTGAATGGTGATGTACGGATCGAGCCGAGAAACCTCCCATCCTGGCGCACTGCGTACGTAATCAAAACATAAACAAATTCTTCGAAAATGTACATTAATGAGCCGAATACGTAGATACAACTCAACAACAGAGGTCAATATAAAGGGGATACTTAATAAAATAGTAAATTAAACGTATAAAATAAATGAATAAATATTTAATCTATCGGGATATTTCTTTGAAATTAAATTTAATTGAGTAATTAAGGATATTTATAGACAGAAATAGCATACAAGAAATTGAAAGATATTGAGGTATATATTAATCTGACCCTGACTATACTCAGTGGGAATATACGAGCTGATAGACTACAGGTTAGACGGACACACACACACCACGGATGGACCGATATTTTATTTCTTTTTGCATATTGCTCTGAAATTGATGTTGTTGTTCCTGCCGCCAGGCGATAAGCACAGCATCTTACAGTGCGTAACAAGGCAGTAAGTCTAGACAAGACAATTTAATAAAACATAAGAACAAAGCATAAAAAATTAAATATTTAAGTTTTCAAAATAATTAACGTTCACATTTTATATTCCTTCAAAACAGTTTCTTTTTCTAACTTAGTTTTCAGTCCTTAAATTTATTTTATTTCTTATCAAAGGTTTATTCTAACTGCTTCTTAAAGAAACTGGTAATTTCTAGGTTTCATTTACTTATGAAACGCACTGTTATTGAGCCTGTACAAACGCATAAACATTGTTAATTTTATTTGTAGTGAAAGCACGCAAATGATTCCCGAACTCACTCACACTTCTCTGGCACTTGGTGTTATTTTTTAATATAGAAATGAAAAAAGATTGACCGCGGACCTCAGTTGTGCGCTAAACTTTGCAAACGTCGGGCCATTCTCTCCATTCTTTTCGCTGTTCCGCCGATCTCTCGCTATATAGTCCAGAAAATGATTGAGTTCAAGTATATAGTCCTGTTGATATCATTAACCATCATCGGAGGAAGCCAGGCGGCCACACTGCCCTATCGCTGTAAGGAGAATATGGGTTAGCAAGGATATTGACAGTTCAGAGATATTACTGAATCTAAATTAAAAAATTTGATGTATTGTATTGTATATGGGATATATTTCAAGGACAAGGATAGAATAAATCTAAACTGATTTGTATTAAATAATCAAAATGATTCAACACATAAAGCAAGCTAGAAATGATTCTTCAACATTAACATAAATATATTTGATATTTAAAAGAAAGAAAGAAACCAAAGTTTGACAAAAACACCAGAAGCTGTGTCCTTTTTCTTAATTGAAAAATAATTAATTGATTTCTTTTTCTTTTTGCAATTTTAATCAAACTTATTAAATATTAAATATGTTTTTTAATATTCCCATAGCTTCGGCTTATGTATATAATCCGCAATTCTGCATGGATACCCTAACTGGCCACAGTTTGTATGTGGGTGAGGTGTTCACACGACCGGGCCAGTGCGTCCGGGTTCAGTGTCTGGGAACGCTGCAGCTCTGGGAGGACAGGTGAGTTGCACTTTAATTAAGAAATCCTCCATGGAAATTCTTTAACCTTCTCTTTTCCAGCTGCCAAGTGCCTAATCTTAAGAAGGGCGACTGCAAGCAGGTTCCGCCCAAGGAAACGGGTGTGGACTATCCCCGTTGCTGTCCACTGTACGAGTGCAAGAGCTACGAGACGCATTCCGGCGGAACTTTGGAGCAGACCAACACCTACAACCATTACGGCACCCTGCTGAATACCCATCTCACCGAGGTGATTACGATTACCACACGGCCGCTTCAGGGGCATGCCACAGCGGAGATTCCCACAGCGCCCGTGCGCAAGTATCAGGTGTGAAGGGACAGGTGGTAAAGACCTTCATAGGCTTAGTTTAACATAGTTTGTAACAGCAGATTTAATGTGTAATTAGTATGGGAATAAAAGAAAGCTTGACAAAAGCAAACATACAGCTGTAATTTCCGCAAAAATCATTTTAAAATATTATTAATGTCAGAAAATATAAGAAATATAAAAATCAGCTCTAAAGCTTATTTCTATTCAACTTTTGAAGTTGGCGCCAGCCTACCGATACTCCGATATCGATACACAGCAGCCAGTGTCAAAAAGCTCATCGATATACATTCATATCGCTTAATCGCCATCGCTAGGCACAAATCTAGAACTTGCTACGAAACGAAATTGTATTTTTGTTTTTTCTAAACCAAACAAAAACGCAAATTGCACTAAGCTGCAGTCTCAAACGAATCGAAACTGCTTCACACCGAAACCCGAAAGAGCACGTATAACACTCACGCAAAGCAGATAATCCGTTGGAGTCCGCGAATTTCATCACAACAACACAATGTTGCTGCGTCTTGCTCTCTCCGCCGCTCGTCCGGTCGGCAGTGTCAGCCTCCTGGCCCAATCCTCGCAGCTGCTGAAGGCTAAGCCAAGCCTTGGGATTGTCCGCTCCTATGCCCGCGGTCCGGTCCGCGGGCGTGCTCCCGTGCAGCAGCAGCAGGCACAGGAGCTGCGCGCTCCGACACTGAAGGAGAAGCTAATGGGTCCGCCCGGTGCTAATGGTAAGGTTAAACATATGCCCTTGCCACGCTTGTCTCCGTTGTGTAATCACTTAGGTGTATATCTTGTCCATTCCAGCATACTCCATGGGCAAGGGCGCCGCCGCCGGAGCAGCCGCCGTTGGATTGGGTGCTTTGTGCTACTACGGCGTGGGATTGGGCAAGCAGACCAGCATTGCCGACAACGCCATGTGAGTGCGGCCATGACCGTGTTCACCTAGCAATTTCTTACTTATTTATGTAATATCTGCCTTCTGCCCGCAGAATGTGGCCCCAGTATGTGAGGGATCGCATCCAGAGCACCTATGCCTTCTTCGGCGGCTCCTGTATCCTAACCGCAGCCTCGGCAGCTGCTGTTTTCCGTTCGCATCGTCTCCTGGAGCTGGCCTCTCGTGGCGGTCTTTTGGTGAGTTAAAATCTGAGGAGAAAAAGCTTCATACTTAAACTATATCCCATTCAAAACACAACTCTACATTCATTACACTTCCCTCGGACAGGCCACATTCGCTTCGCTGGCGCTAGTCATAGGCAGCGGTGCCGTGGCCCGCTCAATTGAGTACCAACCCGGTTTGGGACCCAAGCATTTGGCCTGGGCTGTGCACTGCGCCATTCTGGGTGCCGTAATTGCGCCCATGTGCTTCGTTGGCGGTCCGATCTTAACACGCGCCGCCCTATATACGGGAGGCATTGTCGGTGGCCTGTCTACTATCGCCGCGTGTGCCCCCAGCGACAAGTTCCTGTACATGGGTGGCCCCCTGGCCATCGGCCTGGGCGTGGTCTTCGCCTCTTCGCTGGCCTCCATGTGGCTGCCGCCCACCACGATGCTGGGTGCTGGTAAGTAATGAATTTCCTTACAAAATACGATATTCTTAGACACTTTCTTTAACTTACTTTTTCTCCTGAAGGTCTGGCTTCCATGTCATTGTACGGCGGCCTAGTCCTGTTCAGCGGCTTCTTGCTCTACGACACCCAGAGGATGGTGCGCAAGGCAGAGGTCTACCCGCAGTACGGCTATGCTCCCTTCGATCCCATTAATGCGTAAGTTTCTTCTCCTAAGAGATTGGAATCCCCTTTAATTTTTCCTAATTTGTGCTTGCAGCTCGATGTCCATCTATATGGATGTGCTGAACATATTCATCCGCATCGTCTCCATCCTGAGTGGCGGCGGCCAGCGGCGGTGAAGCCTAAACAAGGACTTGTGATGTTATGATATACTATAAATATTTAAAAACTTGTTATTAAATATAGCAATTTGAGCTAAGCATGTACAATTGCTGTTCGTATCAATAAGAGGGGACATTTTTAGGGAGAGGGATTAAAAAAATAAGATCCTTAAGATAATATTATTATTAATGTATCCAAAAAACAGGTGAAATAAGAACCGAGGACAGAGAAATGTGGCATCGCGCCAAATCTTGCAAGTTTGAGGATGAATCCTGGCCATAACAAACTATCGATAAGCAGCGATAACTGCTTAGTATTTTCAGTATTTCACATTATACGAGAAAAACCACTGAATTATACTAGTTTTTAATCAGTATTTAAATGGTATTTACCGTTTTCTCTTTATCGTTATCGGTGCGGTCACACTGAGCTTTAAGCCAGGACAATTTTTGAGTCCACCAATTGGATTTTTCGTAGTTTCTCGCAAGGCCAAAAAACACAAATCACTTTTTCTCCAGCAGCGGCATCCAGGTGGCTGTGCATACGGTGTCACAGCGTTTCCAGATCTTTCCGAACACCAGACAACTGCACACTCACTCGACACTCTCGTCGCAGTCTATCAACAACAACTCGTAAATTTTTGTGTTCAAAAATATTGTGAAATACGATTAGAATTAAATCTATAATTTCCACAGGCTCGCCACATCGGCAGAAGATACTCATCGAAGGCAAGCAAACTGCCCTTCGCACCTGAGACAGGTGAGTGTATGCAGGACAGACAGGAGGTGGAGGAGGCCAGACGCCCGGCCGCGCCCTTAAAGCCGGCAAATCGATTTCTTGACTCAGACTTCTCTTCTTTTATCCCCAGCAACTGCCGTTGCAAGTCCAGCAGCAAAAGTTAAGCGGTTGACCACGACAACAGCGTCAGCGGAGGAGCTGATAGATCCTTTCGAAAAAAGCGACATGGAACGTCGCTATTTAAAGAATCCCTTTCCAGATTTCGCCGGCGGTGAGAACACACCGTTCGCCACCGATGAGGAGCACATCAAGAACCTGATCTGCACCTATGTAGACGCCATACTGGAGCACTGTCATCCCAATAACGACGACGATCAACGCGGTGATCTATATGTAGGCAATGCCGGCATCGCCTTCATGTTCTGGAAGCTGGCCAGCTGCGAGCAGACACGGGAACTTTATCCGGCACTGGAACATGCCTCCGCTTTCATCCGGAACGCCAAGGCCAATGCCAAGCGGTACAAGAAGCGCTCCGCCGAGCGCTACTCCTTTCTGTGCGGCAATGCCGGCATCTATGCCGTCTCTGCTGCCATCTCGCAGGCTTTGAAAGACACCGAGGAGCTGTCCAACGATCTGGCCGACTTCAAGTCGGGCATACCGTCCAGCAAGGAGTTTATGCACACCAAATACGGCTGCGACGAGGTGCTGGTAGGGCGCGCCGGCTATCTATCCGGCTGCTACTGGCTGAACGATGTGCTGCCCGAGAAGAAGATCACCGACGATGACCTCATCTCCATATGCCAGCTAATTGTGACTAGTGGTCGAGAGTACAGTAAGCAGAATCACTCGCCGTTGCCGCTGATGTATCAATACCATGGTACCGAGTATCTGGGTGCCGCACACGGACTGTGCTCCATCCTGCACATGCTGCTAGATAGCCCATGGTTCCGCACGGTTCCCATTTCGGCGCCCGCTGCCGAGCTGCGCGACATTAAGCGCTCGATTGACTTCTTCCTCGAGCTGCAGGACAACGAGGGTAATTTTCCCGTCGCCCTTGAGGATCTGCGCTCGGGCCGTGAGAAGCGTCTAGTGCATTGGTGTCACGGTGCTCCCGGAGCCGTCTACTTGATGGCCAAGGCATATTTGATATTCAAGGAAGAGAAGTACTTGGAATCGCTGCGTCGCTCGGCCGATCTGGTGTGGAAGAAGGGTTTCCTGCGCAAGGGGCCGGGCATTTGCCACGGCGTTGCGGGCAGTGGCTATGTGTTCCTGCTGCTCTTCCGGCTGACCAACGAAGTGAAGTACATATACCGGGCTCACAAGTTCATGGAGCTTTTAACCGATGCAGAGTTCAAACAACGTGCTCGCACCCCCGATCGTCCTCACAGCCTGTACGAGGGTGTGGCCGGCACTGTTTGCTTCCTGGTGGACCTCCTCGAGCCGGAGCAGGCATACTTTCCGTTCATGGACGTCTTTCACTAGGTTTACGGAGGGTGCTGCTTACACCGAATCAATGCTCAATCAAATCAGGGAGAGAGTTAAACCACATTTCTAGTCACTTTGTTTTTCGATGATTTTTACTTTTCGTAGTTCTTTCATTGTTGCCTTTGCGTTGGAGTTGGAAAGGAAGAGTTGGAAGCAGGAGAAACTGCAGTTGGAGTGGAAGTTGGAGACCGAGGCCTCATGCATGCAGGAATGTTCGCAGTCATTCTCATATCAAAAATTCTCTGTGCTTTACGCTAAGCAATTAACTTAACAAAAAACATTGATACTTATATATACACAGACATATAATACAAATACATTATATTTATATACAATCTATATTATATACATATACACATACATTCTATATATATATATAATATATATATACACATATTTGCGCTGACATCTATATAGTATATATACATATATATATATACAGACAAACCATACATACTTACATGCATAATGTGCTTTATACCTCTACGAGTAATCCACGAAGAGCTCTAAATCTATTGTCAATGAGAATCAAAATAAATCATTGTACTTATTTTATACAGAAAGAAAGATGTGTATATTAATCTTAGGGATGATGATTATATATAGATAGATATGAATAAGAGAATATAACCTTATTGGGATTTCTTTTAAAATAATCATACTTAAACTAGTTTATTCATTGTTTGTTAGTTAGTATTATTTACATTTACTTATTGAAAACCAATCAGGGTTCTTTTTGCAACCTTCAGACCTTTTATCTTTATTATTTTGTAAATCTTTCTAAATCCTTGTAAATCAATGTAAAATCTCAAGTGTTGATTTGGCTTACTATTGATTAAAATTTTTGCCAGGCTTATCAGGTCTATATACACCTATATCTTAACTCCCATTAAGCGAAAGATAGAGGTCTTTCAGATAAGCCTCCACACTCAATGGGGGCAGTACTTGCGCAGTGATTGTGATCATGATGAGTGAACCAAAAAGACAGAACCCTTTTTTTCTCATTTAAAAGCTAAGCAAGAGCGATTTATTTATTAACCTTGGCCGATCCTGAGTGGGATTTGGAATCTCGATGGGGAGCGATAATGCTTGGTATTATCTTTAGCCGACGACGACTGCCAATTCAGAGATACAGATAGTACAGATATCGGTGGCTCTGTGGACTAAGTCGTTGGTGCTATAAACCAAATTGGAATGCCAGGAATATGGCGGAGCTATCAGCTGCCTGTTCACGCTCCCACGCTCATATATTTTGCGGGAAATAAACACGGAGGAGGAGGTTGTTGCCACTTGAACATCAAGTGGGGAGCGCGCATGTAACACATGTGTTGTTCCAAATGAATATAACTGGAGTGGCGCCTCCGTATCCGTTCCTCCGTATCTTTCATCCATATACAGTTTATCAACGATCGATTAATAAGTGCATATCATTAAGTACCCTAAGGCTACCCTGGAAAAAATATAAACGAGCTAAAGCTCTGTTTTTGGGGATTTAAAACCTTAAAACTTTAAGTATTATATAAATATTTACAAAGCGATAGTTTATGTTAAGAATAAGTAAGGAACTTGGAAATTTCCTCAAGCTTTGCCTTCAGTTAAGTTCTCTCTTGATTCTGTTTATAAATATTGTTTAAATTTGTTGGAAATATTAAATATTTAACAATTTCAAATGCGTATTTTGTTGTGTACTATGTTTGCTGAATAATATTAACTGAATAGGAAATCAATAACCAGCAACTTAATTAAGTTGGCAGGTAATAATTACAGATAAAAGAGTGAAGAGAGAAGCTTGCACTGTAAACAATTAATTACAATAATATATACAATATAACTAATAATAAATGAACTTAAAAGAATTCCCAAAGGCAAAGCCAAATCATCTTGGAACCCAAAAACGTAAGATACAATTACAATTAATATTTAAAGTATATGTTGCTTTAGCCTATTATTTTTCTCTATGCGGATCAGAAGGCACTCACCTGGTCTTATCAGCACGGGAATGTTAAGGGAGAAGGTGGGGTGTCCAGTTCTAAGCCCATTCAGCTTTTGCAGGCCTCAAAGTGGTGGCGATTTTGTCCATTCAGTTGCCTTATCGACGGCCATCGGATCGGTCTGGTCTGCACTTAACTTTGACAACTTTACTTGACTTGGTGACTAGTCCTTCGACAACATGACAGGCGCATCCTGGTCGATGATATCTTCTGTGGTGGCAATACTCATCACTGCCACAATGCTGGGGTCCGTGGAAGCTGCTGACAAGGAGGGCTTTCCCGTGGCCATAATCCATATTAACGACCTGCACGCCAGGTAAGTAATCAGATTGGAACGCATTTTATGGATGTCGTAAAGTATTTCCTATCACGTACTGATTTCGATTCCGATAACGATACGATTCCCGGTGACTCGTCCACGCGGCTGCCACTCCAGAGTTAATCCCCGCTTCAATTTCTGACCAGGTTCGAGGCCACGGACTCCAGCGGTGGCACCTGTGACGACGGCGAGACCTGCATCGGTGGCTATCCGCGCACCGTCACCACCGTCCGGCGGCTGCTGCAGGAGCAAGCAGAACTGAATCCTATCTATATCAATGCGGGGGATAGCTTCCAGGGCACACTCTGGTACAACATCGGTCGCTGGAATGTCACCCAGCAGCTGCTGAATCTTCTGCCTGCCGACGCCATGGTGAGTCTTGGCTACTTGCTTATGATTCCTTTATAAGCTATAGGTTGTATCCCCCACAGACTTTGGGCAATCACGAGTTCGATCATGGCGTTGAGGGCGTTGTGCCCTTCCTGGAGACCGTCAATACCAGCATGCTGGTGGCCAACATGGACTGCGCCCACGAGCCAACAATGGAGGGCAAGTACAACAAGTCGAAGATCATTGAGCGTAGCGGCCGCAAGATTGGTTTGATTGGCGTTATCCTGGAGACGACATATGTGAGTTGGAAGGAGTTGGTTGTAGGCCCCAAGAAGCATCAGCAAGTATCGTTCCTTATTGCAGGATCTGGCCAATACTGGCAAGCTTATCTTCCGAAACGAGAGCGACACCATCCGCGAGGAGGCACAGCTGCTAAAGGCCCAGGGTGCCAACATCATCATTGTGATCTCGCACTGCGGCTATGACGTGGACAAGGTGATTGCGGCCAATGCCGGTGACTGGATCGACGTCATTGTGGGCTCCCATTCGCACACGCTGCTGTATACTGGAACGCCGCCAAGCGGAAGCACTCCGGCTGGTCCTTATCCCACTGAGGTGGTCCACAGCTCTGGCCATCGTGTTCTCATCGTCCAGGCCTCAGCCTATGCACGCTACGTGGGCAATCTTGTTGTTTATTTTGATGACAATGGCGATGTGCTGGACTTCGAGGGCAGTCCACTGTACATGGACCAGACAGTGCCTGAAGGTGAGTCCGGGGGAATATGTAGAATAAGATTTAGTTATTATATATACATATATATTTGGGGTTAAAGAGTTCAAGGGAATAATATAGCTTTCTCAAGCTTAACTTTCGTGTTTTTCTGTGTAAATTATGTGCTTCTCTCACCCGCTTATATTTTCCAATCTTCTTTTGTGGCCGGTTATGTGTGTGTCCGTTTTTAGTGTCCTGGCTAAAAGTCCTTGTTACCAAGTTGTTTTTTATGGATGTGTAAATATAATCTATGCTGGATTCTGTGATTATTTTTTTGAGTGTCTTGTGTGTATATTGTGCTCTGTAGATGAGGAAATCCTCGAGGCCATGCTGCCCTGGAAGGAGGTGATTGACGAGACGGGCAAGGTGGTGGTGGGTCACTCCAAAGTGGACCTCACCAAGGACGACTGTGCCGCCGGAGAGTGCAACCTGGGAAACTTCTTCTGCGACGCCATGGTGCACTCGGTGAGTTTTTGAAGAAGAGGAACTTCAAGGAACTTGAACTTTAACATAACCTGGGCGGCTTGCAGTTCGTGGGAATGGCGCCATATGAAGAGAAGGCCTGGACAAATGTATCCGCCGGACTGATGAATATCGGGGGGCTCCGCGTGCCGCTCACCAGAGGCAGTGAGTAAACGATGCAGTCAATGATCTATTCTTTACTAAATCGGATTCTCAACTTTAACTACAGATCTCACCTATGCTCACATAGTCAGTATGTCGCCGTTTGAGAACACTTTGGTGGCCTACAATTTGCCGGGAAGCAAGCTGGTGGAGGCCATGGAGTTTGCCGTAAGCAAAGTGGACCTGGAGAACGGTGTGACGGGCTCGTACATAAACCTGCAATTCTCGGGCATCCGGGTGAAGTATGACTACACAAAGCCGATAGGATCTCGGGTCATATCGGTATCGGTGCGCTGTGCTGATTGTCAGGTGCCCAAGTACGAGCCACTGGTAATGGACAAGCTCTATCGGCTCACCTCGCCCAACTTCCTGCAGGCGGGCGGCGATGGTTACACCATGCTGGCCGAGGGCACAGACCTCCAGTGCGTACCATCTTTGTTCACCTCTCGTTTGGATCAGATATTCACAAGCTTCTTTCTTCTCCTTGCAGGTGGGGTGTCAGCGATCTGGATGCCTTGATCTCGTACAGCAACCACTTTGATCCCATCTACCAGAGTCTCGAGGGACGCATCACCGTGCTGAATTGATCAGTGAATAAAATATTTATGTAGCATTTGTCCAAGTAAACCAGACTTTTCTGTAAATTTATAGAAGTTAGTTTATCTTTTTGGGGGGCTTCGAACTGAAGTCATTGTCCTTAGGGAATTATTCTCAATACTTACCCGACTCCCTTTCAAGATGCCATTGTCCTGGAGGCTATGGCTCCGTGGCAAGACGAGCTGGAGACCATGTCCAATAGGATTGTGGGCCAGAGCCGCGTCTTCCTTCAGCAGAGCGAGTGCAGTCGGGGAGAGTGCAACCTCGGCAACTTTTTCACCGATGCCATGGTCCATGCGGTGAGTGCCAGATCAGAAGTTATTCGCCCATTGACAAATCCCTTGATAGTTTATCAAGGATTCCTCTCCGTCCGTGGACGACAGCTGGAGTGACGTCTCCATTGCCCTGACATCGCAAGGAACTTTCCGTGTGCCCATTCCCGTTGGAAGTAAGTTGATCTATCCTTTAATAATAGTATTTGCTTTAAGAGAAGGATTATTAAATCCATTAGACATCACTTACAAGCAACTGGTGGCCATGTGCCCCTGGGAAAATCGTTTGGTCGCCTTAAACCTTCGGGGACGGATCATTCTGGATCTACTGGAGGACGGTGTGGCGTCCATGAATTCCAGCTCATCCTCGCCTAAGTCTACACGCTTTTTGCAGGTCTCAGGACTTCGTGTACTCTACGATCTTAGTGCTGCCAGAGGTCAACGCGTCATCAGCGCCCGATTTCGCTGCTCCCGTTGCAAAGTGCCGGAGTACAGACCCATTGATCCTGAGCAAGTTTACCGAGTGGTGGTGATGGACTACCTGGCCAGGGGCATGAACGGATTCAGTTTGATCAGTGAAAATGCCGAGGATCTCGAGTTAGTATGCCATTCAGTGTAAGGGAATCTTCTAGACAACTGTCTTCTTCTTCACAGGACGGGTCCTTTTGACTTGGACGCCCTGATGGAATACATGGACTCAGTGGGAATAATTACCGCGGGAATAGAGAATAGATTGCAGTTTTTATAATCATAAAGATAATGCGAATAAACAAATAAACTTTAAAACGATCACAACTTTCCCACAAAAAAACGATTTTTGGACAAGATCCTATTGGAATGTTCCGCTAGAATCGATAGTTCAAATCTGTAAAGCGATAGCGCGATAGTCACGAAAAATGTCAAAACATCGATGACACGAAAGTCACTAAAAATGTAAAAACATCGATAGTGCAAGCAAAACAATATCGATAATGCTACGATGTTTTGCCAGCCCTTATGCAAGAGAGCTTTTTATTAACTGTGCAAGGGATAATTATTGTTTATTTTATTCGGTCCCTATGTTTTTAACAATTTAAAAAAATGGCTGTATTCTTTATTTAGTTCGATATAAAAAACACCACCTGGTCTCATTACTTTTATCGAATACATATCGAATAGCAGTATCGATAACGCTCTGATGGTTTGCCACCTCTAGTTCACATTTCAAAGGAAATCCGGACCGCCTGGGCAAAGTGACTTGGTTGTTTTACATCAAATAGAATCGGAGCATTCTTTCCTGTCCTGTCAGAACTTAGCAGCGCCAGATATATTCAAAGTAAGTTATTCATTTATTGCTCGTTTTGGCTTGTGTTTTGAGTGAGTTTATGCGCGAACAACCTGCACCAGAAAGCTCTGTGCGAGTGTGTGTGTGTTTGTGTGCGGGTTATATAAGCGAACGTGTAGGAATCTGCCGGTAAAAAGTCGTGTTTCCAGAAGGTTCTATCTATTGATTAGTCGCAAGTTTATCCAAGTGAGTGGCTTCTTTACATTGTTTACTGTGTGTTGCTTCATTTTCATATAAAAAACATGAAGAAAGTGGCAAATAAAGTTCAGCCACTCAGCGCACATGTTTTCCTTTGCTCTCTCTCTCTCTCTCTTTTTACCGTTTGCCGGCACATTTCACATTTGCCAGCGGCCATTGCATGTGCTCTGGGTGCGATCCGATCCTCCTTCGCTTCTCCCTACCTCCTCCTGCTCCCGATTTCAAGATTTCGTAATCAGCCCTCGGATCGGAGTGTATCTATCGGTCTAACCACTGTGGTTACATAAATCATTTCTTCTGGAATTATCGCTGTCGGCCCCAAAAGGGGTGGGGGATAGGCGATGCTCCGATTCTATTTTGTTGTTAGGGGGGGCTTGACCGGGTACAGTAAAGCACCGTTAAGAGCTTTTAATCAATGGAAATTAGCAGTAGATATAGTGGAAAAAAGTTAAGTTAAGAATGGTACACCGAGAATCCCTTATAATGGATGTCGTAACAGAAAAACAGAAGATAAACAAGTGAAGATTTCAAAAGGTACTTCCCTTTTTTCATCATCTCACCAAAAAGTAATAATTTAAATCATATAATAATGTAGATAATACAAGCCACCTCGCCAGCATATAATTAAAATCAATTTAATTCTATTAATGGAATTTTCCTTATATATTGGTGAAATTGGATAATTTTAAAAGCATATTAACCATATAATTTATTGAATTCCACATAGTTAACCCCTTATCTCAATATTTGTTTAGAATTTTAAACGGGATCTAAGCATTTTCTGTTGAAATAATACAAAATTTTTGGGTATTTTGCACATTCATGACTTCCAGGCAGAGATTTATAATAATGTATTAATTAAAACCCCTCCAAGAGGGCCAGCCCACACTGTACTTTGACCAGCTTAAAACGCTGTTCGGGGGCTTATCACAATCTAACGAGTAAATAAAGACACAAATGAGCCTCCCTGCGGGTCGAAGAGAGCACGTGTTATGTTATTTACACCCCCACTAATACTCCTGCACCGTCTCCGTCTCTTGTTTCCTCCACAGATGTTCCGTTTACCAGTTTCGCTTGCTCGCACCTCCATCAGCCGTCAGCTGGCCATGCGCGGCTATGCCAAGGACGTCAAGTTCGGGCCGGAGGTGCGCGCCATGATGCTCCAGGGTGTTGATGTGCTGGCCGATGCCGTGGCCGTGACCATGGGCCCCAAGGGCCGCAACGTAATCATCGAGCAGTCGTGGGGCTCCCCCAAGATCACCAAGGACGGCGTTACAGTGGCCAAGTCCATTGAACTGAAGGATAAGTTCCAAAACATTGGCGCCAAGCTGGTCCAGGATGTGGCCAACAACACAAACGAGGAGGCTGGCGATGGCACCACCACTGCCACCGTTCTGGCCCGTGCCATTGCCAAGGAGGGCTTTGAGAAGATCTCTAAGGGTGCCAATCCCGTGGAGATTCGTCGTGGCGTCATGCTTGCCGTAGAGACTGTTAAGGACAACCTGAAGGCCATGTCCCGCAATGTGAAGACACCCGAGGAGATCGCACAGGTGGCCACCATCTCGGCTAACGGTGACCAGGCCATCGGCAACCTGATCAGCGAGGCCATGAAGAAGGTGGGACGAGATGGCGTCATCACCGTCAAGGACGGCAAGACCCTCAACGATGAGCTGGAGGTGATCGAAGGCATGAAGTTCGATCGTGGCTACATTTCGCCCTACTTCATCAACTCGTCCAAGGGCGCCAAGGTGGAGTTCCAGGATGCCCTGCTGCTGCTTTCGGAGAAGAAAATCTCCTCCGTCCAGAGCATCATTCCCGCCCTGGAGCTGGCCAACGCACAGCGCAAGCCGCTGGTCATCATTGCCGAGGACATTGATGGCGAGGCTCTGAGCACCTTGGTGGTGAACCGTCTGAAGATCGGCCTACAGGTGGCAGCCGTAAAGGCCCCCGGCTTCGGTGATAACCGCAAGAGCACCCTCACCGACATGGCCATTGCCTCCGGTGGCATTGTTTTCGGCGACGATGCCGATCTCGTTAAGCTCGAGGACGTCAAGGTCAGCGATCTGGGCCAGGTTGGCGAGGTTGTGATCACCAAGGACGATACCCTGCTGCTGAAGGGCAAGGGCAAGAAGGACGATGTGCTGCGCCGCGTCGACCAGATCAAGGAGCAGATTTCCGATACCACCTCCGAGTACGAGAAGGAGAAGCTGCAGGAGCGCCTGGCTCGTCTGGCCTCTGGCGTTGCCCTGCTCCGCGTCGGCGGCTCCAGCGAGGTGGAGGTCAACGAGAAGAAGGACCGCGTACATGATGCCCTCAATGCCACACGTGCGGCCGTCGAAGAGGGAATCGTTCCCGGCGGTGGCACTGCCCTGCTGCGCTGCATTGAGAAGCTGGATGCCGTCAAGACCTCCAACGAGGATCAGGTAAGAAGAAATGATATTATTAACATTACATAAATCTTACCCATTGATCTTTAACAGAACCTCGGCGTGGAGATTGTGCGCCGTGCCCTGCGCATGCCCTGCATGACCATTGCCAAGAACGCCGGCGTTGATGGTGCCATGGTTGTGGCCAAGGTGGAGACCCAGTCCGGTGACTACGGCTACGATGCCCTGAAGGGCGAATACGGCAACCTGATCGAGAAGGGCATCATTGATCCCACCAAGGTGGTGCGCACTGCCATCACCGATGCTTCCGGCGTTGCCTCTCTGCTGACCACTGCCGAGGCTGTCGTTACCGAGCTTCCCAAGGAGGATGGCGCTCCTGGCATGCCTGGCATGGGCGGCATGGGTGGCATGGGAGGCATGGGCGGCATGGGTGGCATGATGTAAGCCACCAGAGGAGAGGAAACCGAAGCCAGTGTAATGTTTAAGTCATGATGCGGAACGGCGGCGCAGGGAAGGAGGAGAACGCGGCCAGCAGTCGAGGCGAGACCCACCAATATCTCTTACGTCGGTGCATCCAGCCGAACTCAAACAAGTTATGAACTCCCATTCAAACATTCTAATAGTCGATGGAACCCTTGGTTTTGCTTCGCATTTATCCTTTGGCATCGCCCGAGCAGCCTCATCGACAACACAGCACCACAATTTACGCAAGGGCTGGATGTGAGCTCGCCGAGATTCTTGAGCCTGCCTGCTTCGATGCCGCACGCCGCCGCTTCCCATCGTGTGTTTGACGTTTTTTTTAACTATTCCTTAATTCTATACTTGTTTTTACATGTTATATATGTAAAGATACCGTTAGTTGTAAAATATAAAATAAAACAAACAAAAAAACAAAAGTTATATTGAGGAAAGTTTTGGGTGTTTTCTTTGTTATTGTGCAGTGGAAAGTTGGTGTATTAATCGATTTTTAAACGGTTTTGTTGGATATAAGTAATTTATATTATCTGAAGAGCAGAGAATTAAGAATATTTAGTTTAATTTAATTAACTATAAAGTGTTTTTTTCATATTTATAGTTTTAGTCGGTTACTTTTCAGATTTGAATTATTAGCATTCCTAAAATTGATATTTATCGATAATTTTTAGATGACGTTATTTTTGAAAAAAAAATCGAAACTTAAAATATCCATAACTTAGCCAAAAATGCCTTAATTTTAATTTGATATTTATCGATAATTTTTAGATGACGTTATTTTTGAAAAAAAAATCGAAACTTAAAATATCCATAACTTAGCCAAAAATGCCTTAATTTTAATTTGGAAAACGGATTTGTGCTAGTTTTTATTAGCTTAACAAACTAGCATTTAAAATTTTTAATTTAAAGAAAGAAAATTTTTTGCCAATTTTTGGCAATTTTAACGATGTAACCCCTTATAAAATTTTGCAAAAATTGAGTGAAATTTTTTTTGTTTAAAAAATGGCTAGATCGATTCTCCTGATCATGCTGATCAAGAATATATATACTTTATGGGGTCGGAAATGCCTCCTTCCCGATATATATGTTAAAAAACATCCTTGGAAGGCTATAAAATAAGGCTTAAATTATGAATTATAGAGTAAAGAAACTCCCAAAAGAGACGAAAAGCATTTGAATTGTGCTCAAATTTATATTTGTTTGCATTTTTGCTTTTTTGTTTGTTTCGTTTATTAATTATAAATACACTTAATAAAAAAAAACCTAAATAATGTAACGCTTAGATGTTTAAAAGAAAGAAAATTATTTTGCATATACTCCGCATACGGTTAATGGGGCCAGGCCAGGCCAGCCCGGTCCAGGCTACCGCTGCCTGCTCCGGCTAATCCCCGCCTGGCGCTGGCCTTAACGCTTAACGATGATGACACAATGGCAGTACGTATTATGTGATCGATGGCGGCAATGGTTTCTTGTTGTCGTCGTCGTCTTCGCCGTCGGCTGCCCGCGCCGACGACTCCGACGTCGAGGCCTATGGCTATGACTTGTTGTTGTCCGGCCGGAGGAGGATGAGGAGACCATCATCCTCCTCCAGCTGATGACTCTTCGTCTCCTCGTCCAGATTCTCGCACTCCTAGCACTTGCGCTTGGGCGTGCGCCGCTTGACACCGCAGTTGTCCACCTTCTTGCTGCCCTTGGCAATGGCCAGCAGCTTCACTAGCTTCTTGTGCGAGTCACCCACGATCCAGCCGTGCTTCTGGTACGGCTCGTTCTCCTCGAAGTGCTTGCCGGGCGAAGGTGACGCCTCCTCCTCCGGTTCCTCCAGTTCAAGCTGTTCCGTTGCCTGATCTCGCCGTCGCTCACCGCTAGTTCCCGTTCCCGTTCGGGAGCCAGCGTCACCAGGGGTTGCCTCGCCACCCTCGGCATCCATGCGTCCGAACTCATCGTCGCTGGAGCTGCTCCAGTAGTAGAGCTGCTTCTCCGTCGCAGGACGCTTTCTACGTGCCGGCGACTGGCGGTTTGTCTGCGATTTTCGCTTCGTCTTCAGGTTCTTGTTGCTGCTGCTGCTGTTGTTGTTGTTGTTCGAATTGGTGGCCACAGAGCTGCTCCTGGGCTGAGGTTGAGGCGGTGGAGGAGCCAGCGGTTGCGCTGGATTGCTGTTGCGTGCCTTTATCCTCTCCCTGGGCGTTTCCGTCTCCTGTGGTGGCGGCACAGCTGGCGGCGTCTGTTGATGGTGAGTCAGCAGGGGTTCGGCCACTGCTCTGCTCTTGGGCTGTTGCCTGGAGCTGCGCGTCCTAGTTGGCGGGTCTACTGCACCTATAGTCGATTTATCATGCTCCTCTGGCGGCTGTTGATCCTCCTCTACCTCCTCCGGCTGCTGCTCCTTGCCGCGCTTCTTTCGGGAATTGCTTGCCTTGGTTGCCGCCGGTGGTGCTTTGCCCTTTGCCGTGGCTTTGGATTTACCCCTAGCTGGAGGGGGAGCAGGAGCCACTACCTCTGGTGGTGGTGGTGGTGGTGGTGGAGGAGCAGGAGCCGCAACTGGAACTGGCTGGTTTCGTTGCCTAGCCCTTGGCTTGGGCTGCTCCACCTCAGGAGGCGGCTGCTGCTGCTGCTTTTTTTCGTTCGCACGGTTCTTCCGTTTTGACGGCGCCGCTTGAGGCGTCTGTGGCACCTTCTTGCTGGCCGCTGGTGGAGGTGCCACTGCCTCCGGCTGTGAGTTGGCCTCGCTCGTCTTGCGCTTGCGCCGCATCTCCTGCTGCTCCTTCTGCTCGATCAGGGCTATGATGTCCTTGGTGGAGAGGAACTCCTCGTACTCATCGGAACTCCAGGTCTCCACCAGCTTTTTCGGTCGATTGGTGGCGCAGCGGCGCTTGGATTTGCGCTGGCCCTCGTCGATGAGCTGCTCGATCTCCTCGTGGCTCATGCCCAGCTCCGACTGAAGCTTGGTCAGGTCCTTGCGCGGCTTACGGGTGGAGGAGGTAGAAGATCCAGAAGCGGCGGCGGCGGCGGCACCTTTAGCAGCTGTGGGTGTGGGTGTTGCAGGAGGCGGCGCTGACTTTGTCGCCTTCTTGGCCGTATTTCCAGCCGTCGATTTGGCCTTTCTGCCCGGAGGCAGAGCACTGGGTGCTGGCATGGCCGCTGGTGCGGCTGGAGCAGCTGGCGCAGCCATGGGCTCCACCTGATGGTGATGATGATGATGATGGTGGTGATGATGATGGTGCTGTTGCTGCTGCTGCTGCTGTTGTTGCTGCAGCTGCTGCTGCTGAGGATGATGCCGCCCCCAGTTGTCGTGGACCTGTGCTGGCGGTGCTGCCACATCCGTCACCTTGGCTGCTATTCCTCCGCCGCCGCCGACACCGCCTCGCAACTCATCAAAGATCTGGTCCAGATTCGCTTGATTCTTGGGGAGCGCCTTGGCCTTGGCTATGCCGGACACCACATTGGGCCCCGGGAGCATGGCTGCCGATGCAGCCACCACAGCCGACGCCTTGGCACTGCTGGCATGCTTGAAGATGCGACCCATTATCAGGGATTTGTTCTCGAAGGTCTTGGCGGTGGCTCGACTGGAGCTGCTGCTGCTGCTCCTGCTGCCGGCACCGCCGCCGCCGGGACTTCTGGTGTTGTCGGCCGACGAGGAGGATGAAGACGATGAGCTGGATGTGGATACGGCACGATTTCCGCCGCTGCCAGCCGGCAGAGCTCCGCGACCCGCTTCGGCACCCAATCTGACTGGCGGCTCAGGTTCTGGTTCCGGTTCCACATCGCCATCACAGCTTAGGGTGCCAAAATCGTAGTCATCACGATCCGAGTAGCTTGCCGTTGAGACGCTGTTGTTGTCCTGTTCCTGCAGTAGATTCACGCACGTCTTGGGCTTCTGGAACGTAATGGGCGCCTTCTCCTCCAGTCCGATGTTCTTGAACGGTCGATCAGGAATGATGATCCTTCCGGAAACCGGCGGCAGGGTTGCCGAACTGGCCACACCCGCCGCTGCCTTGATAATCGAGGCGTGCATTATCGTCTTCGAGGATGTGGAGCTCTGCTGCTGCTGATGTTCCGGCATTGCCATGGGCGTCGGCGTCACTGTTGGCGTGGCCGTGCGCGTTGGCGTTTGTTGGAGCGCAGGCGGAGGTGTTGCTAGCACCGCTGGTGTAGCCGCCACCGCTGCCGCTGGTGTGGGCGGAAGATGGGGCAGGAAGTCACCGCCGGGCTTCTCACTGCCCAGCGCAATGTCCGCCAATTCGGTGAGCTTGCACACACCGCGACCGGATTTGGCCAGCTCCAGCATATCCAGTTGCAGGTTCACGTTCTCGTAGCCCTTCATGGCGGCCTTCGTCTTGAAGCGGGATGTGGTGGTGGTAGCCGAGAACTGCGACACTGCGGAATAGCTGGGCGAGAGCCGGTTGTGATTCCTGTTTGAGAGAGAGAGAAAGATTAGTAGGGATAGCACAGGATAATCTCTGCTCTGCTACACTTACGTGGGTGTGGTGGTGGGCGTAACGGCGGGCGGATTGCGGAACAACTGTTGGATCACCGGCTGATGGCAGACGGCGGGCACTGGAGCTGGCGGTGGATGAGGAGCTGCCGGCATTGGAACCGTTGCCAGTGGCGGTGGTGATGGGGAGGGCGAAGCTGGCGGTGGCAACGAGGCGGAACGTGAAGGAGACGGAGACGGCGAGGCCGGTGGTGGCAGCGAACGCGTGGGAGATGGCGACGGCGACGGAGAGGCTGGCGGCGGAGGCGGCTGCTTACGGCCGGCACTCACAATCACTGAGGTGCCAGTGCCATGCTGGCGCGGTGTCTCGGCGCTCTTGAGGATGTTGCAGCATTCGTAGAAGAGGCGCTCGTCGGGATTGAGATTAAGGCGGGCGGCCGAGGGAGCTGTGGGGCTATGCTGGTTGTCATGCAGCCGCAGACTGGCCTCTGTGATGACATGATGCACTTGGGCTGCCTCCTGGTCCTGGACTCTCTCCCGGTCTCGGTCTCTCAGCTGCTGCTGATGCTGCTCCCTCTCCTGCTCCCGCTGCATCTCCCGCTCGCGATCTCTTTCCTGCTGAGCCAGCTGCGAGGTAACCATCAGCACCGAGGCCCTCATCTGCTGTGGAGCTGCTGCTGCCGCTGCTGCTACTGCCACTGGCGGCTGCTCCTCGTGCAGCCTTAGCTCCTGCAGCTGCATGTCCCTGTCCTGGTCATCATCCTGGTCCAAGTTACGCGTATCTTGTGGACTCGAGGGCGCCGTCTGTGACTGTAGATACTCCTGGGCCGACACCTTGGACACATGGGCCAGGGTCATGTTGTGCTTGGACAGCGAGGTGGCCGAGAAGAAGGTCTTGCCGCACAGCTTGCAGCCGTATTTCTCGGCATCCAGTTCGCTGCGCTGCGTCCGCTTCTTGGGACGCCGTGTGAACAGGACGCTCCGTCGACGCCTGCGCCGCCTTCCGCGTCCACCGCGGCCCAGATCCTGCGAATAACTGGTGTACACGCTCATCTCATCGTCCAGGTCCATGTCCATCACCTCAGTGTTGGTGTTGTCGTCGCACATGGAGCCAAAGTTCGAGTGCTCGTCGTTTAGATTGGGGGCACTGCGCACGCTCATCGAGGTAGGTGGGCGGTAGTACTTGTCATTCTCCTGATCCTGATCCTGGTCCTCGCCATCGAACTCGTCGTGGGCGAACTCAAAGTCCTCGTTGGTGGTGGCCGACATAATCTTCTCGTTCACGTTCTTGGCTATCTCCGTAAGGTAGTTGTCCTCCTCCTCGGGATTGTCACCCGTGGCTGGAGGCACTGCTGGCGGCGTCACCTTGGATGTCTCCTTGCCGCTGCTGCTGCCCGCCGGCGGTTCCTTGTGGATGTTCTTGTTGAGACGCGGATCGCGACTGAAGGTAGCAGCCTGTGGGATCTTGTCCTGCTTTTCCTGCTTCTCTTGCTGCTTACTTGGCGTCCTTTGCGATGACTGCGACTGCTGTTGTTGCTGCTGTTCCCTGGCCACGGCACTGCTGAGGATGCTGGGTCGCAAGATGGAGCCAACTGCCGGCTGTGTCGTGATCGTCCCCGCCGCCGTTGGCTGAGCTGCGTCCTTGGCTTCGCGGGCCTCCTTGGCCAGCAGCTGCTTCTCAATGCCAATGGAGAAGGATTCCAGCGATGACTTGAGCAGGCTGATGTTCTCATTGGTGGCCTTGCCACCACCGGTAGCACCATTGCTTGCTCCCGCTCCCTTGCCCCGTCGATAGTAGCAGCTCTGGCGGCGCTTGGGCCTTCCACGCACGGGTGGATTCGTAGGGGTCTCCGCCACCGAGGCAGCCTCGCTCTTGGCCAGCTTGGCGGCAGCGGCTGCCGCGGGTCCTAGAGCCGCGTTTCGCTTGGTGCTGGACATAAGCAGCATACCGGTGAGCAGCAGATCCTCGCTCTTCTCGTACGCCAGGTTCTCCAGCTTCTTGAGGTTGTCCCGGCGGGCATTGTCGATCTTAAAGCTCTCCAGCAGCTGATCGGCCACAATGGCCGCCAGTTCGTTCTTTCGTCGGCGGCGCTGCTTCTTCTTGGCGGGCAACAGGCCAGCATCCTCCTCCTCCTTGGCAGCTGGAACATCGACGACGACAACGGGCAGCTGTTCATCCGTTCCTCCTGGCATTGTTACAGTTGCCGTTGGAATCGGTTGCTCCGACTGGGCCAGGCTGTGAAAGCCGGACGAGGTATTGTTGTTCAGATTGCTGCTGTGCTCCTCCATCAGCGACGAGCTACAGTTGGTTGTCTCCGGCGGCGGTGTGGTATGGCGCGGAGCTGGCGCCACGGAGATGACAGAAACGGGCACGGGTGCGGCGGGAACAGCTCCCTCGGGCTCTGGCTCAGTCTCCTCTTGGTCCTCCTCCTCTTGCTGCTGCTGTTGAGGCTGATGCAGAAGAGCTTTTCGCTCTGGCTCTGGCTTTGGATCCGTCTCCGACTTCGGTTCTACGGTGGCTGCAGCCAGCATGGAATCAGCTAGCAGCTTCTTCTCCGTCCTGGCTTCCTTGAGGCATACTTCGGGCAGAACTGGTGCCTGCTCTGGCTGTGGTAAGGCGTCCTTCTGCATCTGAGGCACTTCCCGCCTCGCCTCGCCATTCACTGGTAAGGGCAGCAACGGAGCCGACGGAGGAGTCACCTCATCCAGAGACAGCAAAGCAGACCGACAGTCGATGGTTTTCGAGCGCATGGAACGCTTCTTGGGCGCCAGATTCTTGGCGGGTACAGGTGCAGGAACTGGGACAGGGACAGGCACAGGCAAAGGCTGCTGAGCGGGAGCCACAACGGGCACAGGTGCAGCTGCAGGTGGAATCGTCATGGCTGCTGGTGTAGAAGCAAACAAGAAGCCAGGAGTGGCCGGCAGGGGCTGGATGCAATTGCCTGGCTTGGGCGGCAAGGCTTCCTCCAGCTTCTTCAGCTTCTCCTTGTCCCGTTCCCTTTGTTTTTCCGCTTCCTTTTCCGTTTCACCGTCATCCTCGTCGTCGGGCAAACTCGCCTGCACGGCCATGATGACCGAATTGATGGCATCATCAATGTGATTGTTGACTACCTCATCCATGCGCGGACACGCCTTGGTCTGGCCCTTGTTGTGGTCCTTCTTGGACCCGCCAGTTGATCCACCGCTATCCTGCTGTGAGCGCTTCTTGCCGCCGGAATTCTTCACTTGGTTGTGCACTACGGTGGGTGCTAATACGGGAGCCACTGCCCCTACAGGAGGCGGAACGCTTGAGGCTACCACAACGCCGGGATTGTTGGGATTCCGCACCTGCGGTATCTTGAGCAGATCCAGATTCGAGTAATACTGCGAGGCCAGAGGAGCGGGTAGACCACCCACCATCGGCATGGATTGCAGCTGACCAGGAAGAGGAACGGGAACGGGCATGGCTTGCTGGCCATGGGCTGATGGTTGAGGTACTTGCTGTGGCGGAGCTCCTGCTGTTCCTCCAGTCACCAGCGGCAGCGGCAGTGGTAGTGGCAGTGATGGCATTGCCACCATCGACAGCTCTGGCTGCATCCTTGGCTGCTGCTGTAGCGCTGCCGGTGCTGGGGAAGACTTCCTCGACGACTTCTTCGATAGATCCAGCGGCTCCATATCCATGTCTGAGACGAGCAGGTTGCGTGCCTCAAAGCCACAGATCGTCTGCCGTCTGGCGGGCATTCCTCCGGCACGATGATGATGCGGCGGCAAGCCCACGAGTCCGGGATCCCCCGTTGTCCCGCCAATCAGCGGCTTCTGGAGCACTCCACGCTGGCTGGTGAGGTTGAGCGGCTGCTGTGGGTCCAACACGAACATGGTGGTCGGCGGTGGTGCCGTATGATTCGGATTCGGCTGCGGCTGAGGTTGCGGTTGGAGCTGCGGCATGTACAGAGGTAGCTTTGACATCATCTTGACGTTCAGGGGTACGGGCAGAGCAGCAGAAGCTGGAGCTGGCATCGCCTGGAGCCCCAACGGAACTGTCACGAGCACGGGCGGTGGTGGCTGCACAGGCACAGGAAGAGCCGCTGGCAGCGGCACCTGCTGCTGCTCCACGGGAGGATACTGCTTGAGGGCGGCCAGCGAGGGGGGCTTCGTTGGCGGTGGGACAGCCATTTGCTTGGCCGCCGCCTTGGTGGGCGTGCGCCTTGGTGGCGGTGGAGCTGGTGCTGAGATGGGAGTGGGAACAGCAGCTGGTACTGGAACTGGAACGGAAGCTGCAACTGTAGCTGGAGCCGGTGGAGTGCTGAGAATTGGAAGTGGTAGAAGGATTGCTGCGGCAGCTGTTGCGGGAACAGTGGAAACTAGGGCGGGGGGCAGAGCCACAGGCGAGGGAGTAGCTGGCAACGTGGTCACTCCTTCTGTTGGCTGCTGCAGCTCCAGCGAAGGCTTCGGTTGCACAACCTCCGGTGGGGCATCCACTTTGATTATTCGCCGCGACACTGCTTTGCGTTTGGGTGTCTTGGCCAGCAGCGGCTCCTTCTCCTTATCCTTTTCCGCGGTAACCGGTGGCTCTGGCTGCTGCTGCTGCTTCTCCTTCTCCTTCTCCTTCTCGGCGTTCTTCTTCTCCTGCTCCAGCTTCTCCTTCTCCAGTTTCTCCCTTTCCAGCTTGTCCTTCTCTAGTTTCTCCTTCTCCAGCGGCGGTGCTGTTTTGAGCTTCTCCTCCAGCTTGCCGGTGAGCATGGCTATGCAATCGCTGATCCTCTTGCTACGCTTTACATTCGTTGAGTTGGGAGTCGTGGCCAGGCGAGTGCTGGCTGAGAATGGTGGTGCTACAGCGGCAACTGGCGGGGATTTGGTGGCCGGAGCCGGAGTTGTGGGCGGTGTGGGCATCAGCTGCTTGCTGCTGGGAGTGGGGGAGGCGGGCTCGGATTCCTGAGCAGCTGTTGGCAGGGAGATAGGGAGCGCCAGCGGCAGCTCTAAGCGTAGCGTTGGCTTTTCCTCAGCGGGAGATCGTGACTTGGCAGTGACTGTGGTGGTGGTGGTGGTGGAGTTGGGAGCCTGCTCTGGCTTGACGAGGTCTGGCAAGGCCTTCGTTTGTGCTGCAGCGGGAGGTTCTGGCGGGGATTTGATTCGGTCTAGCTTAGCTTTTTGCTGCTGCTTCTGCTTGCGTCGACTGCGCTGCTGCTGTGCTGCCACAGCGGCGGCCGAGGAGGCTGTGGCCACCACCGAGGAACGAGAGCGAGAGCGCGTGTTGCGCAGCAGATGCTGATTGTAGATCCTCTTGGTGCTGCTGCGCTGCTGCTTGGACTTGGTCTTGGACTTGACCATGGACTTGGCCTTGTTCTTGGCCTTGCGCTTGGCCTTGTTGTCCACAGGGAAGATCTTCTTGCAGACGCGCTTGGCGGGCAGGTTCTCCAGCATCTTGCGAATGGATTCCGCTGCGAAAGAAGACCGGAGAATCATTATTGGACTCATTAGAGGTCTGGATTTGTTGGACTCACCATCGCTGGGCCTTTGGCGTGGCGAGGTCTTGAGCTTCGACGAACTGCAGCCGCTCTCCTCGCCCTCGCCCTCTCCCTCAGCCTCTGCCTCGTGTTCCCCCTCGTTCTCTGCCTCCGCCTCGCCCTCGAGCTTCTCCTTTTTGCGGGCCGACATCTGCTTCAGTGGCTTTTTGGAGAAGCCACGACGCTTCTTTGTGCCGCAATAGTAGCGATACTTGCGCTTCTTGGCCAGCGACCACACATAGTCACCGGAGCAGTCCAACATGTGGCGGTAGAGATCCATGAGGCCGCTGCACTTGCGTCCGCACTTTGTGCAGCTGGAGGGAGCGGACGACGACGCCGACAGCGATGTGATGGTCGTCGAGGAGGAGGAGGTGCAGGTGGACAAGGACATCGAGGTGGAGGCGGTGGACATCAGTGTCGAGGCAGAAGATGAGCTGGGCGAGCAAGATGACGACGCCGAAGATGCTGTTCCCGAGGAGCCAGAGGCTGGCGAAGGTTGCTGCTGCTCCAAACCCGACAGCGGTGTTGGTGTGGACACCTCGTACGAGGAGCGCGACGAGGCGGATGACCTGGTCTCCTCCTCTGGTTGAACCCGATGCTCCTGCTCCTGCTTGGGCTGATGCACGGCCACAAGGGCACCGCCTGGTGCACAGTTGCTGGTGGCGGCGAAGCGACCGAGTGCCCGCTTCGGTATGAAGAGGTGACGCAGCAGGTTGCCTGCCAGCAGCTCCCGACCAACCACCTCGTAGTGGGTGGCATAGATGTGCGAGTGGCGGAAGGTCTTGTGCTCCTCCAGGGACTTCCGCTGGTCAAACTTGGCGCCGCAGCATATGCATAGGTAAAGCCTCGGACGGGCCCACTCACCGCTTAGGACGAGGGTTCCTCGACGATTCCGAAGCCGCAGTCGTTCCCGTTCTCGCTCCAGATCTCGCTCTCTGCGCCGATCCAGCCCACCGCTGCTGCTGCTGCTGCTGCTGCTGTTCGACGTTCGTGGCTGAAGCTGCAGCAGCGAGAGAAAGCTCTCGTCAGCGAAACTCTGTCCCAGGGCCAGGTCGTCGTCCGTTCTATGCCCATCGATGCCTAGATCCTCGTCACCGTCCTCGTTCTCGCACTTGATGACCGCCTGCTCGTTCTGCTCCAAAATGATGTGCGGCAGCAGGCGTTGGTCGAGGATGAGATTTAGCTGCTCCAGCAGGCGGCGCTGTTCTTGGTTTTGATGCTCCGCCGCCAGCGAGAGCGAGAGATCGTGCTTTTGGCGCATTGTCAGCTGCGTCCACATATCCAGCTTGGAGAGATCACGCAGGCCGAGGCCCAGGCTTGGCTGCTTCAGCTTCTTCACCAGCCGGCCGCCCTCGTTGATCAGTGTAAACTTCTTTACGTAGTCCCACTTCCATTTCCAGCTGTGCTTCGTGTGCGGTCTCCGTCTAAACTTGGCCAGCGGCAGGAGCTCGCCGGTGGCACCGAACTGCTCGGCGGTGAGCAGAGTGGGATAGGAGGCGCCGCCGGGACACAACTCGCTGGGGCCGTGCAGCATGATCAGCTCCGGTCTCTGCCCTGTTGCTGCTGGAGTCGCAGTTGCAGTTGCAACTGCAGCTGCTGAGGTGAGAAGCCGACCGTCCAAGTGATTCTGTAGATTGTGGCGCACATTGAAGACCACATCCTTGTAGAAGTTATCATCAAACACGGAACTGGCGGCAGCAGAGGCTACTGCGGCGGCGGCGGAGGGGGCGGCAGCAGCTCCGGAGGAGGCGGTGGTGCAGGTTGAGCTGGCTGGCAGTCGGAACACTGCATCCGGATTGACTGTGTCCTGCGAGTGATTGCCAGTCGGTGTTGGCTGCAGTTGTTGCTGGAGCTGGAGCTGTTGCTGTTGCCTTTGGGCCGCCGCCCGACTGCTACTCCGCGACTTGTGGCTGGGCGTGGCCAAAGGCGGCGGCTCCTCCTCCTTGCGCTGACTGCGATTTCGATGGCTGGGCAGACGGTTCTGGGTGAGGCCCAGGCGAAATAGAACCGGCTCATCCGCGCCCATCAGTCCGGGCTTGGCGGCGGCGACAGCTTCCTCCGGCAGCGATGGCGATGGATGCTGCTGCCGCTGGTGGCCCGCCAACTGGTCAGCATCCGGGAAACGCAGTCGACACTGCCGGCAGCCAAAGTACTTGTCCGTATGCTGCTCACTCAAGTGCTGGAACAGCTGCTCCAGATGCTTGGCAGGCAGGCAGATCTGCGGCGGCGGCGTGGCCTGGTGTCGCTTGGCGGTCTGCTGGCCGCACAGATGGCAACCGGGAAAGCCGACGGCGGGCTGGGCGTTGGAGCTGGTAGAGCGACCGCTGCATCGTCGCTCCTGCCGCTCCGTATGGAACTTGTCCACATGCTTGGCCTGCAGCTTGCCGGAGGTGAACTTTCTATCACAGTACAAACACAGGACCTTGGAGTGGCCCGCTGCGTTGAGGGCGGCGGCTTCCTCACGCTCCCGTTCCCGTTCGCGCTCACGTTCCCGTTCCCGCTCTTCGGTTAGCTGCTGTAGTTTCTCCATGAGCCGGGGCAGCCGCTCCAGTGGCAGGCTGCAGATCAACGATAGAGGTGCCTCCTGGTATTGCGATGAGTTCTGCTCCTCGGCCGGCTCTTTCTTGGCAAGCTGCACCTGATACTGCTCCGCCGTCGTCACTTCCTCCTGTCGTGGCTGACGCTTCTTGCGGGGTGTGGCGGGAGCGGGAACGGGAACGGTTGCGGGTGCGGCAACAGTAACGGCAGTAGATGTTGCCATGGTCGTTGCTGTTGGTCCAATTGGATTCTTGCCGTTGACCTGCTGCTGTTCCTCCGAGAGCTTGAAGCCACGGCGCAGGCCGAAGCGCCCCATGGTCTTCATGTGGAGGCGGCCAGTGGGTCAATCGGTTCGTTGCACAAGTTCTACTGCGTCCTACGCGTCTACGCTTTGTGTTGTGGGTCCTGCGTCCTGTGTCCGGTTCCTGCAACCAAGCAAAGGGCGAAATTTAAGGCAATGGCAACATATGTACATATACATATATATATATATATATATACATATATATACATTTATATATGTATATGTATTATTTTTTCGCTGTTCTTTTTGTTGACAAATAGAAGAGCAAGAGGAAGAACATGGCCGAAGAGGAAGATGTGAGAAAGAAGAAGCAGTAGAAGCAGCGAAAAAAAACAAAAACTACTCTCTTACATACACACACATGCACGCACATACAGAGAGAAAAAACTCTGGCAGAGTTGTGCACACACACACACATGCACGCGCGCGACACAAACACACACACACACCTGCCTTTTTGGCTCAATAGGAAATTATACAATAAACATTTTCGACTGCTGCTCTTTTATCTGTTATCTTCGTTTTATCGTTTGTTGTTGTTATTGTTGCTACTGCTGCTGCCAATGCACTAGTTGTCGTTGTTTTTGTTGTTTATGTTTGAGTGATATTTCACACGGCATTGCATTTTTTACCCCGTTTCGCTTTTCTTTGCTTTTTCGCACTGCACTCAGTTTTCTGTGTCGTGTGGTTGTTGGTGGAGTATTGCACTTTTCTGGGGGCCAGCGCTCCGCTCCGGATGCGTTCTCCGTCAACGGTTCGCACGCGAAAAACCGCACAGCATTTCTAATTCATTTTATTTACTATCCGCGTATTATTTTTTCCACCCTAACAACTGCGTTAGGAGGTATCTAACGTTTAGCCCAAATCGATGCGTGCGTGCGGAGCGGCAGGGGGCGGGGGCGACGGGGGGCAGTGTGCCCAGCGGCTAGCAATACGAAAATACCAATTTCAGCAAGCAGATCCCAATTGGAGTAAGCAGTTCCAAGCAGTTCTTATCGATACTATCGATAAGAGTATGAATCGTTATCAGCTTCTAGCAAACATCGATAGCGACATCGCAATTCTTGTTTTTGACGAGTCATTTCTTGCTACCGCCGCAAATTATAACAAAAAGAAGCACTTTTCACTGCTAGTCGGAAATAATGCCGTATAACATGGACATACTGATGCCGGAGAAGGTACTAGATACAGGTTGGCAGCCCTTTGACACAGTAATATTTTGTAACTCTCGTTTCGCAGCAAGACGAGTTGGCCGACCTGAAGCTAAAGGATGCCCACAGTTCCCTGGATGAGCTGGACATAGACGATCTCTACGTGCGTTACAAGGTAAGGAAGCTGTGCGAATCGCACTCCCAAATGGGCTAGCTAACTCAGGGGATATCTGTCCAAACAGAAACTGCAAAAGACGCTCGAGTTTATCGAAGTTCAGGAGGAGTACATCAAGGATGAGCAGCGCAACCTGAAGAAGGAGTACCTGCACGCGCAGGAGGAGGTGAAGCGCATTCAGTCTGTGCCGCTGGTGATCGGCCAGTTCCTGGAGGCCGTCGATCAGAATACGGGCATCGTGGGCTCCACCACAGGCTCCAACTACTACGTGCGCATCTTATCCACCATCGATCGCGAACTGCTGAAGCCCTCGGCCTCGGTGGCCCTGCACAAGCACAGCAATGCCCTGGTGGACGTACTGCCGCCAGAGGCGGACAGCTCCATTTCGATGCTGCAGCCGGACGAGAAGCCAGACGTTAGCTACGCCGACATCGGAGGCATGGACATGCAGAAGCAGGAGATACGTGAGGCAGTAGAGCTGCCGCTGACCCACTTCGAGCTGTACAAGCAGATCGGTATTGATCCGCCGCGCGGTGTCCTCATGTACGGCCCGCCCGGTTGCGGCAAGACGATGCTGGCCAAGGCTGTGGCCCATCACACGACCGCATCGTTTATCCGAGTCGTGGGATCCGAGTTTGTGCAGAAGTACCTGGGCGAGGGTCCGCGCATGGTGCGCGACGTCTTCCGTCTGGCCAAGGAGAACGCACCGGCCATTATCTTCATCGACGAAATTGATGCCATTGCCACCAAGCGTTTTGATGCTCAGACGGGCGCTGATCGCGAGGTTCAGCGCATCTTGCTCGAGCTGCTCAACCAGATGGACGGCTTCGATCAGACAACCAATGTCAAGGTGATTATGGCCACGAATAGGGCGGACACACTGGATCCTGCTCTGCTCCGTCCCGGACGCTTGGATCGAAAGATTGAGTTTCCGCTGCCGGATCGTCGACAGAAGCGTCTGGTCTTCTCCACCATCACGTCTAAGATGAACCTCAGCGAAGATGTTGATCTGGAAGAGTTTGTGGCGCGGCCGGACAAGATCTCGGGTGCGGATATCAATGCCATTTGTCAGGAGGCGGGCATGCATGCGGTGCGTGAGAACCGCTACATTGTGCTGGCCAAGGACTTCGAGAAGGGATACAAGAACAACATCAAGAAGGACGAGCAGGAGCATGAGTTCTACAAATAGATTAAGTCATTATTATTCACCCAATACATATATTTCCCCTTTCCTTTGCCCCTCGTTTGTACGCCGCCTGCGGTTATACCATTAATAAAAGTAACTAACTCGTATTTGAAGCCTTGCGGTATCTCTGCCTGTCCTGTCCAGTAGCAAACCACGGCGGTTATCCAACAAACAAAATAGACAAAAGCAATATATTTGATTCGGTGTCGAACGGAGATGTAGAAAAAAAAACAAGGAGAATTAGCATAGGAATCCAGCTACTTCATCAGCGAGTTGACCACGGCGTTCACGTTGATGGCCTTGAGGTCGGCATACGTCTGCCCGGTGCCAACGAACACGATCGGCTGGCCAGTGATGTAGGTCATGGAGATGGCGGCACCCACCTTGTCGTCGATGGTGTCGAACTTGGTCAGCACGATGCCGTCGATGATGTGCGGGTTTTCGTTGGAGGAGAAGTCGGCCAGCGACTGATTGAACTTGACCAGCTGGTCGACGGCTTCGTTGCCCACCAGTGCCTCGCCCACGAAGAGCACCAGATCGGGGTTGTTCACTTTGATGAGCTTGGACAGCGAACGCATTAGGGGCTCGTTGTCTTGCATGCGGCCAGCGGTGTCCACGAGCACTACATCCACGCGCGTATCGTTAGCGAACTTGATGGCCTCCATGGCAATGCCAGCGGCATCCTTGCCATAGCCCTTCTCGTACAGCTGCACCATGGTGCGGCCGTCATGCTTGGCCGCCGGATGCAGGGCGTTCAAATGGCGGGTATGGGTGCGGAGCTGCTCAACGGCACCGGCTCGGAACGTATCGCAGGCGGCGATGAGGACATTGAAATCGTTCTCGATCAGCCAGAAGCAGATCTTCGCCAGGTTGGTTGACTTGCCGACGCCATTTACGCCGCAGAAGATAATGGTGTAGGGACGGCCATTGCGCTTCGACTCCAGGGCGTCGCGTATAATGTCGATGCGACGCTTCGGAGAGAGAATCCGTACCAGCGACTGTGTAAGCGCCTCCTTCACCTGGCTTGCAATGCTGTCGAAGGTGCCCATCTGTTTGCCCTCCAAACTGGTGGCCACTGAGTCGCAGAGCTTAACCGCAATCTCGGAGGCCACGTTCTTCGATATCAAATGGTCTCGCATCTTCTCCAGCGCCGGCTGCAGGTCAGCCAGCGTCATGGTCTTGGCACCGACGATGCCTTTGAAGTAGGACAGCAGACCACCGCCGCTGCGTTTGTTTGTCTTTGACTGCACCAACTGCTCAGCCTCCTCGTCGCCACTGGACTCTGCCTGGTAGTCCGCTTCGTCCTCGCTCTCCACATCCAAATCGGGGATTACGCCCTGCATCGTACCCACCAGCTGCGCCCGAAGTAAATAAATTGATTAGGAGCTCAAACACAGCTGTGTTATTGCCTCTACTCACGTCACTGTTGATATTCTGGTACTGTACATCCTCGGGCGCATCCTTGGAGCGATCCAGCAACACGGCGTCCTTGGAGCTGCCACCCAGATCCCAGACGCGCGGCTTCTTGCCCGCCTTCTCGGAGGCAGCCGCCTTGGTGGGCTTGATATCGACAGGCGAGGTCTTCTTGGAGCTCCCAAGTTTCTCGCGCATCTTGCGACGACTCTCCGCTATTATGTCGTCCTTGGAACGCGGCGACGACGACGGAGACGCCGAAGACGGCGCTGGCGGACTCTCCTGGATATTGACACGCTTCTCGACGGGCTTCTTGTCGTCCTGCAGCATTGAGGCGACGGTCTTTTTGGACTTCTGCGACTCGTTAAAAGAGCGCATGGTCTTCGGGGCCTTCACCTGCTTGGCGGACTCCTGCTCAGCGGCGCTCAGAACTCGTCGGTACTCACGATCAAAGTCATACTCCTCGCTCAGACGCTCCGCGGACGGAATGCTGCCGAATTTCTCCTTGAAGGCCAGCTGCATCTCCGTCAAGAAGCCATCCAAATAGCTCAGCTTGATCACCTTCTGGAAGACAGCCGCATAGACCAAATCCAGCTCATTGTCCAGCTTGAACTGCACGGCCAGGTGGTCCTCCTCGAAGTACTTGGCCTCCGTGTTACGTTCCTGCCACACAAAAAACAAGCAACTTAGTTTACCGTGGCACTCAACCAGGAAAGAGACTCACCTCCAGGATGACGCCACGTATCAGGCTGTTGATGCAGGAGGCGAAGCTGCTTCCAGACGCGTTAGAGTTCCACAGAACGACGCCGCCCTTCGTGAATATCACCACAAAGTCCAACATTTTAGCTACCGATCCAGCAATACGAATTAATGCCTTCCACGCTCTATCATTGCACAGCAAAAAAAGCGTTCCACGTCACTTGCCGGCCAGTGTGACCGCAGCGGAGAAAGCTATTAATCCTCAGGCACTTTTAATTTGGCGCTCTCTCTAATTTCAAAATTACGAAATTCTATATAATTTTACTAGTAAATAAATCGAGCCTTGGCGAATCGGTGTAATATATATATATATATATATATATATATATTTATAAATATATATCTGCCATAGGAACAATCGATAAATTTAAAGAAAACAATTATAACTTTTCCAGATTTTAACAGATTTTCATCAAATTAAAGATATAGTTTTTTTATATCATTCTAGAATTTTGTAAAAAATCATATAGCTGCCATAGGAACTATCAAGATATTAATTTAAAATAAAATTCTAACTTCTTTAGTTTTGAACAGATTTTTATTAAAGTTGATATAACTCCTTTTTATATCATTCTAGAATTTCGCTTTTAATTTTATAAAAATCGGACTACTATATCATATAGCTGCCATAGGGACAATCAAGAAATTAATTAAAATTAAAATTATAACTTCTTGAGTTTTCAACAGATTTTTATTAAATTTTATATATACCATTTTTATATCATTCTAGAATTTCGCTTTTAATTTTATAAAAATCGGACTACTATATCATATAGCTGCCATAGGACAATCAAGAAATTAATTAAAATTAAAATTATAACTTCTTGAGTTTTCAACAGATTTTTATTAAATTTTATATATAGCATTTTTATATCATTCTAAAATTTCGCTTTTAATTTTATAAAAATCGGACTACTATATCATATAGCTTGCATAGGAACAACCAAGAAATTAATTTAAATTAAAATGATAACTTCTTTACTTTTCAACAGATTTTCATTAAATTTGATATATAGCCTTTTTATATTATTCTAGAATTTCGCTTTTTATTTTATGAAAATCGGACTACTATACTATATAGTTGCCATACAAACGATCGTTAGATATTAGAGGAAATGCAAAAATGTGAATATAATATGCATAGGTGAATGTTATGTTAGGTTATTGTTTTTAATTAATTCCTTTCTTGTGTTTTTATTATTATTAATAATGCAAATAAACGTAGACGGTTAAGGATATAAAGCGATTTTTGCTTACAAAAACATCGAGTATCCCCGAGTAACCCAGTATCGATTGAAATCATGAGTAGTGCAATACAATATTTTACATTTCTAACAATTTATTAATTTAATTTTTACAGCCGTCTGAATTTTTTTTTATCCAGGGCGAAAGCTTAATAGACTGTCCCATTTAACTTTGCAGGGGGAACTTTTACTTGTCGCAAGGAATCGGATCGGCTGCATATACATCACGAACATTCTGCAACGGATAACGAAACACGTAGAATGAGGACTGCTCTAAACTAAGACTCCGCTGAGATCCCAGAACAGTTTTGCTTGGTCGGAATATGAGTCATTGAAGTCGAGGCATGGGGCAAACGTCTGATATACTCGTAAAGCTTCGGGTGGGGACAGTCGTAAATCGAGAAATAAGTCCGTGTGCGGCTCCGCATCAGCGGCGGCGGCTGTTGTTCCTCGTCAAATTGAGGCGCAGACGGCAACGGAGAATCATATCCAATGCCCAGTTGCCGCCGGATCTCCTTCATCTCAACTATGAGTTTGATCATTTCGTCGTTATTCGTCTCCACTTTAAGCGAATGCCGCTCGCCCGCCGGCAGCAGGCAGGGAAACTTCATGAAGGGCGGCTGTTCCTCCTTGAGCACTTCCTGGTTCGCTTCCAATTGGGTCCAGCGGTTTATATAGATTTGCCTACGCTTGGCTTCCACTGCTTTCGCATTCCCGGCATTGAAATTGTTGCTATCACTGCACTGACCATCATCGTCTAGGGGCACGTAAAAGGTAGCGTAATTGCACGGTCCTTCACTTCGGTTCTTGGTCTTCGGCCGATAGAGTGGATACGGAGGATTGACCCACCTACGATCAGTGGTCTTGGATGCCTTGCCAATAGTCTGCGAGGACAGCTTGGCATAGACGTCGAAGGTTTTCAAAATCTTGGGCATGTTGCAATTCCTCAAGCGAGGCAGCGATGCCTTTCCAGCGCCTTTAACCGATCCTTCGGTTAGTGTTCCTTTTCCGGCTCTGACAGCAATAGGCTTTGGGCAGTAGACGGAATGCAAAACGCGCCCGCTGGTGTACCGGAGGGCAGCTGGAACTGGGCGTGTATAGGGCGTGGCTTCCGCATTGCGACGCTCGGTGGTCGCTTTGGGCATCTTGTTTCGTGTGGACTTCCAGTTGTTTTTATCCCGGCAATCGAATAGAAAATGCTGGGAACTAGGCCGAGTGTACTTTGAAGCTGGAAGTATAAGTGACTGACTGAGCCAAGGCTGGGAGAGCTGACGCTAAAGGCAATTCCTCCTTGTTCGATCGATTGGCTGACTAGATCGAACTTTCTTGCCCGAGAGTTGTGTAAGAGATCTGCTTGTAACATCCAGGTTAAGCGTGTTGGGTTGAAGCGGTTTCTGCAATAAAAAAACAAGCATTAGTATTCGAACAAACATATAAATTCACTAAATACTTTACCAGAAAAACGTTGGCCAAGCTGTTCAACAATAAAATAAAGATTACAGCAGCAGAGTTACATCTTAAACAAAAAATACAATTTATCGTCGGTTTTTAACAATAGAGTATTCCGATTTAGGTGGTTTCATTTTAAATCTAAACAAAACATATTTAAAATCTCTGCGAAAAGTCTCCAGGAAACCAGAACATAAAAGGCAATGTATTTTGTTTTTTGTTTACACATCTTTAATGTTAAATTTAGTTGTGTATGTTCACTTTTATTACAATATAAATTATTATTTATATTTAATAATACATTATTAGAGTCCAAGTCCTAACACTTCTTTTATACCGCATAATATCGAAGCACTCGTATTCAGTTTGTTTTTTCCCATATTAACATTGTTTTAAAAACTCGCATTTGCTGGATTAAAAAATTGTTATCTTTCGGCTGCCATGCTTTCGGGGAGGGGGTATATATATTATATATTTCTAGTGCTCTGGAGAAAGGCAATAACAAAATAATTAGACGCCCGGATTGCATAAATATATACCTTGGGAGAAGCACGCTTGTGTGTGTGTGGATTAATTTCTTAATTTCATTTCAATTAATTTAATTTCGGTTCGTTTTCGTTTCATTTAAGGCTAAGCTAGGTAATCATGCTCTGTGGAACTGATCGGTGTGTGTTCTTTGTGTGTGGCTTTCGTGCGCAGTACAAGAGCGGTGTGTGTGGGTGGAAATCTGTGATTTGGTTAAGTTTCGTTTCGTTTCGATTTGCCTTCGATACAGGTTTTAGTCATGTAAACATACGTAATTAAATATATATATATATATGTAAAATAAATATTAGTACAAAATGAAATGCAAATCATATAAAGATAGTTCTTGCATCTTAAATTCATCTTTACGCCCTCCAAAAGTCGCTTAAAATGACGCAAAAAAATACAACGTACATAAATAATAGGTATTACAAGAATTGAATATATAGAGAGAACCGGGGGAAGGAAATCAGGATTACAAATTACAAATATCTAAAAACAAGCACGCAAAATAAAAAAAAAAATAGAACACGCTCGGGCAACGAATTGCAGTTCAAACATGGTTTGCATATAATGTAAGTGTATAGGAGGATCATTATAGTTACGGGGAATATGTGGATTTGGTGCGGTTGTAATTTTTTAATTAATTAAATTAATACAATTTAAATACAGTTTTGTGGCCTTTCAATAAATACAATGCGCTATCAACTCGCCATACTGAAATCTCATCAGTTTGAACTGAACTCTGGGCGAGCGTTGCATCGAGGGGAGAAATGGAGAAATGTCGCACTCAAGACTATGTGGTTGGTAATTATATATATATTAAATGGAATCTTCTATTATGCATAATAGTAGAACGTAGAACGTATGTAATGTATGTATGTAAGTAAGTGGTAATTAAAATATAGTAAATGTCTTTTTCTTTTACAAAAGTATCGAGTGTGTAGAAATCATAATAATAATCCAAGGGGGGAACCTTTAAGTGTATAATTTTTGTATAGTTTTCTGCTTTATGTAGCTGTGTGTTGTGTGGGTGTTCGTTGTGTGTAAATTATGGTAAATCTCTTCTCGTGCCTAGTTACTAAAGTATACATCTGATGACATGCCTTCTGCGATTACGAATTAGTTTAAAAACTTAATAGACCGGCGATCTCAGGGAAGTCCCTCCGACAAGTCTTTATTTATTTGAACTCTACCGCTCAAATCGGCTAGAAAGAATGAGGCTAGACTACGAAGAATTGGTAAAAAGGGCCCAGGAAAGTGCTTTATTCTCTGATTTACATTCCTTTTGCAGTGTGTGTATATCTCTCTGGCTTTCCGTCTGGCTTTCTCATTGTCCAGTGGCTGTGCACTCAATGAATTTTTGAAACGACTAATCTATAGCCTGTTATGAGTATTAAAATGCGCAGATGGAAGGTAGTGTGTAGTGGCTATTCCAGAAGCAGCAGGATAAGCCATGGATCCTTTACGAATTCAAAGTGTAACAGTGCCGATAAAAAAATATATAAGTAAGAAGTCGCCAGAGAGAATTAAGAGTTATGTAGGAAAGTTGGAGTGTGTGTGTGTGTGGAGTGAGAATTTTGATTCAGTTTGGATGAGGAAAACGGGGGAATCATCACTAACGCTTGCTATTCGGATTCAATTTGCAAGAGAGCATCTCCTCCTTCGCCAGTTTGGCCCGATACTCAGCCATCATGTCACGGCACTGGATGGCTATGTCTAGGAGCTGCGAGAACATCGATTCGCCGCGCTTGCAGTATGCATCTTGATCGTAGTCCACATAGTTGGTAAGGTTGTACAGAGCCTTCGATTCGGACAAAAAGGTCTCCAGGGTGGCGTTTACAGTCCGATGATACTCCACCACCATCTCCTCCGTCTGTTGCAGGTCGTCAATTGCCTGGTGCTGCACGATAAGCTCGTCGGACATGTCGTGTTCCTAGAGATTGCATAATGTTTTAATTACTAATAATGCTTGCTCACGAGACAGGCTTACTAGATCGTGCTTTCTTTGTAAAACTAACGAAACGGGACTGACAGTTCTGTAAGGGATCTTGACTGCCTGGTCGGGACCACGAGGAAGAGTTAAAACAACAAGGTAGAAAAAATCTAGTACTCACGCTCAGCGAACTCAGCATGGCCAGGTCCATGTTTCCGGCATTTCCATTCTTATTGTTATTGTTGTTGTTGTTGTTTAGACCCGCGGTAGAGTGTCGCAGCGACTGGGAGGCCTGCGGATGCTGGTGCGAGTGCGGATGCACCTGATGATTGAGGTCTTCCTCCTCCTCGTCGTCCATGATTTCGATCGCCTCACAAGTATCACCGATCGGACCTCCAATTTCGGCCACATCCTTGACCACCAGCTCCTTCACTCGGTCCGCGTAGCGTAGTGTGTTCAGCGTGTGCTCGCACGAGCTTAAACCTGGCGAAATCATGGCAATCATACAGGTCTTACTGTTTTCGCCAATGAACGAGTCGCGCAAGACCTGAGTTAGCTTCGAAACGCGGAAGGGTAAATGGGCAGACTGCTTTCCTAGCGCTCGGATGCACTCCTTGAGGGCCAAGAGTGATTTGTTGATCTCTGCGCCCTCCAGGCGAGTCTGTCGGTCGGCCGACGATGTGTCCACGCCACGCTCGTTGCCAGCCAAATCGATAAACGAAAACTTGCCATGGATCTTGGTGGAGCCCATGGGTCGGAGTACAATCTGAAAGACGGCGTGCGAACGCGACGAGTTTGCGTTGGCCGACGTCTGGCCGGATGTTCGTGCTGTATTGCCATGCTGGATAAGCTTCAGCACCTCTTCGACGCTGTCCACCACCTTCTCGGTAAGGCCCACCACCTGAACCTGCTGCTTGCCATCCTCCAGGACGCGAAGCTTCTGTTTCTCCGCCAAGAGATCAAACACCTTGCCGCTGTATATCTCAAAGAAGCTGGCCGAGACGACCAGGTTCATTGATCGATAACGGGGCGTATTCAGTGTGACAAATACGTCCTTAGCGGCCATGGCATAAATGCCATTCTTACAGTTCTGGATCTTTCCATTGAACTCGCCGCCCATGGTGTGCGTTTTACCAGAGCCAGTCTGGCCATAGGCGAAGCAAGTGGCCATGCCACCCTCAAAGATGGTCTTTACCAATGGCTTCGCTGTGTATCTGCGAAGGTAGAAAGATGGTTATGATTAACAAGAAGTTCGAAATAGGTGCAAATATATTATCGGCATTATCGGTCATTTAAGGGAAGCAAGGGTTAAGTAACACTAATGATAACCAAGAAACATAACTTCGGGATGCCGTAGTTTATATACCCTTGCAGTTTGCAATTGAATTATAGGATATTATCGGAAATCAATCACAACTAAGGTTAAAATATTACCATTTTTGGAATAGATTTTTATGATATTTTTATATGATATATTTTTGGGCAAATCATCGCTTTTAAAAATCATATAACTCAGCCAAAAATGCTTTAAACCTGATTCGGAAAGCTGTCCTATGTAAGTTTTTATTAGGTTAATAAATCTTCATACTCAATTCAATATTTGAACAAATTAATTTTTTTTCGATTTTCTTAATGATTTTTATGATGTAACCCCTTATAAAATTTGGAAAAAATTTCAACATTTTTTTTTTCGGTCGGACATGGCTAGATCGACTCGGCTGTTGATGGTGATCAAGAATATATACGATTTATAGGGTCGAAAATGACTCCTTCACAGCGTTACAAGCTTTTGACTAAAATTATAATACCCTGCAAGGTTAATTCTGACTGACAATGACTTTAAAATTCACAGCTGATTCATGTCTAATATTTTCGATAAACAGTATCAAATGCATTAAGTAAACCGTTATCTTTGCGTTCCGTTACGTTTCAAATCCCAGATTACTCATCGATATTGTCTTGCCTTCGCCGTGACGTAAAGTGTCGTAGCCGCTATATACGACTTTACGTTACGACCACTTTCCTCCACATCCCGTGGTCCCCCCTTCCAGCCACATGCAGCCATTGACTCATGCGCAAAGGCCGGAAAAAGAAGTTGGTTGGCAGGGCAAAGAAAGAGAAGTGAAAGAGATAGACAGACAACAGTGAGACAGCCAAAGAAAAACAAACAAAGCGCGCTAGCCGAGAGCCGCTTTAATTCAATTGAAGGCAACAAACACACACAATTACACTCTAATGCCGGGCCAAAAGGCAGTTACTTTTCGAAATCTCTTCCGATGGCAGAATCCACCAATTTAGAGAAAGAGCCCAAATCGGCAGGTTCATAGAGAATGACCGAGAGGGGTGGTAGGTAGGGAGGGTAGGTGACGGACGGCGGGCTTCTTCAGTTAGTCATACAAATAACAAAAACAACAAATATATTAAACAAACTTGGCTATTTCGGGAGCGACCGCTTTCAGTTGCATGTGTCTCTCGCTATCTCTTTCTGCGAGTGTATGTGTGTGTGTGGGAATGAGTAGCTCAGACAGAGATGCGAAGACGAGTCGAGCTTGGTTAGAGTGACTCTGCAGTCACAGTGACCGTGGAGCAATATTTATCTAGATACAGATACTAAGCCAACATCTTAAAATATTAATTAATTGATAAATTTATCAAATAGATCCCCTTACTTCCGCAAAAGGTGCTCACTAAATAGGAAAGACACGAATAATCATTATTATTTTGAAGCAGGTGAATATTTTCCTAAAAACACTGCTGAGTAATCTTTGCTGATTAACTAACATCCTGTCAAAACAGATAGTGAGTGATTTGAACTATAAAAGTTCGATTGCATTCGATTTTTGATAAAAAGCTTTTTGATAAGAGAACTCAAATCAATAGCAAAATATTATTAAGTTGGATGCAAGGTATAGGTACACACATATATATACATCAAAATCGGAAGATAGTAACTGAAGCAATCTTACTCAGAGTGCGACCATTGCTTAGTCGTGTTAATAACTCGGTGACAAGGCTAACGCTGCTCGAGCTACATATAAATCCTTTTATGCTATCTGGCTTATAAGGCAATGGATTTGGGGTCGGGTTTGTTAAGATGCCCGCCCGCAGCTAGAATTAGAATGCTATACTCACTTGTACACCATGGCATTGTCGCACGTGTCGTTGAAGGCGTAGTCGAAGCGAAACTTGTGATTCTCAAGGAACTTGGTGAGGTCCACCTTGGCGCGTGGCTCGTGCAGGATGAGCACGTCCTTGCGCGGCACCGAGATAACGTCGATCTCCTTGCGATTTATCTCCTTGCGGCTAATGGGGCGCTTGCGCACACAGACCGTAATCTGATGATCATCCACAGACTGTCCGTCGAGCAGCGGCACGAACTCCATTGTGCTCTGGTACTCTCGAATCATCTGCGCCGTCTCCCAGTTGGGATTGCCTGGATCCTGGTTCATCGCCGCCACTTTCTCCTCCCTCATCTCTGCTTGACGGGCTCGTCGCTTCTCACGGTTCTCTTTAAGCCGCTCCACCTCCTTAAGAGCATGCGAACGTCGGGATCCACCGGCACCGCCCTGCGATGTGGTGTTGCTCGCCTGCGATTGAGCCTGGGCCTGTGATAATGCAGCAGCAGCGGCTGACGGTCCTGTATTGCTTGTGCTATTGGAAGCGGCTGAGGCAATGCGCGTCTGCTGGCCGACGCCGGTCGTGCTGGTGGACTGCAAGAAACGGGGTCTCTGCAGGCCCGTTCCCGTTGACGGAACGGTTATGTTGCTATTTGTATTGTTGATCGTGTTGGTTGACTGGCTGTTGCCCAGCGGCTGTGGGATCGATGCCGCCTCTTGGATCTTGTTCATATGGGGGCCGACCAGGGTCATCCGATTGGTGATATTACCGCCGATGGCGGACTGCGTGGGGTTACGCGATAGATTCATCGGGGCGGTGGCCTGCTTCTTCGGCTCGGGAGCGGCATGCTGCTCCACAGCATCGGCGGTTAGCTCTGGATTCAGCGACAATATGGCGTCCAATTCCACCTCTTTGCCTTTCGTCTCGCCGCGCTCGTACCATTCGACTGTGATGCACTTGCCCGCCTGATTAATCACCGCCACCACGGCCATGTGGACGCGGCCATCGGTGCGCTTGATCTTCACACTCTGTCCCACCGTAATCATGTCCATCTTGATTCCTGGACCTGGACTGCCTCGAGTCGCTGCTGCGTTGTTTGCAATGTGTTGCTGTGTGTAGTCCTGCCCTCTCTGGCTCGCACTGTTTTCTGGTGCTGGCTAGTCCCGTTAGACGTAGACAGTGTCAAAAATGGAAAACGAAAAATCTACAATACAAAAAGAGCACGAAGAAAAAATTAGTCCGGTATTTTTCGGGGTCAAAATCTGTTTGGGGTGTTTCTCACAATAACTTTTAATCAAACTCGATGCGGGGAGCTCGAAGGGGCACTGACACCGAGAGCTAGGAGCACCTGATGGCAGCCAAATGCTGCTGAACGATTTTGTAGGGAACTGCAAACGTTTTGGAGTTTGCCAGTTCGTAAGTTCGTGTTAACTTTACTGCTTCTTCTTCCCATTCGAGGTCGCCGACAGCGTCTGTTTGGTGTGTGTGCGAATATGCCAGTGTGTGTGTGTTACGCCTGCATGTGTGCGCTTAAACACAATTTAAATGCCAACTGTCGCTTTGGTCGCGTCTGGCAACGGATAACAAAACAACGGATTGCAGGAAGAAGAAGGAAAACTAATAGGCGAATAGTGGTGAGGGAAAAAGGAGAAAGATGGGTCAGAAGCCGAGTCACAGATCGCCGCCGCTTTGCCGCACTGTGCAACACTGTCGCGCACATAGCGACACATATGCAGCAAATAGTGCCAAAAATAAAAGCATAAAAAAAACACATTTAAGCGCAGAGTTGGCAGGGGGATGCAATAATCAATGCTTTACGTTAATTAGATGCAAGCGGACAACATTACGTTATCGCTTTACGTCATACACGGCTCCCACACTACTAATACTCACACAAGCACGCACAACACACATGGACCAACACAGCGAAACAGACGGTCGCGGAAATGTAATTGAATTTTTGCAATCTGCTGTTTGCTTTGCGCTCACCTTTACTGCTGTCCCGACCGCTACAATGTATTCGCACTTGCCATAAAAAAACGAGACGTTCAACCGACCGATCACAACGAATTATCACAAAATTTTAGATAGTTTTACTAAGCAGAGCCAGACCAGATGTCAACAATTTTGTAGTTTCTCAGTGCTTCATCGATTGCTATTCGTCACTCGCTTGTCACATATCGTAATCGTTATCGGCCAGTGCTGGTAAACGGACGATGCATTTGAAACAGTACGTTGCTAGGGTCTCGATGCGATTGCAAACAAAGGCTTCTGTGGGAGGATTCTATTAGGAAACCCCAAAATTCGATGTTTTAAATTTAGAAGCCCGATTATATGAGTAGTTGCAATAGAAATTAGCCAAATTGATGCCGATTGGCGAAAGCCTAAATTACAGCTGTGTCGTATGTATAACATCGATTGTCTATCGATACCAGCCCGAGAGGTTTTAACTCATCTCTAGTTGCAAGATTTGTTTGTGCGTAGAAAGGAAAGTAAATTGCTGAATTGGAAAAAGATAGCAAACCGAGCCTCCCGAAGACCAGCAAACTGCCAAAGAAGACACGGTGAGTGGCTGGGATCACAACAGAGCGCCGCTTGACGTACGAACATCACCTGCAGAGCTCGCAGCAGTAGCAGCAACAGCAGCAGCAGCATGGACATCATGGACATACAGGCCGTTGAGTCCAAGCTGAGTGACGTCACGGTGACTCCGATACCCCGCTCCCAGGTGCAGAACTTTTACAACTATCAGCAGCAAAGGGAGCAGCGCGAACAGCAGCCCCAAATCCAGATCTCGGCCATCCATCATTCGCGCAGCTCTGGCTCCAATTCCGGTTCCAGTTCGGCCGGCCAATCGGCCACGGACTACTCAACGGGGGGCAGCGGGAAGCGGGATCGCTCGTCGGCCAGCGACTATAGCAGCAGCAGCAAGCAGAGCTCTGCGGCAGCAGCGAATGCAGCCGCGGCCGCTGCTGTTGCCGCCTTGCAGTACTCACCGCAGTTCCTGCAGGCCCAGCTGGCGCTGCTCCAGCAGCAGTCCAATACCACAGCCACACCGGCAGCAGCAGCGGCGGCGGCTCTCTCCCTGGCCAACATTGCTGCGGCCACCAACGGAGCACGCAGCTCGGGCGGCGTGGCGTCTAACTCAAGCAGCAGCAGCAACGGCAACAGCATGGGCCTGGGCCTTAACCTGAGCTCCTCTCAGCTCAAGTACCCGCCGCCCTCCACGTCACCGGTAGTGGTTACTACTCAGACGTCGGCCAACATCACCACACCGCTGACATCTACGGCCAGCCTGCCATCACTGGGCACTGGAAATGGATTGACCAAGTACGCCCAGCTGCTGGCTGTCATCGAGGAGATGGGACGCGACATTAGGCCAACGTATACCGGGTCGCGCAGCTCCACCGAGCGACTGAAGCGTGGAATTGTTCATGCCCGGATTCTTGTGCGCGAATGCTTGATGGAGACGGAGCGAGCGGCGCGCCAATGAGAGGAGGAGTCCCTGGCGCCGCATCTGGCGTCGCCGGATTGAAACAGCCAGGCGTCGTCCGCATCATCAATGACTAGGTTAATCTCCCTGATCGGAACAGGATGTGTCGATAACAAGTATGAGCCGTTTTCCAATTTTTAAGTGGACAAATGTACGATTTTGTCCCTTTAAGGTAACAACATTATATTATCTCTATGGAACAGTTTGATTTATCCTTGTAACTTAACTAAACTTAACCTTGTCTTCAGAACTTTTTACGATTTTCCTACATTATTTACGGAATTAAAACCCTCTAATATCCGGGTATCGACACATCCTAATCCCAAAGTATGTTCCCCAAATTAAGCATTAAACTGTAGCGATATACTTAAACTAACTTGTAAGCAACCCCTCTCCCTCACTGACCTGACCTGACCTGATCCCATTTCCAACATAAACGGCTCTCGGGCCGCTACCGGACCATAGTTAAAGAATGTTTAGACTAGCTCAGGTTACGAATCGGTTAAATCTATATACGCTATATGCTCCTTTCGTTCACCTTTTACCACAATACATATACTATACACATATATATTTATATATATATAACTGTAATCGTAGATTTAATAGGAGGCACGCACCTGATGCTGCTGTCCAGAGATGTGTGTGTCTGTGTGTGAGTGTGTAGAGAGTGCTGTGTGAATGCGATGGAGAGGAGCAGCCACACGGCCTGGAGATGTGGGATCGTTCGTCACTGCCGCCGCCTGGGGTCATCCCTCCTCGTTATTTTAGACAACTATACAAATTCAAATAGAGATATAGCAGAGAGATATATGTATACATCATATATACCCTATACATACTTGTTATGCAAGCAAACAAACACACGAACCATGTGCATGATGACGAATGGTGAACCTGCAACAAATTTAGTGGCAATTGACACGGAGAATCTTTATATATACATCTATATATGCATAGGACAACAACTTGTATATTTACTGAATGTATAAGACGAGCAAATACGACTAAGTTCAAGCCTGTATACCAAACCGAAACTGGACATCCAAATCGAAATAAATGCGCAATTTTGGTTTTTGTAAACTCAAGTTCTACCGTTTTCCAACTTACGAGGGAAAATCAAAGCATTTTCCCATGTAAGCGAGGATCCAAATTACTTTATTTTCATTTTATTTTCAGTATTTTAAATTACTTTTTTAAGCTCAAGCATCAGCCTAGCAATCCTCGAAATAGGAACAGCAGGAGGGATATGGCTTGGACAAATCCTCCTCCACTTTTTTGCAGGGCTTACTGGAAACCGTCTGAGCACACCTGTGTTACACATCTTACGTGAGAAAGTGCCCAACAAAGAAAGAAGGATAAGGGCAACTTACCCTATCAGCGAAATAGCCTCCTTGCCGGCGCACGTGTATTCCACACATTTACCTTTTGGAGTATACTTCTCTCCAGCCATTAGCTTATGACCGTCGATATTGCAGTCCACTGGGAAGGAGAAAAGGGATCGCAAAGGTGAGAATATGAAGCAGAAATAAGCAAGGACTTACCACCAAACACCAGCAACGCGTGAGCGCTCAACACCAGGAGGGATAGCACAAACGTTACAGACTCCATCTTGTCCCTGGAGAGAGGAAAACTGATCTGATGATCGGCCAACAGCAGCCGGACTATATATACACATATAATCGATTAAATTGATTAGATTCACGATTATGCCCTTGTGAGAGGGATGTTAGGTAAGGGAGAATATTTCTAGTAACGTTCTCATTTACGAGCAGCGATTAATTTATAAACTAAACTAACTAGTTTTGCTAAGTGTTCTTCTGATTCTGATTTTTTCCTGGAGTATACTAAACCGCAGGTTAATTTTCATGCTACGGAGGTAAGCTTAATCACCAGTTAATGGCACAGATAAGTTGGGTTCTTTCACTTTATTGAAATTAATGTCGTTTTGCCTCAAAGTTTAAATTTCAACCTAATTTCAGTGGCTCAACAATTGAACTTGGGACAACAGTCGGGATATGGTTTGGTCAAATCACTCTCCATCTTGCAAGGCTTCAAACTCTGAATCGATGGGCATCTGTGTTGGGTGACAAATGAGTAGTAAGTGACATTACACAGCGAAGAATTCAATTTATGGAGCAAACATACGTCTTGGCAATAAGACTCTTGGGTCCCTGGCAGGTGTATTGCAAGCAGCGCCCCGGTGGGCTATACGTCTGTCCGGCACTAAGCTTCTGACCAGTCCGCTAGGAGAAAAGATCGATCAGATAGAGCTGAAGACGATCCAGTTGGTAGCCAGGAATCCGCTACTAACCGGCAAACACCAGGAGCGAGTGGGCGCCCAGCACCAGCAGGCATAGCACAAATGTCACAGACTTCATCTTTTCGTCAGAGAGAGAAACAAACTGATCCGACAATTGCCCAGATGCCGAGCTATATACTCTTTGGGTTAATTTCTCGCTGCGATTAGATTGAAAGGTCAAGAAGATCGTCTGCGTCACGACTGTGGGGTGTATCAATATTAAAGGTGAAAAGTTCTTATTAAATCTAGGACAATAATTGTTCAGATATAGCAGTCAATATAGTAGTATTCTTTAAGCAGCTAAAATGATCTGGAATATAAAAATTAATATATATAAAGGTCAGCTTTCGGCACAAGAAACTATAACGGGCTGTCAAAAACTACAAGCACCAATATAGTTTTAGCGAGCAAATAATCTTTAAAATTCAATGTAATTGTTTTTGTAAAGTAAATATTTATGTTTGTGCTTTAAAAAGATTATTATTTGCAGATAGAAATGCTTAAAGAATTTTACTTTATTGTAAACTGCCAATAGAATATATATTCGAAATCCATCTTAATGCTAATTTTTTCATCCCAACTTTATAGCCTCAATCCAGATTCTCCTTCTCACACTCGAGCTGCGGACAGCAGGCGGGATAGGACAGCTCAAATTTGCTCTCTGAGAGATGGCAACCAGGTCGTGGAAACGATTGTTTGTCACAGCTGGAATGGATGCCAATGATAAATATAGAGTTGTGAATAATTCGCATACTCACTGTCGGATTATCAAAAGATAGTCCTCGGTGCATTCCACACGGACGCAGTAGTCATCGTAGCCGTTTGGAAGAATGAAGCCATGCAGCGGAACGGCCAGCTGGAGCTCCTCGTAGAGACAGTGCTCCGGCAGTGTTGGATGCTGGGTATGACCCCGATACTGGGTGCTAAAGCCATTGGCGGCCACGGCGACCAGGATGGCTAGAAAAACAGCCGAAACATAGGCCCACAACGATCCAGACATGGTTAGGTTAGTGGTGGCGTTTGCTCTGAAACCATCTCTTATATGGGGCCACCCGAGGGCGGCTTATCAGTGCTTCTCCTATCACTAATTTCGATTGGGTTTGCTTTGCTCTCCAGCTTTAAATATGGAACGGGAAATACGGAGGAAGTTGAATCAGATGGGTCAATATAATGACAATTAAGACACTGTATACTCGAGGATGTGTCTTATCTCAGACTGTGATAGCTACTTGGAGAGCTGCGTAAGTAAACGTAATTCGACCTGAACAATCAAGTTGTATATTAGCCAAATTTTTAGCTACTTTAGTTAGGGCCTTTTATTTTATGTATATTGTTTATGTAAATCTTTGGCTATTTATTATCTTTCAGATGTGGGATTTCCTTGAGTATGGAATGCGTTAAGCATATTCTTTGGAGCGCCAATCATGGCACATCGAATCACATGCCACGTCCCCCGACAGATTAGCATTAATTAATGCTAATGGCTAAACCCAGCCTCAATGCAATGCACTTGCACTCGCACTCGTGAGACCCATTACAACAAATTAGCATAAATGAATCTCAGCCAGATAGTCACTGTGTGTGTCAGGTGGCCGAAATTCGGATACAAATACAGATCCAGATGTGTGCTCTTTGCGGCGCAGCAACCTTGCCACAGTTTCTCGAACCGTGTCACTTAAGTCAGGGCTTCCCCCGCCGTATCCCGATCCTCTCCAGATGCAAACTCTCGCTTTCAGGGCTATCGCTGGCTTAATTAATTTAAACTAGAGCTAGAGCGGACGCCTTAAGTCGTCGGCAAACAAAAGCCGCTTCGCAGATGCTATCTACATGTATGTACATACATACCCTGAGTGTACACACACACACACACACACCACACACAGTGTGTTTATTATTAATTTTATATAAAAGCATCAACAATTAATTGTAATTGGCTCAGTCGCACGGGTAGCGCACAAGTGCCAAGACGAATTTGGACTTGGATATTCGCTTATTGTTTTGTTTTAAAACAACTCCTCCATCTACACCTCACTCCTTTGTTAAACATGCGGTCTGGAGTTCCTGCTGCTGTGATCGCTGTGGTGCTCCTCGGCATTTGTGGTTCAGCATGGGCGGATCTATGGTATCGCGGCAATGCGGTTCATCCAGGTGAGTGATTTTGGAGATCCTGGGTTGTATTTCTTCTTTCAAGAAAAATAGTCTTTGGATTTGATCAACTTCCTTTAGTTTCCCCAAGACATTTAAAATTGTTTAAAAACGAAATATGAAGATAAGTTAAAGAAGTATACCCATGGAATCATGGGTTCGAAATTGCAATTTATCATAACTAAGCCAAAAATGCCTTGATTTCCATTCGGAAAGCTTTTCTGCGCTAGTTTTTATAGGGCTAAAAAATCTGCATACTGAGTTTTAAAATTTAAGAAGTTTTAATTTTTTGTCAAATTTTGAACATTTTAACGATGTAACCCCTTTCATTTTTTTGAAAAATTTTCGCAAAAAAATTGAAAAAAAAATTATTTCCAAAATTAGATTATTAACTAATTGGAATTTTAATTGCGATTCGGAATATATATGCCTTTTTGCAATCACTCGCTTTTTGGCCAAGCTATGCCATCAAGAAGTTCCCAAATATGCAACTTTAAATCTATATTTTTCGATATTTTTATAGGGTAATTTTGTTGGACAAATCAAAATTAAAAAACTTTATAATCTCGGCCAAAAAATCCTTGATTTAAAATCGGAAAGCATTTTCGTGTTAGTTTTTCTTAGATTAACAAATCTGCATACTCAATAAAAAATTAAAATTTTTTTTAATTTTGACAATTTAAATTGTAAATAATTTCGAAAAAAAGTTTTCTACCGGACATGGCTAGATCGGCTGTTGATGCTGATCAATGATATATATGGTTTATAGGGTCGCAAATGACTGATTCAATGTTTTCGAAGCTTTTAACTAAAATTATAATAATATAAATAAGCTTAAGTATATTTTTAAGTAAAATACCTATATTCATTTCCAGACTATCCTGGTCAGTGCTACTATGAGGAGCTAAAGCAGGCCATTCCCAAGAAGCAATCATATAAGCCCATCAACCGGGAGGGTTACTGCCAGTCCATCTACTGTAGGCCGGACAATGTACTGGAGATACGCTAGTAAGCCTTACATTTATTATTATTAATATATATGTTTATTAACTATTATTTATCTCTTAATCCTATAGTTGCGGTCGCCACAACCTGGTACCCACGGACAAGTGCAAAATCGCCTCCGATATGCGACGCACCTATCCTGACTGCTGTCCCAAGCTGGTTTGCCAGGAGTCGGAGAGCAACTATATCTAGGCTGGATGAGATCCAATCTGTTTTCTGTACATAAGCATAAGTATTAGACATAGTTGAATAGTTTTTTTTCTTGTTACATGCTTGTTAAGTGAACATTATTTATTTTTAACTCTACATTAGGTTATAAATACTTGTCCAATTCTGAATTAAATAAAGACACCGAAAGCTGTAAGAGAAGGCTTTTTAATCTGGAACTACGCAGCAAATCCCTCACTGGCAATTATACAATTAAGAGACCGTCTCGTCTCGCACACAAAAGCTAAGCTGGTCTGGAAGCCCAGAGATTCATCACCGTCTCACTCTCTCATCTCAATCAAGGGGAAAATGCAAATTGCGGATTCTAATTTGCAAACAAAACAAACTCAGCGGCAACTAGGAACTATAAATAGGAAACTGGTTGGCCGGTAGTCGGTTCAGTATCATCGCCACGTTACCATCATGCGCAACGTATCCGCTGTCGTCGCCGCCGCCTTCCTGCTGCTGTTCATCGTGACACTCCTGCTTCCGACTGCCGATGCTGGTGAGCTCCCACATAGAAACCGTATCCCATTCAAGGATTATTTCCATTCGTATTTGTGTAGCCAGCGAACCCGTGTGCACCTATCGCAACTCGGAGGATGAGACCATATTCCTCAAGTATCTGCCGCTCCTGAAGCGTGGCGAGGACTATGTGGACTTTGGCAAGGAGGGCAAGTGCCTGAAGCGGGCCATCTGCACGGACACCTTCAAGACCATTGTGGAGAGGTGAGTGGTGAATCGTTTATTGATCTAGAGTGTCAGAAATCAAAGTTAGTTTATGTAAATAATCGAATGATATATCTTTTTTATGGCAGCTGCGCCCAGCACAAGATCACCTGTGCCAACAAGGATCGCTTTACTGGAGTCTTTCCCGGCTGCTGCCTCAAGTGTCCTTAAATTCAATATTGTCCAGGTTTAATTCTTCAAATAAAGGTAATAAATTACTCAATCCGACTTTCTTAAGAATTATAATTAAGAACTAAAAAAAACTTATTAAGGCATTAATTCCTTTAACGAATATATCAAAATATAACGTTAGACATTTAATACTAAAAAAAAGTTATTTAAATAATATTTAAAATATTATTAGAAGGTTAGGTAAATTTTTGAAATCTATAAACAAAATAATTTTTTATATTAATAAACTTGTTTCTGTACAACATATTAATATAATGTAAACAATAAATTTCAGTTCTGAAACAAATTAAAAGGAAACACAAACTTTTATTTAAAACAAATCAGTTTATTAATTTAAAAATCAATCCTTCTGGGACCAAAATCACTCTCTTTCCTCTTTATTAGTCTTTTTCATTCTTTAATTTTTATCGCATTCTTCATTGATACGTTTTCGATTTTTTTCAAGCTTCTTTTTGTTTATTTTTAATAAGTTCTTAGATTAATAACATGACATGGATTCGGCGGCCTTCCTTATTTTCTTTTTTTAGTTTCTTATTTTTCTGTGATCCTTTTTATCCTTTGGGACTCAGTTCTGTGCTACGTTATTTTGGATTCGGTAGACGAGTAGGTTATGTATAAATCCACTCCATTCCCAAATCATAACGTAAAACCAGATTAATGAACTAAATCCAATTAGCCAGAAAGTATAGGAGTTATGGACCTCTTTAAATGCTACGATTGTAAAATTGTAAAATAAAAGAGCGGCAGCTGGAACAATTAAAGCAAGCTTATGTGCAACAGTACCACTAAAGTCCAACAAGGGCGACTGCAAAAGACTATCAACCATCTGGCGACAGGGACATCTCAATAAATTCATTCCTTACTAGCGTGGAGTATCAGATCCTACCAATACACTAAAGCGGGAGACCACCGGGACAATCTTCTATAGGACTATTTAAGAGACAAGCAAAGAATGATCGTTATCACTCTACAATTAAATGTACCCCTAACAAAGCTCAAAACAAGTTAGAAATGAAGAAAAATACAGAAAATGCTAACCAAAAACTATTGTACGTTACAATATTTAGACCCATAGAATATTAAGCCAGCTTACAAATTTACAAAGGACGCTAATGATGACAATAATAATCTGAAGGTATACTAAAAAATCATTTTATACATTCTGAATAAAGATAAGTCGATTGAATTTAACTTTGAAATCTAAATGTTACCGAAATTATTCGTTTTCAAATGAACCTAGCCTCCGTTTACAAAAACTCGCACTTCACTCTCTCGCTTGCTTTCATGCGTACACAGACTGCTATATCCATCTCTCTCTTTTTTACATACTTGCACATTCTTCTTCTTCATCGCCTTCATCTTCATCATCTACTCTTTCCTGTGCTGAGTTAGTGTTTTTTGTGGTCTCTCTCTACTATAGTTTTTGTTAAAAATATTGGTTTGAAAATGTTTTCTAAAACAAAAGAAATTTCAAGTGTTTCATTTCTTTTTATTTTACTTGTTGGTTTTCGGGTTAGTGTGTTGTGTGTGTTCAGTTTCGTTTTTTGTTTTCTTTTTCTACCGTTTGGGGGAAATTGTTCAGTAGTTGGCGGAACGCATGGAAACAAACAAAAAAAATTAGGAGCAATATTCATTTACAACCGACACTGAAGATTTTAAAGTATGTGTGTTTTCGAACATATAAAAATATCAACTGATATATTATATATACTTGATATAAACGGAGTGAAGTTTGAACATATTTGCAGTTAAGCGACCAAGTTTAATTACAATCTCCTGTGGCTGTCACTACTCTTCCTGTTCTTGTTGCTGAGACTGCTACTCCTAGATCTAGTTGGTTGCTGTATGGTGTGTGGTGTGTGGCGTGTGTTGTGTGTGTTTTGTCGGCTTCATCGCTCTCAAGTTAACTATAAATACAGGCTCGCTTATAGATCCTCATCCTCGTCGGGCAGGGCGGTCGCCTGTGCCTCCTGCAAGTCACGCTCGATCTGCAGCTGCCAATCCTTGTCCATCTTAACCTCCGGCGGCAGCAGGGCTGGCATCGCGACGAACTCCAGGTTGGGATCACCCACCAGCTTGCGCGCCAGCCAAAGGAATGGTTTCTCGAAGTTGTAGTTCGATTTGGCAGAAATATCGTAATACTACATCCGGAAGAAAACAGAGTTAGTTTTCAAAAAAGCAATACTTAATACACTACTTTAGCGAGACTCACCTGCAAATTCTTCTTGCGATGGAAGACGATGCTCTTCGCTTTCACCTTACGATCCTTAATGTCGACTTTGTTTCCACAGAGAACGATCGGTATGTTCTCGCAGACGCGGACGAGATCGCGATGCCAGTTGGGCACGTTCTTGTAGGTGACGCGCGATGTAACATCGAACATGATGACAGCGCACTGGCCCTGAATGTAATAGCCGTCGCGCAGTCCGCCGAACTTCTCCTGGCCAGCGGTATCCCAGACGTTGAAGCGGATGGCACCACGATTGGTGTGGAAGATCAGTGGATGCACCTCCACGCCGAGAGTGGCCACATATTTCTTCTCAAACTCGCCGGTCATGTGACGTTTGACGAATGTGGTCTTTCCGGTACCGCCATCACCGACCAGCACACACTTAAACGTGGGCATATCCTGTCCTTCTTGAGCCATTGTCTTCTGTTTCTGCTTTACTTAGATGGCGCAACAACGGAGAGCTGGAGATAATGCAATAATAGGGAGAGTTAGCTTCTATTTTATATTCTCAGATATCTCTGTCTTTTCTGTTGCGTGCTGAAGATTGCGATAACGGAGGAGCGCAGGAGAGGACTGCAATGCACGACGATGCTGCTGGTTTGACGAGCGCCAGGCGACTGACGCAGGATTCAACGACGGCAACGTTTGTGACGCACACCAAGGATGCGTCAAAGCCCGCCAAGGACGAAAACAGCTGTTTGCCCAAGCCAAAAACAAAACGGGAAAAGGGACCGAGAGAGAGAGAGCAGGGATACTGCAGCAGCAGCTGCCGATGCCGCTCCCGCTGAGCCGGAGATAAGGAGAAAAACAAGCTAAAAGAGAGACGGCATGCAGGTAAGCGAAAATCCTGGCATTCCTCACGTTGAAAAACAACAACAAAATGTGCCCGAGAAGGCGGAAGGAAGGAGGCACTTTAAACAGCAAAAAACAAAGCCAAAAGGAGTTCAGACCGTGTACATAAGGAAGGACACAAGAAACGGATGAATAAAATACAATAATTACTAGTTCAGACCCATCAAGCAATCACCAAAAACGGAATATATATGGGTGTTTCTTCCGATTTATAAATTAAATTAAATTGGTCAACATTGTAAGCTGATTTTAGGGAAAATTATACTACTCTCCTGATATATAAAATAAACATTATTTAAAATTCCCTACATTTTAGAAATGCTATGAAATTCCAAATTGATTGTTCTTCTTTTTCTAACATAAGATATATATGAGCTGATAGAAAAACTATTAATTCTTAAGCCAAATTTCACAATTTACAAGATTTGTAAAAAAAAGATACGAATTTCAGGAAATGTTGAAACATTTCCTTTTTCAAAGGCAGCTTTGTGAGTCACAGGACTAAGAGCATTTTCGGACATTGCGAAATTGGATTTGTCAAATTTCACCGATTTGTCCCTTTCAATATAATTCCCATGCAACGGGAACCCACTGTAGCCGGCATCTTACAGTAGTTTTTATCGTTTTTTTTTATTGTGGAAATGAAAACCAAAACCCGACGTCACTGTTGCACACACTCTTTGTGTGTGGGACGCGAGACGCTGCAAAGCGCGCCAAAATGCCCAGACTGGCGTGAGAGTGCGACTGCGACAGAATGCATTGCCAGCCTCGATTCACGTGAAAAGCACTCCGGTGGAAAATGAAAAATGTTTGCGCCTTAAATTCTAAATAACAAATCAAATTCTAACACACGCACGCACACCAACACAAACATAAACATACACGCGCACGCAGTGACAGAAGCCGGCGTCGCTGCCGACAGAAGCGCCGTTCGTCGCCAGAAACATGACGCAAATTTCGTTGCTTTTTTTTGCGATTCAGGTTTAACCTCACAAAATGCGGACGGCGAGTGCCGCTGCTGCCGATGGCATGGCCATGGGAAAACCTTCGTTGCGGAATGCTCGCCAGGAGGTTTAGCGACAGCGCCTAGTCCCCTCCTTGGCCTGCGTCTCGCCTGGCTGTAGCCGAGGGTTCCTCAAGCGGACCCAAAACAGCACTAGCACGCGGCTGGCGGCGGCCACAGCGGCAGCACCACGTCGGTTTCGACGCCGGGAACCGCTGGGGCTGACTTGACCGTTTGGACTTGATATGCGGCGAAGCTATTTCGTACCCGGCACCTGGTGACTGGCGAAGCATAGGCCAAAAGAACAAGTGGCTGCCGGAGCTTGCACTGCTGCAACTTCCTGCAAGCGACGCCGCCGTCGTCCATATTGCGCCGGAGCGAGCGGCAGTGTCACGGGCGCACGGCGGTTTCACCGGCAGCACGCGGTTTTCCAGTGCCTCCGGGAAGGCTGGCGCAGTAGCTTACATGAACTACTCACAATTTGCGGCTTTACTTACATTTCGCTGGACGTTCAACTTCTTTTGCACAATCACACTCTTGCCGAAGCCCGAACGAGTTCAGTTTTATTTCACAGTGTGGCCAAGGTTCGGGCGCGCTGCGTATCTTCCTGAAGTGTGACCAGAAACGAAGGGGAAACGGTTAGTAAAGAATGTCCGTTAGCGTCGATGAGTTTGCGTCGAAATGGAACGGTGGGAAAATGGAACATGTAGTGGGTCTTTAATTTTTAATTTATTTCGTAATTAAGGCACTAATTCGAAAAAAATAAAGTTTCTAAATGCTAAAAAATGAATTTACTATTGTTTTTTAATGGATTTGAAAGTATTTGACATTTGGATATATTAAAAAAAGCAGGTGAAAAAAATGTATTTTCACGGATTTCTGAATATCTCGGCTAATCAAACGAGTGCAGCAATACCCTATACGTCAAAATAAAGGAGATTTAATGAAGTTTTACCCTACCAAGTTTCAATTTCTTCAAACCGCCAGTTTTTGAGCAAATCGCATTACAGTAATCTAACCTCGGGGTCGGGTCCATACAAAATAGGGCATCCAAAATTGTAAGGCTTATAACTTCGCTTTACGATTATAGATAGCTAGATAGACTCGGCTGTTGATGCTGATCAAGAATATATATACTTTATAGCGTCGGAAATAATTTATTCATTGCGTTGCAAAATATTTGACCTGAAATCATATGACAAAGCAAGGGCATTGAAGCACTAGATTTGAGAAGCAAATTTTCGAAATAACATTCAATAGTCTGCCCAATTAATGATATTAATATTCTAAGCAATTTGGTAGGTGTTTCATCGAAATCCGTTCAGTCGTTTTGGAGAAATTAACATTTGAATTAATAATTTCTGTACTAAGGAGGCATGACTATGCACCCCTGGTAGCCAACTGCAATAAATGAAAAAGTCGGGATTTCTCATTAACGACTGAACGGATTTTGATGAAACATAGATCAAAATGTCCAGAATTGCGATGCCGTCTATGAGACAGTCTTCCTTTTGCATAGGTTTAACCATAAAGTTTAAATCAAGTTTTCTTGGTTTTTAAGCAAGCAGGGCTGCGGGATATATTTATTCTTCGCTGGCATATAAATGGAAATAAATGAAAAAGTCGAGATTTCTTATGAACGACTGAAAGGATTTTGACGAAACGTGGATCAAAATGTTCAGAATTGCGATCCCGTTAATGGAACGATCTGCAGCTTGCATACGTTTTATTATAAAGTTTAAATCAAATTGACTTAATTTTAGGCAGGCAGTGCTGCCAGATATATTTATTTTTCGGTGGAACATTTATGAAAATAAATGCAAAAGTGGGGTTTTCTCATGAACGACTGAACCGATTTTGATAAAACAACTACCAAAATGCTTGAAATGTCAATTCCATTCATGGGGCATGCATATTTCATACAATTAGTTAAATGGTCAATAGGAATATTTTCTGGCGAGCTATTCATCGATAGGGTGTGGGAGGCGCCCCTATCGATATGAAGCCAGTGTTTGAGAATGAGATCGGAAAAAGAAAACGCTAATTTTTAAAAATCTGTGGTTTAGATTCTAAACCTGTAATTTAATTCGAAATTATAAAATATTTTTCCCTATCGTTTGAGGTTTTGTGCAAGCTTGCACGCGCTCATTTAAGGGCGTAGCGTCTATTTTGCTTGTGGGGGAGGGGCACAACATTCCGCTGTGGCTTAAAAATTCGACTTACGCACGCGTGTAAATATGCACGGTATATAGGCTTACTAGGGGAAGATTAACGAATATTTGGTGAAAATTTTAATTGTTTTTAACTATCAGATTTCAAGAAAACGAATAACAATGGGATGTGTATTTGGGCTGATAGCTAAGGCGCGAACTATGAAAATAGAACCAGACGTGAACCAGCAGAGAACCACTCGTTGAACCAGACCATGGAACAACGTCAAGGAAAATACTAAATTAAATAAAAATAGCAAATTGTTGAATAAAACATTAAGAAAACTGACTGCCCAATAAATGGAAAAGCCATTCAAAAGAATTTGGTGGGATTTTCATCTAAATCAGGGAAAATTACCTATTTCGTTCTCTTTAGATAATTTTAGTATATACCACGGCGGAATGTTATGCCCCTCCCCCACAAGCAAAATCGTCTAGTTTGCTTATAATTGAAGAAACAGACAGATAGACACGCCTAGATAGGCTCGGCTGTTGATGCTGATCAAGAATATATATACTTTATAGGGTCGGAAATAATTTATTCACTGCGCTGCAAAATTTTTGACTTGAAATCATATTACAAAGCAAGGGCATTGAAGCACTAGATTTGAGAAGCAAATTTTCGAAATAACATTTAATAGACTGTCCAATAAATTATATCGTTTTTCTAAGCAATTTGGTAGGAGTTTCATCGAAATCCGTTCAGTCGTTTTGGAGAAATTAACATTTGAATTGCTATTATATACTAAGGAGGCATGACTATGCACCCCTGGTACCCAACCCAAATGAAAAAGTCGGGATTTCTCATTAACGGCTGAACGGATTTGAATGAAACATATATCAAAATGTTCAGAACTGCGATGCCGTTAATGGTACTATCTTTAGTTTGCATAAGTTTTATAATAAAGTTTAAATCTAATTGACTTAATTTTAGGCAAGCAGTGCTGCCATATATATTTATTTTTCGGTGGAACATTTATGAAAATAAATGCAAAAGTGGGGTTTTCTCATGAACGACTGAACCGATTTTGATAAAACAACTACCAAAATGCTTGGAATGTCAATTCCATTCATGGGGCATGCATATTTCATACAATTAGTTAAATGGTCAATAGGAATATTTTCTGGCGGGCTATTCATCGATAGGGTGTGGGAGGCGCCCTATCGATATGAAGCCAGTGTTTGTGAATGAGATAGGAAAAAGAAAACGCTAATTTCTAAAAATCTGTGGGTTAGATTTAATAGACATTTAATTTGAAATTATAGAATATCCTATTATAGATATATCCTATATTTTCCTATCGTTTGAGATACCATGCAAGCTTGGACGAGTTCATTAAGGGCGTAAGATTTTCGTAAATGTAAGCGTCGATTTTGCTTGTGGGGAGGGGCATAACATTCCACCGTGGTATATACTAAAATAATCTAAAAGAACGAAATAGGTAATTCTCCCTGATTTAGATGATAATCAAGATAACGAGAATCCAGAGTATTTTGTAACCCTATTTTGAATACAAAATATCGACCATCGACTATCGGCTATCGATAGGTAATATGGGTAAAAGTCGTTACTTTTGAATTTTAGTTTGAAATGGATGAACTTACGGCAACATATTAGCCTTATGAGTCAGTTATTTCTTAATGCAGCTCTATTTAATAACTTTTAGGGCCAACATTGGCTTTTATTTTAATTTAATAATTTCATGCTAAAATTTTCCCAGCGCGTCACTTGTGGTTATTCAGTGAATAATTAATGGGACTTGGCCATCATTTTGGGTCAGTTATATAGCCAATATGCAAACTCGTCCATTTTTTTATCTTATTTGTTTAATTTTTTCATCACACTTGGTTTTTTATTTACTCAGCTATTTGCAGACGCGATGACGGTGTTATTGAATGCCGGCGTATTTGAAATATTTAACCGGTTTTTGCTCTCTCAACATTGCCTCAAAGGTTGATTGCACCACAAACTGTAAATAAAAGCCACACCTGCGCACTGTGGAGCCAGGTGGAGCTGTAATTCTATTGATTTTGATTTTTTTATAAAGCATTTTTGGGTAATTTTAAATAAGACTAAAGAACTGAATGTCTGGATTACCAAGACATCGTATTAATAATAGCATTTAACAACCTTACAGTTCCCACAGTTCATCCCACTGTGCCCCTGCCTCATTTGCATACAAAAGGGGAGAAGAGTTGACAAACCACGGCAATAGAAGACTGTGGGACTGCGGCTGGGGCTCCTCCTTCTCCTCCAGTGGCTCGATGAGAAGGTTTGCAAGGCGGCGACACACTTGGGAGGAATCCGCATATGAAGTGGGTCACCACCGCCAACCACATCGCTCGGCAGGATGGAGGAGGAGTAGCAGCGAGGAGAAAAGAAAAGACATTCCGCGTTCTTTGTTTGTTTAGTTTCATTGATATTGTATTTGCCAAAAAGCTTTATTGTTCGTTAAATATAAATAGTTTAGTGGTTGCTGGCTTTGCTTGTATTTGCCCAATGACAATTGCCATCATCATTCGGACCTTGTGTATACTATTGCGGGTGTGTTATTATGTATATATCTATTCAATATTGCTCTATATATATATCTATATGTATGGTTGTAGCTGCACATTCATGCCAAGTTCTGCCGATCTTTTTCAGTTCAGTTTTCAGTTTCGGTTTCATTTAATTGCCATTTCAGACAATTTTGTTCCGCATGTTTATCTATAAAAATGTTCCCTCTCGCTTCTGGGCCATGCCATAAATTAACTGCGAGGGGGAATGGGGAGCGCACGCCTCCGAAAGCGAATTATTGATATATTCCTTATGAATGCCAATGCCCCATACATTATATGGTAATTATCGTTAAAATACTCTTGCTTCTTGACGGAAAATCGCTTGAAATTCGCTTTCTGTGGGCTGACTAAGTGGCCGAGAGGACCTTGTTCATGTTTTAGTAGTTAGTTTTCAGTTTTTAGTTCTTAGTTAACACAACAGAGTTTGGCTCTATATGGTAAAGACTTAGCATCGATCTACAAGCTAAAACTTACACTATATATAATATAATCATTCGATGTTTGGGTTACAGTATAAAAGTGTGTATATATATAAAATATTTTATCCAATACAAATACAAATACGCTGGTTCTTATGTACAAAAGTCAGTAATGGTTTTAGTATCAAAAATATGATCTATGTGCAAGTGTAAAGTATTCGCTGCCTTTGAATTCAGTCATTCGATATAATTTCATATTCGATTCGTTGCTTTTTGCATTACAAATAAGAGCATATTTCTTCGTTAATTCGTTATTAATTATTTACAATTAAACATAGATTTATGGGGATAGTTACTTTTGGCCTGACCACTTTGGAAGTTCCACTAAATAATACAATGTGCGTTGCACTCGCTTACATCAAGTGCTACGTCTCAATAAATTAATATTACTTTTAGTTACAAAACAAATATAAATATAAAAAAAAACTAACTTGGTTTCGAATGAATAATATTAATGAGAAATGATAATTGTACTGCATAGTAGTTTCTGCGTTTTCAATAACTAAAAAAACATTCAATACACGACGGGGGTTATGATGAAAAAAGGTACAGGAAAAAGGTGGGGTTTTTTGTGAATACAGTTTGAATTTGGCGCCCTTGCACTCGTAAAGGTGTCCTGTGCACGTCATGTGTGTGAGTAAGCGTGCTTTTGTTGTTGCTTCATTCGCTGTTGAATTAAGCGCGCTTTCCTTTTTCACTTAATTTTTGTCTCTCACTCTTTCTCACTCCTTTTTCTTTTTGGCTGCTTTTTAACATTTAACCTTGATGGATCGATCAGTATTGTTGAACTTTCCATGATCAATTTGATTGTTTCCGCGTGTGTTTACAATTAACTTTTTTTTTTAAATCGGGCGCCCTTTCTGGTGAAATATAAAAGAAATACACACATTTCTGTGTGTTTATGCCTTCCAGTATATAAATTCCGATTGTTTACAAAAACAAACGGTAAAAAACACAAGAAATTGTGTTTAAATTGAAAAAGATTCCCCAGCACAAGCACACACATTAAAATAGTTCCAAAAAACAAAAATCCACTCAGAAGATCATAAAAAAGAGAGAAAGATAGAAACAAAAACGATTAGGCAATCGAAATGTCACACACATAGAGTTAGAGTTGTGTGTGTGTGTGTCTAAATAGAATGCAAGCAAGCAGTTGTCAATGGGAGAGAATCGGGAATCGAAAATCGAAATCAGATTCCAACTAATTTAAATGTTAAACATCCACATCATTTGCATGTGTTTGTTTGTTCTGCTTATGGCTGCTGCTGTTTTTCTCACACTTGAGATTCGAGATTGGAGGCTACAAAAAGCTAAGCAGGCTAAGCAGGCTAAGCAGCTAAACAGCAGCAAAAACAACTAAAGTGCCTCAACAATAAATTCCTTGTGGTTGCCTCACACACACACAAATACATGCAAACTGCAGCTGCTATGCTGCTGCTGTTTTGGATAAAAGAGAGCGAGAAAGAGTAGTAACAATAGTTCTGCTTTGTTTTGTGTCCATAGTGAGTGAATTCCTGTTTGGCCATTGCCAGGCAGCCATTTCGCAACTCTGACCGACTGTCCAATTAGAACGTGTTAATTCTGCTGCTGCTCTTGCTCTCCTCTACCGTTATTCCGCCGCCTTTGTGTATGAACTGCTTTACTGCTTCTTTTCTGTGTTTACTGCGATGCATAAAATACGCGTCTTTTGTGCCGAGGCTTAAATTGAAGCTGAATACCAGTATGCGCAAGTACTTTTGTTCCAAAGCAGCGGTTGTTGGCCGATTTCAAAATCACGCTTACTCACACACACATACGCACACAATTAGCTGGTCAGTGCGCGTGCTTGAATGCTGCTGCTGCTTGCCTTTGTTGCTATTGCGCAAGTGTGCGGCGCTGCTGCCCTCAACTTGTCTCAAAAAAACTCCGGCTTTTGCGGCTTTTGTTGTCCAGTCCTCCATATTGCCATTATTTTCGTGCGCTCGGGAGTAAGGGAGGTACGTGGATTGGACGGGTTCCGGGACGGGGGGGAATTTAGGAGGGTTCCGGGCTCACTTTCGCATTGTCGCTCGTCTCAGTTTTCTGCAAGCAAAGAAAAAAAAGTAAAGGGCACAAATAAGTACAAGATATGTATATGTAAGTATGTATTTGCAAGTATGCTGGTACAGCACAGGGCAAAATAATAGCACTGAGATTGAATTGGGTCGAGTATCTTTGTAGCTATTTGCTCACAGCAAGAACCACACATCAAGAAAGCAGCGCTTAATCATGAAACCACCCACGCACAAATATATGGACTACAGTCAGGGCAGAACCAGAGGAACAGATCGAAATATTTGACCAAATAAAAGACTAAAAACAATATTAGGTACATGCCTGTTACGATACGCAGCGTAGAAAACTATAATCCATATATTGACCCTGCTTTTCATTAGAAACATAAATTAAAAGACCATTGGAAATATATGGGCTAATTTGTCACAGTTTATTCAATTCCTAATTTCCTAATGCCTGCCTCCTGGTTTTCAGATTTTCCAAGGCAATTGAATTGAACTGGTATAATGGACCCTTATTAGCCAGCTGGCAATAATGATACCTATTGCTTTGGCCAACATTGTGTGGGCATGGGGACAATAATGCCGACTGTCTCCTTTTCCCATTGCCATCTCCCTCTCATCTGCTCCATCTCATTCGCACTCGAAGGGAGACTGAAAGCAACGTCGATGGAGTCCGCAAATTAAAAAAATAATGCCCTGCGTAAAATGTAAATGGGCCACAGTGCAATTATAAGTTGAAAAAAACTGCAGAACGTTCAAATTAAAAATTGCCGCTAAACTCAATTAACGCAAAGCATGTGTGCGTGCCTTTGCGATTGCGATTACTACATTTAAATTTACATTTAGCATTTTTAAAGCGACATTTTGTGCCAATTTCAGCTGAATTCAGCCCCACACAGGATGGAGTTAATTACGCCTGCAGCTGTTGTCTGTAGTTCGCTCTTCTAAGACAAGTCTATCGATAAGGAAAAGGTGATAACTAGACTATAGTTTTCGCTTTCTTTTTTAGCCCTCTTAACTTGGCATTAATATCACGCAATCAGCTCTCGGGTTCGTCTTTATACTGCTTCTTTTCTTTATGGCTAAACTGCAGAGGAAGTATTCATCACGTTCGGCCAATAAGCGAGTATTATCAGCATTTACACCCGTACTGTATGCAAATTAAAGGGAAAAAACAAAAAATAAATGAGCTAACTCAAGTGGAATTTAATTCACAAAAACACCCCTCGATCAGGGGCGATCAGGGACCAGTGATCGCCAATTAGTAATCATTAGTGCCTAGTTGCCCAGTAATCATCTGGTAACGATTTAAGTACCAACTTGCTGAATTGTTTGCCACTATATAGAAAAAAGGGAAACCCTAGTTAAAACCTAGTTAAATGATTCAATTAATGAAAATTGCGTTACGCATCAGATGTTATAAACTATAACTCGTTTAAAAACGTTTAATTGGGAATATGCGAGGAAAATCAATTGCAACTAGTTCATTTTTGGTCTTAAAACTATTGATTTTTGTATGAAATCAATTAATTAAAATAAAATCTGTCCGTCTGCACTTCTAGCTAAACATTCACAGGGCATCCGACCCTCTTTTTGCCTGCCTGCCTGCCTGGTTTACCGGCACAAAACTCGACGACGCATATCCAGAGTGCAATTTGTTTGCTTGCATTGCATTGTGCATCTGTGCAATTCGGTTGACAAACGATGCGCTTCCTCCCTCCATCCCCTCCCTCCCCTCGCTCATCCTGCACGGCAACTCCGTGATGAGATGTGCGTGACGTGGACACGCCGCACTGGGATTATGCAAAAGAAAAGAAATTGCAGAGCAGCTGCAGTTGCCACACGCACACACAAACGAACGGATTGCAGGTCACAGTTTTGCAGCGGCTGTTTAGGTTTAGGCTGTCAGAGTGCCACAGTTTTGAAGGCACTCACATCCTAAGGTAACACTGAATCCGGGACCGAAAATCATTTCTTTTTTTTGTTGTTGTGTTGGACTCTGTGTAATAATTCGGTTGCGTAATCCCCCGAAATGGGCCCATGGGCCAAAAACCCAGTGTTTGTTTTGTTTTCTCTTTCGCTGGGCGAAACCTGGGACATGCAGTCATCATCATTGGCGGCCCCGGCGCACATCTGGTTTCCTCGACGGAAACAACAATAATATGAGCCAGCAGCAGGAGGTGATCAGAGAACGCAAAATAAAAGCAGAACATAAAAGAACAAACAAACGAATTCTACAGTCAAGCAAATATATAACCTCGGGCTAAGCTATAGCAATAGGAGTTAGTTTGGAGGACTGAAGAGGGTATATCTTAAAGATCTTCCTAGCTATAGATAGCAGCTTTAGGGTTCATTATAGTTCAATTTTAAGCAGTTTTTCCAAGCTAAGGCTCCTAAGTATTAAATTTTAAGCGCTATTGCTAAGCCAAGACATGACTCTCTTGAAGCTGGAGGTATAGAACCTTTACATCTTTACATCCAAACACTCCTCTTTATAATTCAGGGATATTTGCTATCGTACAAACTTTCCTCACCTTTCTTTCTTTCCCAATTCTCATAACGAAGATATTCTTTCCCTTGGGACGGATCTCTACTGTACCTGGATTTACCATGTTGAGGCTGCCTTTACTTTGGGTCATTTGCGATGTGTCAAAACCACTTGAGGCAGTAAAAAAAAAACAAAAATAATGTTAACAAAAAACAGAAAGAAAAACGAAGAAACAGACACACCAACCGTGGCGCTTATCACATGCTCGACGATGACGACGACGACGCCGTCGCCGGTGAGTCCAATTTAAACTCAATTTTCCCTTTCGGTTGCCAGATACGGAGGCCACAAGCAAAGGCAACCATCCATCCCAGCCCATCCCATACCATCGCATCCCATCCCGGAGCATTATCTCTGCTTGCGTGTGTGTCAAGGGTTGCGCTGATTACTTTATGGCCATGTGGAAATCGACAGGAAATTGGCCGCTGTTTGCCCCGTCCGGCTATGGCGGCGTCAGAGTTTTTCCGATGAAAAACAATAACATAACGGCACAGTGGCCGCATTTTCTTTACGGCCGGACTGGACTGAACTGGACTGGACCTCCCTGGGAACCCGCCCGGTCCGGTTGAACTCGAAACTCGAGTGCTACATGCGAAATCGTAAAAGTGGCGCATGTTGTAAAGCAATCGCCAGATCATGGAAAATGGACAGGCCCAAATGCAAATGGAAATGACCAAACGGGTCTATGTGAATTTTCCCAAAAAAAAGAGTCATAAAACAGACAACGGACACGGACACACACTGAGCAAAAAAAGAAAATGTAACCCAGGCGCCAGGCGTTTTGGAAAAACTTTCCAGGTAACTAACAATCTTCCTTCATCCTTGAATCCATCTGGACGCAATCCCTTCCAGTTGGGGGTAATTTCGGGTTCAAAGTTAGGCCATGTTTTCCTGGGGAAAATTAAGACTTAAGTAGTCCTAAGTAGGTAATTAAACTAGTTGTGACACATGGCCTTAACGACTCATTCGCTCCTCCACTAACTCATTTATATAAAACAAGCTAAGTGTGGCCCAAAAAACCCGGCAAGCCCTTGGCCTTGGGTGGATAAAACTCTCTCTTGAGTTGGGTTTTCCAGCCTGTGACTTGGTATTTGGGTTGAATCTATAGATATAAGTCATTAGCACCTCTCAAGTTGGATAGCGAAGAGATCCATAATAATCAAAGCTCTATATAATTCGGTAAGTAACAAACAAATTCAAAACCAGTAAACAATATTTAAAACACGATTATAGCCATATTTATAAGATCTACATCAATAAATACAGAAATCCATTTCCGGCAAATGTAATAGCATTAACTTCAACTTGAAGAATAAACAGCAAACTAAGTGGAACCAATTAATGTCCAGCATATCACTAAATACTATTAGTAAACTTTGCCCAAGAGATCACCGAACTTAATGAAAGCTAACACTATTTCTATTACAAACAAATGACAGACAAAAACCTCATGGAGATGCTTGGCATTCCCCAACGGGTCTGGAGGCGATAAGTCCCACCGAGAGAAGGGAATAGGGAGGAGGAGGAAGCATGCTCTTGCTCAACCGCTGGAGGTGAGTGTGCTGCCCCTATGTTGTAAGCCGCTTGGTAAGGCAAACCAAAGAAGGAAGGGTCGAGACTCGGCGCACTTTGTTTGCCAAGCAAACATACTTATGGCTTATGGCTATCGCGGCGCTATCGGGTATTCAACTTACATGCATTGTTTAGCAAACAGTCTCCATTTTGGCTGGAACGACGGGTAGAGGGGAAACCGTCTCCGGCAGTGATGGTGGCAAATCCTCCGCCAGGCCACTGTCCGCACCGGGACTGCTGGGCACAATGGTGCACTGCATGCTGGTGTTTTGTGTGACCTCTGTGCCGCCGCCTGCCATCGAGCAGGGTAGTCCTTGGGAGCTGCTCGAATGCTGAACGCCATTGGTGGTGTTGGTGATGTCGTGGCGCAGCCGCGGACAGCAGATCCTTCGGCAGGCGGTGTACACCTGCGGCTGGCAGCCCACCACAATAAAGATGAACACGCCCTGCAGGGCGTTGATTAGATCTGTAAAGAACCAGGCGCCATGCGGTCCTCCCACCACCCACGACAGGATCTCCGCAATCCAGGTGAGACCCATGACGACCACCAGCTTCAGGCATACGCGTCCCAATGCAGACTTCTCCGTGGATGTCTTGGCGTCATCTCGTTTCCAGAGGCCACAGGTCAACTGATGCGTGGTGGATACAAACAGGGCGATATTCGCGCACAGAAGCAGGCCAATTGGGCCATAGAAGTAGGCGAAAATGGAGAGATTCCGGTTGTCAAACCAGCAGTAAAGCTGCCCGAATCCCGGTCGCAGTAGCGTTGTCTCCGTCATCTGGTCAACGCAGGCAGCCACAAAGGTGATGAGCAGCGGTCCCCCGAAGGCGTACAGCGAGTACAGGCAGAGGCGTAGCGCCTCCTGGTTACGCTCCAGCAAGGTGGGCCGTAAATCCCTGAACGTCCACCAGATATTGAAGCACATCGTGTTTAGCCAAAAGAAAGCGGCCAGGAAGAAGAACTGCATGCCAATGGCCACCACCAGGCAGGCCATGGGACGCGTCTGAAGGTCGGAGCTCAGCTCCTCGATGGCCAGCAGTACCTTGCCCACCAGCAGGCAGAAGACGTAGCATATTTGGCAGCGCCAATGCAGTGCATGATGCACTGCCGGCAGCATGAATCCGGCCACCAGAGTGGCGGCCAGGAAGACAATGGACACGAGGATGCCGCCGGTTAGCACGGCTTTCTGCAGATTGTCCTCACCCAGTGAATCGTGAGATCCAGACTCCCGGCTCCCGTCCTCGTGGCTAAAGAGATGCTGGCAGGCGATAATTTTCACCTCGCCCTCGCGCTGCGTGTGCTCCAGGCAGTACTGCTCGACGCTGAGATTGGTGTGTGGCAGTCTGAGGCTTCCGCTGGAGCGGTCCAGCTTCGCTTCGTGCCAGTCGCCGGCGATGGCGTAGCCGCCAACGCCGCCGCCGTGCTCCGAGCACTCTGGCAGTCCGTAGGTGGTCCTGTAGCTGCCCAGCGGCAGTAGTGGGGCCAGCCGGAGTTGCCCGTCCATCTTAAGCCCGGGCTGGAGGTTGCAGTTCTTCAGTTGGGTATCGTAGCTGCCGAATTTGCCGCAACACTTGCGCAGCCGGAGATCGGGAAGAGCTGCAGTGGCAGCAGCAGCAACCATGCCCACGCCAGGCTGCTCCAGAGCATCAGGAGTCTGCTCGTTGTCCTGGCCAAGACAGACGAGCGCCACCTCCAGGTCCACACAATACTGAGCCGGATCCACAAACAGGGCACGCTCCCGAACATACAAGCTCCCATTAGGAAAGAGCATCACGTTGCCGTTGCGGCTGCGGAAGAGCTCCTGACGCCGCTCCGGGCAGGCGGGACGGCTGTTCGGCAGGAACTTCATGAAACGCGGGCTGCCGCCGGGCGGATCGAAGAAGCGCTGCTGCTGCACCAGATACACCATAGGTACCCACAGCTCCGAGCTGCCGGCGCTGCAAGCTCGCGTCGTCTCATTGAGGAATTCGCCCGTGTGGCAGCATTTGTTGAGCTTCACCCGGGGCGGTGGCGGCGGGCGGGCGGCATCCTCCCCACTGGCCACAGTAGCCGCCAGGAGGAGGGGAAGGAGCAGGAGGGGTGGCAGTAGCATCTTATGGTGATGGCAAAGCTGCTTCTCAGGGTTTCTGGTTCTCGCCTTGTCGCGATCTCGGTCTCGTTCCCCTTCCTCGTCTCGCTTCGTCGCCGAAGACACACCACACAGATTTTCACTTTTCCTCTCTTTCGGTCATTTTCCGCTCTCTTTGCGGCCAGTAAACAATCAAACAGTGGAAAATGGAAAACAGAATGGGAAAACGAATATAGTTTTCACCTCCGCCCGTATCACGTAAGTTGGCCAGCAAACAAACAAACAAAAAAATCGTGGCGTCGCCCGCAGCACAAACTTCACAGGCGAAATTGGTTCACAGCGTTTCTGGTTTCGGATTTTTCGCGATATATATACTTGCGGCGCGAGTGCTTGTTTGTTTTCGTTGCGCGAAGAACACAAAGTGCGGTGTCTGTCAGGTATAATTAAAAAATAAAAATAAAAACGGCCGCGGCGGACTTAGTTGCTTGGATTTTTTTTTCAAAATAATTTTTTTAGTGATGGTGCAGATATATCAAAATACCAATATATCACATTTTTTTGTTTTATATTTTTTGATATTTTGTTTCTGGTCACTCTAAATTCCGAAGCTGTAATTTATAATTTTACACGTCTAGATAATATTTTACACGTCGACATGTAGAATTCTCATGTAGGTAGTAAAATTCATTAACAGATATTTTTTGTTTTATAATTTTTGATATTATTTAATAATCCAATGATTCGATTTTACTGAAATATTTACAGTATTGATCATTTAAGATTAGATAAAATCTTGTAAATTAGAAAGTTAAATTTTGAGCATAGGTGCTTAATAATTACACCAAAAACAGCAAGCAGTCCCAATGTCGATGATATAGGGTTTATTGATGAAGTAAACATCATATAAAAAATAAATAGAGCAACAAATGATATTATTTGGATACAATACTTAGCACAAGGTTTTTTAAAAATAAATTTAATTAAAATAAATACTTTATAAACAATATAGTGTATGTTTTCGGTAGTTAGCTTTAGCTTATTCTATTTAGAATCTAGATAACATCACTGGTAACAGTGAAAGAGGCTGTGTTTGGTACGAGAAGAATGTGGGAGGGGAAGGAATATTTTACTTAATTTTATAACTTATATTGCAGTTATTCTAATTAATAATGTTAATGTTTTCCATTCTAATTATTTAGTCAGGTTTCACACCATTTTATATAACTAATTTATAACACTCTAAAATTAATCTATATTCTCGAATTTATAATTTGTTATTCTAGTCCAAACCATAGTTAAACAATCATTAAAAAATAGATTTGATTATAAGCGTCATTAATAAAATGCCAATTAAAAGGATTTATGTATATCGACAGTAGACGACTGTTGTCGGAAGTGATCAATCTCTAAGACAGCTATCGACATTATCCCATCTCTATTTTACTCAACCGCATTTTTCTCGTTTTTTGCAATTTTCTGTACCAAATACAAAAAACATGTCGAAAGCCCATCCCCCAGAGCTCAAGAAGTAAGCATAGACCCACTTAATCGAGGCTTAATCAAAAACTCACCGTCGGTCCATCTCTGCAGGTACATGGACAAGCGAATGATGCTGAAGCTGAACGGAGGACGCGCAGTCACCGGCATTTTGCGCGGATTCGATCCATTCATGAACGTGGTGCTGGACGATACGGTGGAGGAGTGCAAGGACAACACCAAGAACAACATCGGCATGGTGGTAAGACGACGCTCCATAAAAACAAAGCAGATTAATCCGAATTGCCGCTTTTCCCCACCAGGTAATTCGCGGCAACAGCATCGTCATGGTAGAGGCTCTGGACAGGGTGTAGACCCTGCCTCGGATCTGGACATCGTCACCACTCACCAACTGTTAGCCGTAATGTCTAGTCTTAAGGCTCCCCCAAAACATTCAAGCGCTGTACGCCAGAAGAGCATATGAAGTCGGAAATAAAATGTAAAAGTAAACCCAAGAAAGAAAAAATCTTCTGATCTGACTTCGGAATCGGAACCATACTTGAATTAGCTGGAATTTCACTTTTTATGTATACTGTGGGTAAGAACCCGTAAAAGTCATATTGGGGCCAAAGATCTTATAAATCACCACTAATCGTGAGAAATGATTGAAATCTATTATATATTTATATAGTTAGGATATTTCTATCATTAACTCCAAAGTTTATGCATTTCCTAGTATAGATGTCTCGTTTTACAGCCATTTAATTGGTTGTTTAACGTACAATATATAAGTATAAACAAATACAATAAGGTTCCTAGGTAGCAAAAAGGTTTATGCTAGAATCCTTAATTAGAGCTGAATTGGTTCACATATTACACCCATATTTAAAATATGGCCAATATATGTCTTGCTTATTTTTACCTAAACATTTATTAGGACTGTAAATATGCTTGAGTTTTATCTATTTGATTTACAGAAACCTTTAACTGATATCTTTGTTAAAATCGCCTAACTTATATAGAATATATTTAAATATATAGATATACATATAATTTGTACTTTTTATACCCCTGCAGGGTATTACATTTTTAGGCAGAAGCTTGCTACGAGGTAAAGGAGCCATTTCCGACCCTATAAATCATATATATTCTTGATCAGCATCAACAGCCGAGTTGATCTAGCCATGCCCGGTAGAAAACATTTAGTTTTGAAATTTTTTCAAAATTTTATAAGGGGTAAAATCGTTAAATTTGCCAAAAATTGAAAGAAATTTTTAATTTTTTTAAAATTTGGAATTGAGTATGCAGATTTGTTAACTATTTAAAATCTAGCACAGAAAAACTTTCCGAATTAAAATTAATGCTTTTTTGGCTATGAGTATTTTAAGCTTTGATATCTCGAAAAAAATGGAATATAAAATATAAGGTGCAATAAAAACTATTCAGCCATACCAGTGTTTGCAAGAGAATCATATTAATCAATCTTAGTTAACAATTTTATCCGATTTAAAGATAATTATATAAATTTAAGCCATTTGAATATGAAGGCTTTTCCAGAAAAACATCTCTACATGGAAGAAAGCAACTAACGCAGAATATAGAAGGTTAAACCTAGTAGCAGAGTTTATGGCCTTAATTAAGCAATATCCCTTCCATCTCACCCATTTTTTGCGCGGAAACTTTGTTGAAAAACCTTCCTTTGAAGTTAAGTTAAACCCATGGATGTAACTAGATTGCTAACTTATTTAGTTTCAAACTAATTTTCTTTTTAAACAAACTTTGGTTTAAGAAAGCCTAACCCTAGCTTCAGTTACTTTCTTACCTAATCTCAAATGTCATATCTGAACAAGCAATCAAGCAACTTATAAACGAACTTTCCACAATAATTCGCATTTAGCAACACGGCAACTAAGCACACACACAAAGAGGTAGCCTTAATAAAGCTCTCCGTTAATGTTACACCCTTTCTTCAGTGAATCCACTTCGTTTTCCTGCTCGTGTTTTCTTGACACTTCCACCCAAGCAATAAACGGATGATGAATCTCGCCGTCACTTTCAGTATTCTCACTCGCTCGCGTAGACTTTTGTGAATGGGTTTTATTTTATCATCTCTCTTCTTGCAAACAAAAAGCGCTTACAGTAGGAAGTCTAAAAAAGAGCGACTAATTTAGATTTCGATTGGGCGCGATCGGCTATTACTTGGAAATAACAAGGGGGCCAGTCTGCTTGGCGGCGTCGCGCTGCTTGGCCACAATCTGGTTTGCGATGCGGTCCAAATCACGCTGGCCGATGGAGCTCAGCTTGCGACCACCGTCCGGGTGCTTCTCGACCAGGCGGGCGTGCTCTAAAGCCTGCAGGGCCTTGCGGGCAGCACCGTCAGCGGCGCGGCAGAAGTGCGACGGGTGGACACCGTTGCGCTTGCGTCCACCGTAGATCTTGGTGATGGAGCCAACGCCGGCGGGACTGCGGTGGTAAAGGTGGCGCAGGATCGAGGCGCAGCGCACGTAGAACCAGTCGGGATCGTAGGGGGCCAGCTCCTTGAATTTGGCGGTCTTGACGATGTCCATCTGGTCGGGCACCTTCAACTTGCCAGTCCTGTGGGTGCAAACAAACAAACGCGTGTGAGGTTATGTCCATTGAAACTCAGCTCCACAGCTACTCACTTCTTGAGGAAGACGGCCACCGCCTTGGTAACCGCGTGCTGGTCAATATCCTTCACTGTGACGCCTGGCATCTGCGAAAGACAAGGCAAAAACCATTAGAGAACTCCAACGAAACACGTTGTTCGCACATCGCCGAACCGCACACACACACACGAGCGCGCTACTATGACACACACAGACACACGAATAGACAACAAAAACTTGGCGAATCCACGCTGACTTTCAGTCACGCTGGCTTTTCGCATGCAAGCACACAACTTCTGGGCCAATCGCTTGCTGGCACCATTCATTCGCTGCACTGGGCGGCCACTTTCATTAAGTTTCAGCCATTCCAAACATAAAAAAAATAGAAATCACACGAAAAGAAATTCTGCACAACCTTTCTCGTTAAAGTCAACCGGAAAAAAGAACAAGGCGCGCGAAGTTGGCTGCGGTTTGGTGCTGGCACCAGGGTCCTATCGATACTATCTGAAAACAACAATCATCGATAGTGCACTAAATCGATGTTTCCCATATTACTTATTGTTATATAGTATGTTTTCTGTTATTATTAAATCAGATAAATACAGATATTATTTATATGTGTAAAACGTTTATTTTTTACTTTGTGCGTGTTTCCCGCATCTGTCGTGCACGGTCGATAACACTATCGAGTGTACAATAATTTTAATCGAACAAGGCGCGTGAAGTTGGCTGCGGCTCAAAGCAGAGGTGCGCAAACATCGATGAAAACATCGATACCCTTATATTTTTCTAATTTTCTAAATAATCGATATCACCGTCACTATCTTCGCTATAATGAGACCAGGTTTCAGAATAATAAAAACTCTAAAAATCCAAAAAACTGCCTTTTTAAATCATTTTCATCATAACACCTCCTTGTTTTTAAACTTGACAGCCACTTATCACCTTACAAACCTAAAAAAGAGAGTACAGTTTATTAAAACGATAAACTTGCTTGAATTATTTGGCCTTATTATTAAAACGAAGGGACCGAATAAAATAAATAATAATTAACCTTGCAAAGTTTATATAAATTATGGTAAAAAAAAACTACTTTCATTACATCCTATACCTATTATTAAAAACAGTTATGGAAATCATATTTTGAATTTAATTTAGAGTTTTGTATGCTCAAAATAACTTACAGTATGCTCTCTTACAAATTTTAATTTACCCGCACTTTTCTGTTAAACTCTGTTGCAAAAATCGATGAAAGTCGATAAGCTTCGAGTCTGGCAACGCCACGTGATCCAGCGTCAAGCATTGCCAGACTTTTCCAGAGAAGAAGGCTTTTCGGTATTTTGCATGTAAACGAGTAAAATGGGTATCTAGACGCGTAAGATGTAAAATGTTAATGAACCGCTTCGGAATTCAGAGTGACCAGAAACAAAATATAAAAAATACCTAAAAATATATTGATATATGTTGGTATTTTGATATATTTTCAACAACCAACAACGACCCGACACAGCACCCGAAAGAGAGTTCTATTAATTTACATCCAGCCGACTGCCAACGATAGAGGGTTCTGTTAACGAGAACAAATCTGTTAATGAATTCAACTTCCTACATGAGAATTCTACATGTAAACGTGTAAAATGTTATCTAGACGTGTAAAATGATAAATAACAGCTTCGGGATTTAGAGTGACCAGAAACAAAATAACAACAAATATCAAAAATATATATTAATACATTGGTATTTTGATATATTTTCAGCAACACTAGAAATTATTTTGAAAAAAAAATCGAAGCAACTGATTCCGCCGCAGCCCGTTTTTATTTTATTTTAATTAAAACACCGCGCCTTGTATTCTTCGCGCAACGAACAAACAAACAAGCACACAAGCCGCACCAGAACCAGAAACGCTGTGATAGATACGACCAATTTCGCCTGTGAAGTTTGTGCTGCGGCGGCGACGCCACGATTTTGTTTGTTTGTTTGCTGGCCAACTTACGTGATACGGGCGGAGGTGAAAACTAATTCATTTGTGATCACTTTGATCGATTTGGCCGCGGCCGAAACTGGACATTCGCAATTGGGCGGCCAGCCGCCCTCGCCCCCTCCTGACCGCCATTGGACGCCGCTGCCGTCGCCAAGCGGGTGACGCACGTCGGTGTATGTGCCTTGTTATTGTTGTTGTTGTTGTAGGCGCTTGCTACGTTCGCCGTTCGGCGCTGGTGTGCGAGTACTGGCTGTGCGATTGTGTGTGTGAGTGTGCACAGCAGCAAGTGTGTGTGTCTGTGTGCCAAGCAGTATTGTCAAAATTTACAAAAAAGAAAAGAAACCAAGCGAAGAACGGAAAAACTCAAGAAATGAGAAGCTTACAGTTAAATAACTAAAGTACCCGAGGTGTGCGTGTGTGCGTGCGAGCGGAGCAAGACTTCCGAGGGTCCTGGCAAGGCCAGCGATCTTCTGTTTACAAACACACATCATCATCAACATCAACATCATCGTCAACATCGGCGCCCATCTCTCTTCTAGCTGCCACACTTGGAAGACTGGAAGCAGACCGCCGCGCGCACGAGAAGCAACAAGTAAACAGCCCGGGCCCGGAACAAGCCAAACATACGCAAACGCACCAAACCATACGCGCACCTGGGAAGGCCCGGGTGTGCTCGGGGTGCGTCCGCATGTGGTGGCGTTGGCGGCACTCCGATCGAAGCTATAGAACCGTGTCCCGAAGTGACCTCATCGCAGCCAGATTCCAGAGCTTGATTCCCGTGCGAGAGAGACACACTTGCTGATTCCCCATTCCAGTTCCTCCTGCAGGCCGCAGGGTAGGTAAACAACCTGTGGCTTCTTCCATTGATTTCCATATTAATTTTCTCTCTATCTCTCTCTCTCTCTCTCTGTTCCAGGAGCCACAGAGCAACGGGAAGTAGCAGCTAACCGGCGAACCTGCCATGGATGTGGAACGAAGAAGACGGTGAGTGGGTGTGTGCGTGTGCGTGTCCTCCTCCTCCTACAACTGCTTCTGATCCTGTTCCTCCTCCTCCACCTCCTCCTCCGCCTTCTGCTCGAGGTGGCGGTCCAAAAGCGACTGTGTGCTTGCTCCACTCAATTAATTGTCAGCTTCAGCAACAGTAGCCGCAGCAGCAGCGCAGATACGTGCAACTCGGACTCTGATTCAAAGCCCCGACTTGGACTCGCACAAGCCAAAACATAAACACAAAATGAAAAAGTATTACACCGCCTGGCAAACACCTTCCATATCTCATGTTCAAAGCGACAGCGCGGCGGCAATCAAATTGACAAGCGAGTGAACAAAACGGGGGGCGACTTTTATAATAAATTTGCCATTTTCGCATTAAAATTTGTAAGCGCACAAAACAGACCCAAACGGGCCTAAGCTGGAGCTCTGCTCCGTCTGCTGCGGCTGCTGTGGCCTGTAGCTGCTGCCGTTGTCAGTTGCAGGCGTCGCGTTGCATCGGCTGCATCGGTTTTCTTTTTTTTTCTTTTTGTTTTTGTTATTTTATACTTGCAACTTTTTTGGGGAGAAGCAGCTGCAGCAGCAATTGGTCGGAGGACCCTTGGGGTTTAACCTAATTAGGGCATGTGGCCATGGATATTACCCGCCGCCCTGCACGCGAGCGAGCCGGAACGGTATGTTGTAGCCTACTCCCACTCCTCCTTATTGCGTCGTCCCGGCATCCGTATCCGTATCCGTATAAATTCACAAGTTTTATTAGCCATTTAAACGGTAGTTTTCCTAACAAAGACCATCATCCATGTTTCATATTCCATGCCATTTTGCGGCGCACTTTGTGGCCATAAAAGCTGGCTAACTGGCTAACTGGCTCCTCCTTTGTGGCTGCTTGCCTCTTCCCTTTGCCAAAATTCATTTGAATTAATTAGGTGTGAAGAGGGAGAGAGATTCTGCAACGCAGATTGTTCCATAGATGAGATGCTCCTCCTCTCCTCTTGATTTTTGTGGTATAGCTTTCAATTTGTTAAGTTGGCGAAAAACTGCTTTGCTTTTCAGTCACAAATTTGGCGACGTTGTATAAATTAAATTGAAAATTATATTGTCTATAGGTGACGATAATGTTGTCGCAGTCGCTGCCTGCTGCCTGTTATTATGTATTATTATTTGTTGCTGTTCATAATTATGTTGTTGTTGCCACTTTTGCCGCTTTGGCCAAATCAAAATCAAAACCAAAACCAAAAAAATCAACAGCAAATAGCTTACGAAAATTCATCGTAGCTATTTTATCTGTATTTTTTTATTTTTGAAAATTCCACTTTCCCAAGTTGTTTGCCGCCGTTGCCGCTCAAGTCAACTCAACGCGACTCGACTGCTATTACCCCGCTGTTATTGTTTTTGGCTTTTCTGTCAAGCCGTAAGTGGCGATGATGAAATCACAACAATTCAAACACCTTTTAGTATCAATTTTTAGCGCCGACAGCTCAGGGGTCTCGCCTGGCATCGGATGCTCCTCGCCAGAGCTTTGTCCACTCAATTTCTGTGCATGGGTTTTGGCAAATATTTGACTTTCTGTGCCACACAGAGAGCTAATTGCCTAAAAGTCTTGGACAGGGCACAGAGAGCTAACCCTGCTCTTTGGATAATTATAAGTTGTAACATATATGGCAGGAATTCTCGTCTTCCCATTGATCTTTATTTCTGTATGGTCTGCTAAGCTTTAAACGCACAAGTACCTATTAATTTTGTGTTTGTTCTTTGGCATAATTAATTCAGCAAATGTACCATGGCATTCCCATTTTATATTTATTTATACACAAGTACAAGATGAGATTTTGGGTGTACCTCAGGTTAAGTAGGTTGTTTTTCACAATTAATTTTCCTGTTTGTGCTTAGATTTGTTTGCTTCTTGCACATATATATTATTCCTATGACCCACTTATAAGTTCCAAGAATCGTTGTTATTATCATTAGAATTTCTTGTGCCACTATCTAGTCTTGATTATTCCTTTCTATATCTCTCTGTCTTGTATCAGGCTCTCCATGGCTCTTGGTCTATGGTCTCCAAGGTGGCAGCCGCCTGGCTGCTGTTTCAACTGCGTTGTTGCATTCCCCCGGGATTTATCAAAGTCAATATATATATACTGCGAGAGTGGCGATAAAGTCAAGGCCTCTTTTACTAGCTTCTCCTCCTTCAGGAAAAGCCCTGTCAGGTTCTCAATGAAGCGCAGTGTTCTAATTGCGATAAGGAGTCGTCTTCGAACTCGGATGTCGTTCCTCGTTGTTGGGCTGTCTACGGCAGCTCCCTCGTATTCCCTATCGGATGCAGAGGCACATGCCTCCTTTGCCTCCACCTCTGACTCAGTTTTTTTAACCCCCCTACGATATGAACTGGACGCGATGACGTTCAATGAAATTTCGACGATTCACTCTTCTTTTTGTTTACAAACAAGCAGAACAGCGGGCACAGTTGCGTTCATATTGATAGGGCTCATTGGGGATCGATAAGGGTAGCTAAAAAGTCAGCAAACTATATGCCATAGAGGGTTTAAATTAATGTCAAGTTAGGAACTACAAAGTACCAAAGTTGTAAAGGAAAGTGTCCAAGAGCAGCCTCTATAAGCATTTGCAGAAAAGCCTCAAAGATGTTTTAGATTTCATTAAAGACTTCTCCAACTCCTGGACACCCTACATGGACAGGCAACACTTTCACAGCTAAAGATATGCCCAATTAAATTGGGCAAAGCTGAAATAATAACAATTAAAGCACTGCAAGCTGCATTGCAGAGCCAGAAGGAGGAGGTAGGAGTACTTCTAGCAAGTGGTAGAGGTACACATAGGTTCAGCCTAGGCCAGCGGTGAGTAATCTCCGCACTTTTCCCCCATAATTCGGTGTGTTTGTTTTCGCGAAGCAATTTGCATGGAGACCAGCAACGGAAGAGCAACTGAACAATCAAAACACTCATCGAAAGTAAACAACAAAACGCAACGAATCGTCGCCGCAGATGATTAATTCCACTTAGAAGGTGGATGATATAGAAACCTGGCTAATTTCCTCTTTCCATTTGTTCCTATTATCCACAGGGCGAACACGCTCGAGCGCGAGATGCGCGATCCGACCAGTATCTGCAATGTGGACTGCCTGCTGGACACGGTGTCGGCTTTGGTCAGCGATTGTGACCACGACTCGCTACGACGGCTCAAGAACATCGAGCAGTATGCGACCAAGTGTGAGTATTTTATCTAATAGATATCCGTATGCACTTTGTTTACATCGAGTTCATTCCATTTGCAGACAAACCCCTGGCACTGCGCATCAACCAGCTGCGCATGAATGTGGAGGATTTTGACTTCATCAAGCTGATTGGCGCCGGCGCCTTCGGTGAGGTGCAACTGGTGCGGCACAAGTCCTCTAGCCAGGTGTATGCCATGAAGCGGCTGTCCAAGTTCGAGATGATGAAGCGTCCGGACTCGGCCTTCTTCTGGGAGGAGCGTCACATCATGGCGCATGCCAATTCCGAGTGGATTGTCCAGCTGCACTTTGCCTTTCAGGTGCGAGAGTGCACTCACTCACTAATATTTACCAGCCCAGACTCACACATCTCTCTGTTCTTCTTTTAGGATGCCAAATACCTGTATATGGTGATGGACTTCATGCCCGGTGGCGACATAGTTTCCCTGATGGGCGACTATGAGATACCAGAGAAGTGGGCCATCTTCTACACAATGGAGGTGGTGCTGGCGCTGGACACCATCCACAACATGGGCTTTGTGCATCGCGATGTCAAGCCGGACAATATGCTTTTGGATAGCTACGGTCATCTGAAGCTGGCTGACTTTGGCACCTGTATGCGCATGGGTGCCAATGGCCAGGTGGTGTCCAGCAATGCGGTGGGCACACCGGACTACATCAGCCCGGAGGTGCTGCAGTCGCAGGGCGTGGACAATGAGTATGGACGGGAGTGTGACTGGTGGTCGGTAGGCATCTTCCTCTACGAGATGCTCTTCGGTGAGACCCCCTTCTATGCGGACTCCCTGGTGGGCACCTATGGCAAGATCATGGACCACAAGAACTCGCTCAGCTTCCCGCCCGAGGTGGAGATTAGCGAACAGGCCAAGGCCCTCATTAGGGCTTTCCTCACGGACCGGACACAGCGCCTGGGTCGCTATGGCATCGAGGACATCAAGCAGCATCCGTTTTTCCGCAACGACACGTGGTCCTTTGACAATATCCGCGAGAGTGTGCCGCCAGTGGTGCCGGAACTCTCCTCCGACGACGACACGCGCAATTTCGAGGACATTGAACGCGATGAGAAGACGGAGGAGGTGTTTCCCGTGCCCAAGGGCTTTGATGGCAACCACCTGCCCTTCATCGGTTTCACATACACCGGTGACTATCAGCTGCTGTCCAGCGACACCGTGGATGCCGAGTCCAAGGAGGCTGCAGCAGCGGTAAACAGTGGCAGCGGAACGGCAAGCAACAATCATGCCCACGGCCATGGGCCGGGACAGGGGCATAACCACCGCCATAGGCCATCGAATTCCAATGAGCTGAAGCGTCTGGAGGCGCTGCTCGAACGGGAACGCGGCCGATCGGAGGCGCTGGAGCAGCAGGACGCCGGGCTGCGGCAGCAGATCGAGCTGAGCACAAAGCGAGAGGCCGAACTGCAGCGGATTGCCTCGGAGTACGAGAAGGATCTGGCCCTGCGCCAGCACAACTACAAGGTGGCCATGCAGAAGGTGGAACAGGAGATCGAGCTGCGCAAGAAGACCGAGGCGCTGCTGGTGGAGACGCAGCGCAACCTGGAGAATGAGCAGAAGACGCGGGCGCGCGACCTCAACATCAATGACAAAGTGGTGTCCCTGGAAAAGCAACTGCTCGAGATGGAGCTGAGCTACAAGACCGAGACGGAGCACACGCAGAAGCTGAAGAAGCAGAACGCCGAGCTGGGCTTCACGCTCAAGTCACAGGAGGAGAAGGTGCGCGACATGGTCGAGATGATCGACACGCTGCAGAAGCACAAGGAGGAGCTGGGACAGGAAAACGCCGAGCTGCAGGCCCAGGTGGTGCAGGAGAAGAACCTGCGCTCGCAGCTCAAGGAGCTGCAGAAGGAAACCGAGAACAAGATGCAGACGCTGGCCAACGACATCGAGCGGACGCTGAGTCGCGAGCAGAAGGCCCAGGACGACAACCGGGCGCTGCTCGAGAAGATCAGTGACCTGGAGAAGGCCCATGCCAGTCTGGACTTTGAGCTGAAGGCGGCCCAAGGCCGCTACCAGCAGGAGGTCAAGGCCCACCAGGAGACGGAGAAATCCCGGCTCGTATCGCGCGAGGAGGCCAACCTGCAGGAGGTGAAGGCGCTGCAGTCGAAGCTGAATGAGGAGAAGTCTGCCCGCATCAAGGCCGACCAGCACTCGCAGGAGAAGGAGCGTCAGCTAAGCATGCTCTCCGTGGACTACCGCCAGATCCAACTGCGCCTGCAGAAGCTCGAGGGTGAGTGCCGCCAGGAATCGGAGAAGGTGGCTGCCCTGCAGTCGCAACTCGACCAGGAGCACAGCAAGCGTAATGCCCTGCTCTCGGAGCTCAGTCTACACAGCTCGGAGGTGGCCCACCTACGCTCCCGCGAGAACCAGCTGCAGAAGGAGCTGGTCGCACAGCGTGAGGCAAAGCGTCGCTTCGAGGAGGACCTCACCCAGTTGAAGAGCACCCATCACGAGGCGCTGGCCAACAACCGGGAACTGCAGGCGCAACTCGAGGCAGAGCAGTGCTTTTCGCGGCTGTACAAAACGCAGGCGAACGAGAACCGCGAGGAGAGTGCAGAGCGGCTGGCCAAGATCGAGGATCTCGAGGAGGAACGCGTCTCGCTCAAGCACCAGGTTCAGGTTGCTGTGGCACGTGCCGATTCCGAGGCATTGGCCCGCTCCATTGCCGAGGAAACGGTGGCCGATCTCGAGAAGGAGAAGACGATCAAGGAGTTGGAGCTGAAGGACTTTGTGATGAAGCACCGCAACGAGATCAATGCCAAGGAGGCGACACTGGCCACGCTCAAGGAGGCAGAGGCCGAGCTGCACAAGAAGCTCGGCCAGAAGGCCGTCGAGTGCGAGGATCTAGTGCAGCAGCACAAGAAGCAGCAGGAGGATCTCGCCCAGCTGAGGGGCAGCAAGGACGAGGAGATTGCCAAGCTGCAGGAGAAGTGCAAGAACGAGGTGCTGCTCAAGCAGGTGGCTGTCAACAAGCTGGCCGAGGTGATGAACCGTCGCGACTCCGACCTGCCCAGTAAGTTGTATATCTTTATATCCAAGTTCTATCCCTTCCTTACACTGATTCTCCCCACAGAGCAAAAGAACAAGGCTCGTTCCACTGCCGAGTTGCGCAAGAAGGAGAAGGAGATGCGACGACTACAGTTGGAGCTGTCGCAGGAGCGAGAAAAGTTCAACCAGTTGCTGCTCAAGCATCAGGACCTGCAACAGCAGTGCGCCGAGGAGCAGCAGCTCAAGCAGAAAATGGTCATGGAGATCGACTGCAAGGCCACCGAGATCGAGCATCTGCAGAGCAAGCTCAACGAGACGGCGTCCCTGTCCTCCGCGGACAACGATCCCGAGGATAGCCAGGTGAGCATTGCCTTTGCCAACACACACAACACTCACACTCACACGATCCTACCCACAACAATCCAATCCCAAACCCAACCCCAACCCCAACCCCAACCCCAACCCCAACCACACGCCGCTCCTCCTCGCCTGGGCGTCTCTAGCACTCCTCTCTGCTCTCCCTCACACAGGACTCGGTCTTCGAGGGCTGGCTGAGTGTGCCCAATAAGCAGAACCGGCGGCGTGGTCACGGCTGGAAACGGCAGTATGTCATTGTCTCGTCCCGGAAGATCATATTCTACAATTCGGACATTGATAAGCACAACACCACGGATGCCGTGCTCATCCTGGACCTCAGGTGGGTTGCCATAGCTAAAAGGTTTAGTATCGCTAATGTTTTTCCTTCAATTCTGCAGCAAAGTGTACCATGTACGCAGCGTTACCCAGGGCGATGTCATACGCGCCGATGCCAAAGAGATTCCGCGCATCTTCCAGCTGCTGTATGCCGGCGAGGGCGCCTCCCATCGTCCCGACGAGCAGAGTCAGCTGGATGTGAGCGTGCTCCATGGTAATAGCAATGAGGAACGCCCCGGCACCATTGTCCACAAGGGTGAGTGCGGTTAGAGAGTTTCTGTAAGAGAGTTTATGATCAAAGCTTCTTTTTCTTCATGTCGCAGGTCACGAGTTCGTCCACATTACCTATCACATGCCCACGGCCTGTGAGGTGTGCCCGAAGCCGTTGTGGCACATGTTCAAGCCGCCGGCGGCTTACGAATGCAAGAGGTAAGTGTTAGCCATTTGGCTTGAATGCAATGATTACTTACCCAACTCTTTGTTCAGATGCCGCAACAAGATACACAAGGAGCATGTGGACAAACACGATCCTTTGGCGCCCTGCAAGCTGAACCACGATCCGCGCAGTGCCCGGGACATGCTGCTGCTGGCCGCCACGCCCGAGGAGCAGTCGCTGTGGGTGGCGCGATTGCTAAAGCGTATCCAAAAGAGTGGATACAAGGCCAACTCGTCCAACAACAATAGCACCGATGGCAGCAAGATTTCGCCCAGGTAAAGCCAGTCAGGGATCCAGCCAAACAGCAGTTCAAACAGAGTTTTCTACGCATATAAAATCGTATAAAGAAAACCCTCCATCCAACTACTAACTGAGAATAATTGTATTTCCCACTCCAAATTACTCCACGGCTTTTGTGTACCCCATGTCTCTGTGCCTGTGTCTCTAATCTTGATTGGTATTTCTCTTTCTCTTCCTCCAACTCTCGCTGCTAACCATCATCATTATAATCATCAACAACATCATCACCATCATCATCGCTACTCTCTGTCGCCCACAATCACTCGCTCTCTCGCCACATCCCAATCTCCGTACTCCGGCAGCCAATCGACACGCTCCTCCTACAAGCCGTATGCTGTCAATGTGCAACGCTCCGCCACGCTGCCGGCCAACTCATCTCTAAAATGAAAGCCCGCCTGCCTGCTCCATTCCGATCCCAGATCGGGAGCAGCGAAACCAACAGCCTGTGCAAAACTGATATACTGATACGACTTACTCCACTGACAGAGCAGGAGGAGAGGAGAGGAGAGAGAGCAGCAGCAGCAACGAGTGCAGCTACAACTACTGTCTTAAATTAACGCTCTAAAACCAACATAATATGCTAAACAAACATGCTAAAGTAATCTTAAAACTATTTTTTGATTAATTTACAAGCTAAAAACTAAAACGATAACTGAAAACTAAAAACTAAAAGCTAAAAACAATGAGAGGGAAAACTAATACTAAAAATCAACTACAAGTATACATGTAAAGCCAATGTAACGTCGTCTAACGCTTATCTAACAACAAAAACATATTGAGAAAATAACGAGAGATCAGGAAAGAATCGAAAAGTAACGAGATAGAGAGAGAGAGAAAGTAACTAGAGATCAGGAAAAAGAATTGAAAAGAAAAGAAATGGAAAAGAGAGATGGCAACGAGTGGTGGTGGCCATGGATAAAACCCCAATATGTATGTATTCTATATATATATATAATTATAAATGCGATACTGTGTATGCTATTCCATGGCAAGCTCTCTCTGCATTCTGTAAACTGCATTCTGCATACTGCTCAGCACAACAATGACGAGAGCTGCTGTTGTACTCTTAGTTAAGTGAACCAAGTCGGAGACTCTCCCCTCACACACACACATCTTGATGCCTTGTAAGAACTTTTTTTTTATAAACATTTACATTTATACATAGAATATATATATATTTATATATATATGTACTTTGTTGTTGTTGTGTAGCGAATCCGATTGGCCAAACATTGTTCTTAGCTTGTAAAAAATAAGAGATCAGCATAAATTCGTAGATATCTATATATATATATCAATGTATACTTCCTCGAGAGCATATCCTGTAAGCCAGCTAACAGCACACACGAGCAGCTCGAGCAGAGCATAAAGTTAAAGCCACTTTACAAAGCTTTAACTTGTATATTCCATTTAATGAAACACATAACTCTATACTATTCTTTTTTTTTACAAAAATAACCTAGTAGTAGGAGAAGATGCGAGAATATCAATCAGTTACTTAAAAGGGCGGTTGCAGGTGCAAGTGAATATACATATATATATACATATACTGTCCTCCGATTTGATTACGTTTGCAGTTTTCACAGTTTCCATTTCCAAAGTACTCGCTGATTTCCCAAAGTAAAATGGCGATTGAGGAAGCGGAAATGAAGGAAATGGAAACGGAAACGTAAACGTAAGCGGAAACGGAATAGGATGTCCCTAGCCATGGACAGAGCGAAACATGAATCGAAACAAGAGTAAATGTAAACTTAAACTAAATTAAAATACAATATTAAAATTAAAAGTAACGTAAACGTAACGAAACGAACGATTTGATGCGGACACAGGAGTTGTGTGTGTAAAAGGCTACATCTAAGTATTAAATATCCAATATGTTTTAGTTTGTAAGCTAAACAAATTATTTATTTGTATCGTTTTGATCGATGGCGCGTGCAGACGGAAAATGGCAGCAAAACAGGAAGCGAAGCACTACTCTCCATTATATTTTTATGATTTTGTATTCCCAATTTTAATGTTGATTTTTTGCCTTAAAACAATTGTATGATTTTTTGACGACCAATTGTAATTTTGAGAACGTTAACGAGAACAAGTGAGAGACGCCAGGCGATTTGCATTTAAAAGAACACGCAAAATTGAATTTTGAATGCGATCTAATGATTAATTAGCTGCCATCCGGGCTATCGGTTATGGTTGTCGTTTAATTGTCAATCGTTAAGTTCTGACTTTGATTTTGACTCTGATCCTCGGTTGAAACCGAAATCGAAACTGAAACGGAGACGACATCGACATCGACAGCGATATGAACATTATAGAATCGCTGCTTTTTTGCTTTTTACAAAAATTTGTATTTTATTTGTACTATTATTAATTATGATGATCATTCGTATTATGTTTATGTTTAATATTACTCTCTAGTGTATAACCCCACGTCTGTAATTGCATTTGTCCTCGAATCTTATCGACTGGCATCCAAATGGAATTGCAAGCGTTAAGGCAAATAAAGTAATAATGTGTATAAAATCCCAACACCCATTTGATTATTATTTTAAACCTTGGTTTATTATTTTTACATGTTTTTAATTCAGAAAGACTGATGGCAAATGCCTTAATACCAGAATCATAAAAGAGCAGGAGCAATGAATACATATATATATCTAATATCTTTAACTATAGAGCCTAAGGCAGCCTAACGAAAAGTCTGAGATGAAATGAGAACCGATTTGGTGATTCGTGAAACTTGAACCAAAAACTGGCTTTTATTTTTATCTGGGGGCATTAATCTGGCCCCTAAATACGTGGTGGGCATGGAAATGTTTACAAAAGCGAATCAGATTTTCCAATACCTGGGCCGATTTGCATTTGGACTGGATATGGCCATAGCAATACCAATACCGATGGCGATGGCTTAATGGGGCTAAAATGTTGGAAATGGAGTGGTCAGAGGGCTGCATATTTTATTAATAATTTAACAAGTTTCTTGTTTATCGCTTTCACATGCAGCATTGAGTTGGAGTCCGGAGTCTCTAGCTTATTTTTTTTTGGCACTTTATCTGACACTTTGTAGTTCAAGGTGAGTTGGCTCCGTCCGTCCATCGAAGCTAATTAGCATGGCCCAGCCAGATGCCGTCAAGTGCCACACCTGGGCACACACCATGCCGCGCAGAACATCTGCCAGAGGCCAAGAGGCAAAGAGTTCACAGCGATCGTTAGCAGATGGGCGTGGAAGATTAATTAGCAGCCATAAGCGTTGTCACCTATTAACTGCTCATCATCTCTGCCCCGGCGGCTGCTCCATCGATACCTAATCAGTTCAAGGCCGCAGACGAACCTACCAATAAAAAAATAAAATAATAATATGCATAATAAATATTTCTGGCTTTATCGGTTTTTACAGCTTTTTAATTTGGTGCCATCTCATCTCTCAGTCAATATACCTTGAAGTGGCTTCAGGCAGCTCAGCTTCCACATGGCTTTCGCCCCGGTATCTCTCGGTTGGATGCTTCTTCTCCTGCAGCTGATAAGATTCCAAGTAACACTTCTCGGTGGCTAATGGCCAGGGAACTGCCCAAGAGTCTGCTGGCAAGGTGAACCACACATCAGATTGGTGCTGCTGTCTGCCTGTCACCTGTTGCCGGTTGGATCTCCATCACCTTTTGGCCAAGATTTTTGCGAAAGTGAGTCAGCAGTGGCTTCTAGACTTCCTCGTCTGCTATAAGAGCTATTAATTAAGCTTTATTTGTTTATTTATTATATTATTTCTAAAGCTGTAAGTACTATTAATTATTCCAAGACAGGTTATTATAGTTTCACTCAGAAGCTTAAAAGCAAAGAAGGAGTCGTTTCCGACCCTATAAATCATATATATTCTTGATCAGCATCAACAGGCGGATCTTGCTAGCCATGTCTGGCGAAAAAAAAATTTTTATACATTTTTTGTAAATTTTATAAGGGGTTGCTTCGTTAAAATTGTCAAAAAATTACAAAAAATTTAATTTTTTAAAATGTTCAAGATTTAAATGCAGATTTGTTAACCTAATAAAAACTAACATAGGACAGCTTTCCGAATTAAAGTTAACGCATTTTTGGCTTAGTTATGATATTTCAAAAACTTTAATTTACACATAAAATTAACATAGAAATATATATTCAATATAGTTAGCATACAAATATTTTAGATCTTATTGTGGGTATACGAAGGCCAAAAAGCCAATGATTGCCAAAAATCATACAATAAACTCTACAATACATGCAACTTAACTCTGAGAAACACCAAATCCAACAACAAAAATCAAATCCAATTTGGCGATTTCACCGTGTAAATTTCTTAAAAACTTGGTCTTTCCTACCAGGCGAACAGAACTTCGAACAAGCAGCTGATCGGCTGCTTAAAAAATCCTAAAGTAACGGTTCTTAAGAGATGGGAACGTGAAGAGCTGCTCTGATTGGTCTAATCAGATGTAAACAAAGGGCGGCCATAATTGATTTAAGTTCTAAAATAACGGATCCTTACAGAGAGGAACGTAAACAACGTCTCTGATTGGTCAATCCAAACGTAAACAAAGGGCGGCCATTAATTATCTAGTCCTAAAGTAACGGATCTTCACAGAGATGCATTTAAGGAACTTCTCTGATTGGTCTAATCAGATGTAAACAAAGGGCGGCCATTAATGTACTGGAAAGCGCCGTTATAAGCAGCGCTTGATCTTGAGCTGCTGGGCTGCTGCCAGCGGTTTCTGTTCGCCTGGTGTAAGTCGTGAGAATTAGTCTGGTTAAAGCCCAAATTTGCAAGAAATAAAATTTCAAATGGTGGAGAGGGGGTTACAAACACACAAATTCCACACACAATAACCTAATAAATAAATAAAATGCATCTTTGGCTTAGTTATGATTAACCCACATATAAAATATTTAGTTTATAATACGAAGTTTCTTTTAATATCTTATTTATTACTTAGTTAATATGTCTTTAGATGTTTCTTTCGGCCAGAGAGTCAGAAAGAGTACCGAAAATTCGAGTTAAACTCTTGATCTAAGTCGAAAGGGAAACCCCTTAGCTGGAGCTGCTCTGTTTTTGGACTCCTCCAAGCCCAACCAAACACGAGGCTTACATGCGGGACAGACGACAGATGCGAGATGCGTGGAGATGAGGAGTGGGACTTGGGTATCGGGATTTACCAGATCCGGAGCAGAGAGCCAAAACAACAATTGGCCTAAAATCAATAAATTAATTAATAAAATATACAAATTGCATGCGAACGTGGCTTGGATTCAATTCGATGCGATTGGATTGGCTGGGCCCCTGGCTCAGACTCGGATTCGGACTCGGACTCGGGCTCGGGCTCGGACTTGGAGTGGAGTTCGAAAAACCTGTCATAACCAGAGCCCAGGCCCGTGACAAATTGGCTCCGAAAAAATATAAGAAACATAAAAAACAAAAAGAAAAAAAACCAGAAGTGCTCCTGCACTCTCGACCACATAGCATAGATCGGGGCTTTGGCTTTGGCTTTGCCGGAGAGATAGAGATAGGAGGAGGAGGTGACGCTGGCGGAGGAGGAGAAGGTGGCGGCCACATCGGAGTAGGTTGGACGGTGCAGGGCGGTCTCTGTGCCAGAGCCGTTGAGTCTGAACCTGTTGCGCGGCCGCTGCCGGCGTCGCTGCCACAAAAATATATTGGATGGCCGTAGGTTAACTGTGTGCACACGGCATAAGTAACGTTCAGTCTGCCTCTAGAAGTCGATCGTGATCGTGGCCAGTCAGTTCCCAGTTCCAGTTCCACAGTTCCCAAACAGTTTCCGTTCCAAAAAAAAAAATATATATAAAACAAAATACAACTTGAAATTTAACCAAAACGAACCCTCTCCATCGGCGTCACTGTTGTCCCTCCCCTATCAAAGAAACAAGTGTTTTTTTTATAGTTTAAGTTTTAAAAACACACACGCGATCGGCTACAAATAAAAATTTAAATAATAATAAATATATAAAAACAAAATCCAACACAAAATGAAGTACTTCAACATGTGAGTGAATCCATCCAATAGTTCATCTATGATCGAAGCCTTGCTCTGATCTTTTTTTTTCGAGTGATATTTAAGAGTTTCGCTTATTTTGAAACTATTTCTGAACATTACAGAGAGTGATTTCGATCATGGAGCCTAGATTTCATTACCCTTTTTTATTTTTAACCAGGAATAGGGAGTTTTGAATCAAGTTTCCCATTCCACTCAAAATCTCTATAAACACTAGTCTTAGGTTAGACTTTTGCAAAGATCCTACTGGATTTCCCTACCAATCTCTCCTTCCCCTCTTTCTGAATCTCCCTGAGACAAAAGAAGCTTTGGCTTGACATTTTCTAGCTCTGTCACAAAAAACCAACCTTAACCAATCGCCTTGCTGGTGTTGCATGTGGCAGGCAACCTTTTTGGGGCAACCAGCACACTCACAGCTACAGTCACAGGTGCGCAGGTGTAAAGCTTGGCTATAGCTTCGGCTTAATGCCAATTTGAACTTTAACACGTTGCTGGGGCCAACGCTCCAAACTGGAACTGAGCTAGTAAAGAAGCGAAGCCGCAAATGCCAAAGTTTGGTCATCATGACGATGACTGTGCCGCTGATGAAGTTGTCACGGGACTTGGTTGTGGAGATGTGGATGTGGATGTGGAGCTGGCATTTTGCCGGCAAAGAAATGGCAAAAGTTAACTCCCCAGGCGGTTTTCGGTTACAATCTCTGAGGAGCAGGGTATCTCCGGGGCAGCAGATCTGTGATCCCATGTGAGTTTGTTGCTGGTGACGTTTCAAGGTCGCCGCCAGATGATGCTGCTGCTCCTCTGATTCTTCTTTAGCCATTACTCCCTGTCACTGATACACCGTTAAAAAATTACGGATGTTCAAGAGGGTTTTATTTTTATAAGAAGAATAATGAAGAAGGTTTACAAATCAATAGATATATCAAAGTTTAGGGCCTTACAAATACCTAAAGTCTGTAAATAAGCTAGGAGATTGCTTCGCTGTCTTATAAACCATATAAAACTCTATGAATACTATTTAAATTATTATTAATTATTATGCTCTTATAGGGTATTAAAGTTAAGTTCAGAAGCTTGTAACGCTGCGAAGGAGTCATTTCCGACCCTATAAAACACATATATTCTTGATCAGCATCAAAAACCGAGTCGATCTAGCTATCTCAGGAAGAAAAAAAATTTCAAATTTTTTCAAAAATTTTTATGGGTTAAAATTAATCAAAAAAAATGAAAAAAATAATTTTTTTTTACAATTTAAATTGCAGATGCAGATTTGTTAACCTAATAAAAACTAACATAGGACTGCTTTCCTTTTCGAAATTAATGCATTTTTGCCATAGTTATGATAGATTTCAGATTCAGATATTATGATTCAATTTCTAACTGCAAGGATATACAATATTCGGCTTCCGGAAGTTAGCTAACATTCCTGTTTCCCATAATTTAGGTTTATTGTAGATCAAGATACTTTCTTCCAAGATACACATGAGTAAAAACTAATGAGATTCAGGGATTCAACAGTTTCCTTTGCTCTAATTTAAGAACTAAATAAAATTGAATAATTATCTCCCTTAATCAACTTTAATCAATCACATCTAAATTTCTTTCGGTGTGCCGCCAGCAGCTGCAGCACCACCACCATTTGGCTGCAAATTAAGTATATTGGATTAATTACCAGACGTGGTTGCCGTTGTGGTTGTCTTATAAATTAACGGTTGCATTTTTAATGCGAGTTGACAACAGGCACACCACAAACACACATACACACACCCGTAGAGATTTATGCATAAATACGAGTGCATATGGTGTGTAATATGTGTGTTAATCGCTGCGTTGTATGCGGGAATTAATCACCGGCGGGAAAAGGTGAGGTGAGGTGAGGTGAGGTGAGGTGAAGTGAGGGATATAGGGGCCTTAGGGGGACAGGGGGTAGGGGATAACAAGCGCCAGGTTGACGGCAAAATCAGGAATTTCGGTTTAGTTTCGCCTTTTCCGAATATCTCTCTGACTTGGCTTTACGTTCGTTTCATTTCATTCGCCGCATTATGCAATTTATATATATATATATTTAAATAAATAACATGGGACTGATATATATATATTATATACGCTACATGATACATGTACATGAGTAGGGAGGAAATACGCAAGATTCAAGGACTTTTGAGATGGCAAAAAACAGCGAATAAATGCACTTCATGGGCCAAAGCGAATTCAATGTAAACACATGCCGCGACGGCCGAAAGACTTGGGCAGCGAACTCGACAAAATCGAAAGACTTAGGCAGCGAACTCGCTCCACTTGGCATGCAGCCAGCAGTCAGCAGGCCAACACGTACTTGGCCAGCACTTGATACACAATGCACCGTTATTGAACCCACTTGCCTTAAGCCACTTTGCCTTCTCTCCCCCACCACACACCTCTCTCTCTGTCCTGCTCCATCCATCCAGTTAAAACCATCGTATATATCGTATTTGAATCCAATTCCAAGTCTGAATCCAATCTTGTGCGCACGTTTGGCCTGTAATAACTGGCAACTAACACACACCTGCCAGTAGGTGCATGTACATGCTACTCACCTGGCCAATTAGTAAACGTGCCCGGTCTTAACTGGGTTAGAGAGTGGCCAGAGTTCGAGCCAAGATCACGCTGATGTGGATGATCATCTTGAACTTGCCGCTTGCCACATTTGAAACTATAAATCTAATTTTATATGACTTAAACAAGAGTTTAAATGTTAAAATTATCATTAAAGATAAGTTAATATTATTTTAGGGTGTATTTAAGGTCTAGTTCCTTACTTACAATATGCTTAATATCTCTGAAATGAAATTTGTTTCCTCTTCCGCTAATCTCTTTTGCATATAAAGACTGCATTAGCTATTAAACACGTTAAGTTGATTTTCAAAGCTAATTTAAACATTTAAAAACTTTAGACAAAATGCAAAGTAGTTTTAAATTTAATTCAGATACTAATTTAAGCAATTTAAAATTTAAAACTTTGATTTAAATCACATTAAATACACTTTAAAGCAAAGTTAGCAACAAATCAATTTAAATTTGCGGATGTTGGTTCACTCGAAAACTAGGCCCAATGACGCCATTCCATTCCGACTCAAGAACTCGAAAGAAAAGACAACAAACTGTGCAAAAATTAAAAAAACTAAATAAATAAATAATATAAGTAGTATTTAAAGTCTAGAGTCGGAACGAAACAAAAGCGAAAAGCGATAAATTAAAAGTCAAACCAATTTGTTGACCAAGCTCTCAAAGAAGACAATCATGATAATGATGATGAAGATGATGGTGATGATGGTGATGATGGTGATGATGGTGATGATGGTGATGATGGTGATGATGGTGATGATGGTGATGATGATAATGATGGTAGTGATGATGAGGCGTCTTTAAGTAAGTGGTTCCGCCTTCCCTCAAGCGAAATTCTCGCCGACGCGATGCTTATCATAAATTTGCAACTAATGTCGACTTATATAACCGGCTGACAGACAGATGGCTTACAAGCCCAGGCCCACCACTAGAGATGCCCAGTCGTCGTGGTCGTGGTCGTTTGTCTACCTCTCCTGGGATTGTGGGTGTGGACTGGCTCTAGTCTCCCGTTGCCCAATAATTCCAGGCCCAGACAGAACCGGTTGCAAAGAAGCGATGAAGAAGCTGTTGGGGCAGAGCCCTAGCCAAATGTCATGTGTCCAGGTTCCTCTGAGGTAACAGAGACGTTGTGGGGAGACTATAACTCCATCTAGGAAGGGTACTAAATTAATGTAATGCCTCTAGAAGGATAGCCCTGTGTTTCTTAAGAGTTTCCTTCTTGAAAATAGATTATTTCTTATTCGAAATAACAAATTAAACAGCTTAGATATCATTTCATTAGATTTAAATATCAATTTCCTACATTTTGGTATGACTAAGGCCATGGTTTTATTTTCAATAAGGAAATATCTATGGTTTTTATGAACAAAGCTAGTCAAACTAAAGGAAACAATGACTTAATTAATCATTTTGAATTAAGTTTCTATTGAATTCTATATTACTCCTCCCCACTTTAATTTTAAATATTTCCAAGGATTTATCAGCTCAACTCCCCCAATGAAATGTTTCCTACTAAGCCCCTGATCATGGTATACCTGTGCTGTGAATTTCGATTGCAGTTCGGAGCTGGAAGACCCTCCAGCTGCTGAGTTGGAGATGCCAGGCACGCACCCACTAAAATCGGGGGAGTGTGTGTGCCCACGCCTTTCACCTTTGCTGCTTGGATTGCATAATGCCATTAACTGGGCCAACACCGAGGTCTGACCCCAAAAAGAAAAAGAAAAGAAAGAAAATAAAACGCAGAGGAGGATCAGGAGTGGGAGGAAGTGCACCCAGAGAGAGAGAGAAGGAAATGGAATATAAATATGAAAATGGGTGCTAAAAATAAAACCTGACTTGGGCCAATAGCTCATTTTACAGTTATTAGCCAACTATGGGTGCTTAGAGCTTGGTGCTTGGTGCTTGGTGGTGCTGGAGCGCTCACTACTGAAATTTATTCTGGCCTGGTGCTGGTGCTGCCTTGCCTCGCCTTGCCTTGCCTTGCCTGCCGTCAACTGGTTTGCCAGTTTGCCACTTTGACTGCCTTTTGCATAAGCACCTGTTTCCTTTTGGCCACCCCGGCGTCTCTCTAATGCCATGCTGCGTTGCCGTGTTGCCGTCTCCGTGTTGCCGTCTCCGTGTCGCCGCTGAAAGCCTAGGAAAGAATTTCAAAACGAGTTCGGTGCCCAAGTCTTTTGTTTTGCATAAAATATGAGCAATTGAGTCACCGCATAAAGCTCACTGAATAAAACAGGCACTGGCACAGACACAGACGGTGGGCAACAGAAGCGGAGCAACATTCGAATTCGGCATTAAGGCAAATCCAAATCGAAATCGAAAGTGAACAAACCCGTTTGCCTGACCTTTACACATTAATAATTGTTAGCACATCTCCGCCAGCTGGAGAAACACAACAAAAAATCTCATAGATCTTACAGGAAAACCGAAAGCCCCGAAATTAAATTCAAAAATTAATCAATGTATCCCCGTATTAATTCCAGTTTATGATTATGAATTCATCTAGATCCAGATCTGTGATCTGTGAATTAATGGTTATATGTATGGATTTATAATTATGAATTCAGCTCGTGCCATTAACTCGGCTCTTTTTTATTTTTTATTTTATGTGTAACTGGAAATCAACTTTTGATTTTATTTAAACAAAATTTATTCTGAAATGTATGTGCAATAAATTAAGGCGGCATCTATAATCATCAAATATGATATGAATATATATAAGTATATATCCATATGTTTCCCTTGGCATCACTCCACTCCTCTCCAGCACTTGGCGAGTATTTACGACTTCAGGTTCTGTATGGGCATAACCCGTCCAACCAGACTGGAGCTCTGAGGTTGTAGCAGCAGCCTTGCCCGGGGATTCACCAGCTCCTCCCAGCACTAGATGGTACTGACTTAGATATATGTTTATATATCTGAGTGTTAACAAATATAGTAAATTAAAGATCAGAGGATGGTGTAATTAGGCCAACATTGAACCCAGTTAATATTGGGAAACTCCCAATTTAATAGAACACCTCCTCCTCCATTTATTTCCAGCTGCCTGCTCTTCATTGTCTGCACCTTGTGCTATAGCCTGGTCACCGCCCAGGAGGAGGGTGGTGCTGCCGCCGTTTCGCCGGCCAAGAGAATTGCCGCACTGCGTCGTCCTGTGGGCAAGGCGGCCAAGACAACCACCACAACGACACCGGCACCGGCGCAGGGCGATGGGGCTGGTGAGGGTGAGGAATATGATGAGGAGGCCGGCGAACATGGTAACTTCGGCGAGGATGGTGACGAGGCGGCATTTGCGGCCAGCTCCACCACCAGCACCACCACGGAGGCACCGAAAAAGGTGGGACCCGTCATCCGGCCATTCCGCTCCAACGATGATTTCCTCAACTCGCTGAAGCGTCGCCAGGCGAATGCCAAGAAGCATCGTGCCGAGAAGCTGCCCAGTCCCAGCAAGCCGGCCAAGAAGAGCGATGAGTCCAACTCCTCCGGAGAGCAAGAGGAGTCGGCGGCCGCGCCAGCACCTGCCCCAGCATCCAGTCCCGCCAAGGGTTACAAGGGCAACTCGGCATGTAAGTGGGAAAAATACTTTTAATTATTTAAAACTAATTCATTTCTTGCATTTCATTTCATTATCTTTCAATTGTAAACGATTTAAATAAGTTAACTTTGGAAAAACGAAATATCCAAATCCTTGCAGAGAAAATCAATCCTAGTTCCGTAAATAATGCATTAATTTCCAATTGGAAAGCATTCCTATGTTTTTTTTTATTACGTTAATAAATCTGCATACTCAATTTGGACAATTTTTGAAAATTTTAACGATGCAACCCCTTATAAAATTAAAAAAAAAATTGATTAAAAATTGTTTTCCCCCAGACTTGGCTAGAAAGATTTCCCTGTTGATGCTGATCAAGAATATATATGCTTAATAGGGTCTGAAACGACCCCTTCACAACGTTTCAAGCATCTGACTATAATAATAATACCATTCTTTGAGCCGATATTTATCTTCATTTTTATATAAATATTTTTATTTACAATAGAAGTTTGAAGAACTCATAACCCCTAGGATAGTTTCCATTACAATAATAAAAATCCGCATAGCCCTCGACTGGGCTTAATTTAACCCGACAAATTGAACAATCTTACCAGGCGAACAGAAACCGCTGACAGCAGCCCAGCAGCTCAAGATCAAGCGCTGCTTATAACGGCGCTTTCCAGTACATTAATGGCCGCCCTTTGTTTACATCTGATTAGACCAATCAGAGAAGTTCTTTAAATGCATCTCTGTAAAGATCCGTTACTTTAGGACTAGATAATTAATGGCCGCCCTTTGTTTACGTTTGGATTGACCAATCAGAGACGTTGTTTACGTTCCTCTCTGTAAGGATCCGTTATTTTAGAACTTAAATCAATTATGGCCGCCCCTTGTTTACATCTGATTAGACCAATCAGAGAAGCTCTTCACGTTCCCATCTCTTAAGAACCGTTACTTTAGGATTTTTTAAGCAGCCGATCAGCTGCTTGTTCGAAGTTCTGTTCGCCTGGTAGGAAAGACCAAGTTTTTAAGAAATTTACACGCCAAATTGGATTTGATTTTTGTTGTTGGATTTGTTGTTTCTTAGGGTTAAGTTGCATGTATTGTAGAGTTTATTATATGATTTTTGGCAATCATTGGCTTTTTGGCCTTCGTATACCTACAATAAGATCTAAAATATTTGTATGCTAACTATATTAAATATATATTTCTATATGTTAATTTTATGTGTAAATTAAAGTTTTTGAAATATCATAACTAAGCCAAAAATGCGTTAATTTTAATTCGCAAAGCTGTCCTATGTTAGTTTTTATTAGGTTAACAAATGTGCATATAAATCTTGAACATTTAAAAAATTAAATTTTTTGTAATTTTTTGACAATTTTAACGAAGCAACCCCTTATAAAATTTACAAAAAATGTATAAAAAATTGTTTTTCGCCAGACATGGCTAGAAAGATTCGCCTGTTGATGCTGATCAAGAATATATATGATTTATAGGGTCGGAAACGACTCCTTCACTGCATTATGAACTTTTAACTGAAATTAAAAAACCATTATACGACGAAAAATTTTTTAAATTTACCAAATTTCCATATCAATCAATCTGATCGAAATTTCCTTCTATGCCTTTCACAGTGAGCCGTCGCAAGCTGTCCAAGCCCGCCAAGGCGACGCCCGTGGAGCCTGTGGAGGATGCCGCCGCCGAGGAGTCGGAGCAGCAGCAAAAGGAGGAGACGAAGCCGAGGCGTCCCATCGGTGCCCGTCTGGCCCTGCGGAAGCGCAACTAAAATCCGGGTCCCTGAACTGAACCCGTCTCTAAATCCCAGCTCTCCTGCCCCACTCTTATCCCTTTGAATCATATGGCTAGCTATTTGGCAGCCCGATCTGCCCTTTAGTTCTTAGTTCGCAATTGATTTTTTGTGTATGTAATATATTTGTAATTTTATGTTGTAAACAAAAACACACACACACGCCCACCCAAGACCCACAAAAACACACACACACACACCAAGGCATACACTCTCACACAAATCCCAGTCCCATCCTCCATGTCCAGGTCCACATACCTCCCTATATCCCTAGATATATGGAGCGCTATCTCTGCCTGGACACAATTATGTATTCTTCACAATCATCAATCAATCAATCAACCAATCAACCAGTAATAAAAATCACAAAATGAAAGCAATCGTCTTTCAATCAAATACATTTATGTTTATTCATTAAATTATAATTACACGGGGTTAAAAACCGAATTTAAAAAAGAACCGAAAAACAGAACAGAGAATCTATATAGTTATCATTTTCAAAATTGGGAATGTTTTTCTATAAATCTTTAGTTGGATTGTATATATAAATTGAGTCAAGTCTAAAGTGTATTTCCGCTTGGAGCAGGCAGGCAGGCTGTCCTGTCCCTATCTCTCTCTTCCGTTCGAGTTCTGTCTCTTTCGTTTTCAATATCGCTTTCGCGTTCGATTCCGTTTCCTTCGTTGTTTCGCTTTGCTTAGATTTAGGTTTGTTTTTATAAAAAATATATGGGTAAATACATATATATCTATATATTTTAACATATCTCTCTCTTAGCATTTATATTGTATAAGTGGTATATGTATATATTCGAACAATGTTTTATGGGCATTTTGTAAAATTAAAAAAAAATCAAACACGCGCACACACAAGAACAGGGAAAGAGAGCAACATGTAGGAGCTATAATTATATATATGTTTAAAAACGTAATTCAGACTTCCAAACCGATCCCGAGTTTCTTCTAAGGATATATATTTTCTGATATCTTTACGGATTTTTGTAGTTTTTAGTTCCTTTAGGGTCTGTGTGTGAAAGGCACATGGCGTTCTCCAAGGGCAAACTCGTGTCCGGGTCCCGTGATCCGGTGATCGGTTACTCAGCTGCTCTGGTGCTCGGCTGCTCGATGGTGCAGTGGCCCAGTGGTCAAGTGGTCAAGTGATCAAGTGGTGTCGTGGTGCTGAAGAGTATGTGGGCTAAAAAGCAAGGTATATGCTGGCTTAAATGACTTTACAACGTTTTGAGCGGGGGGGAATGTGGATTTAAGTACAGTTGCCATCAACTGATTGTTAATACTAGAAGAGTCCTAGTCCGAGTCCAAGTCCCAGGCGCATCAACTACGGATGGTGTCGCGTATTACGCATCAGCGGCACCAGCAGCGACGGCGGCCCCGCCTGACGCAGGAAGGGATGGGCCAGCAACTCTGCGGCTGTGGCACGCTGCGCCGGATCCCGGACCAGCATCCGATCGAGGAAGGACTGCAGACGCGGCGACACCTTGTGGGCATTCTTCAGATTCGGTGGCTGCATATCACGAATGCGTCGCATCGCTTGGAGCGGCGGCTCGTTAAAGAAGGGCGGCTCGCCGTCCACCATTTCGATGACCATGATGCCCAGCGACCATATATCCACCTCCGGGCCATACGGTAAACGTGATATGACCTCCGGCGACATCCAGTACGGTGTGCCCACCAAACTCTTGCGTTTGGGCAGCTCCTGGGATACCTGGGCGCAGAAGCCGAAGTCCGATAGTTTCACTCGTCCATCGGCGGCCAGCAGAATAGAGTCCGACTTGATGTCGCGATGGATGACGCCCTGAAAGAGAGAAGGGAAATTGGTTAAAAGTTTGCTCACAGTTTGCGGTTTTCCACCTTCACCTCCACCCACGCCCGGCCCTTTCTCCCAGCCACTTATCGCATTACCAACGTGGGACACAAGTTGCACAAAAGAAACCTAGTTAACCTGGCGGCTGGTGGCTGTTAACCCACCAAAGACCCACATGCCTAGGGGTTTTTTTAACTAGCTTTGAGTTTTTAAGACAAAAATTCGTATTCTATCATATATATTCTTCATACTTAAGGCTCCTAGTCTGGGCGAAGAAATCTAAGCAAGTTCTGTGTGCTTTTTTTGGGGCAGGGCAGGCACGTACGCGGCTAGATCCGATTTCACTAGCCGGATTTTTGGGCGTGCGACTCAACTGGTCGCCCCACTGTGCGTGCGACAACAACGACGCTGACAACATTTAGAAATTGAAACCCAAGCGTCGTCGCGAAAGCGGAGGGCAAAGAAAGCGCCACAAATGGCAATGGCACAAAGAATCGAAGCGAATGTACAGAGGCAGAGATAAAGGCGACGGCGGCGAAGGGCAGTTCCCCGTCTGGCCGACAATAAGGAAAAGCCAATGGGTAATGGAGAACACAGAGAATGGGGGGGGAGGTGCAAGGGACAACAGCAGTGTGGTCACGCACCTGTGAGTGCAAATAGGCCAAAGCCTTCAAGCACTGCTTGCATACGGTGGCTATCTGCTCCTCATCCATGCGCGAATGGGTGACAATGTCGGTGAGGGCGCCGCCCTCGAGGTACTCCATCACCACCCAGAGCTCGTCGTTGACCAGAAAGCTGGAGTATGTCTCCACAATATTGGGATGATGGTAGTCGCGCATGATGACCACCTCGTTGAAGAGCAGCTCGCGTCGCTGCTGTTTGCGCAGGTCCATCTTCTTCACGGCCACCTGGCGACCTGTGGTGGACAAGAGAGGGATGAGCATTGATTTCTGGTTGATTCTAAATTCAAGCTACGCACCTGTACTCTTGTCGGTGGCTATGCAAACAGTGCCCGTGGAGCCCTCGCCAATCTTGTTGAAGTGGTCGAGATTCTCACGCGGATCTCCCGCTGATACTACCATTTGGAGGGCAGCACGGAACTGCTCGTGGGTGAGACGCTGTTCCTGCTTTGGCTGTGCCTGCTGGACAGCCGCTGCTGCTGCCAAGGTGGCACTGCTCGCTCCGCCGCTTGAACTAGACGCCCGCGAAGCCGACTTGGCGAGGTGGTTGTGTGGATGCGGATGTGCATGCGGATGCAGGGGATTCTGGTTCTGATCACCGATCACCTTGGCCTGGTGGGAGCTGGGATACATGGGGAATCCACCGCCACCGCCAGCGCCGCCGCTGCCATTGCCATTGTTGGTGTGCGAGTGCGTGGAACGTGTGCCACTGGCCACAGAGCCCACGGGCGATGTCTGTTGCGGTATGGAGCCGGGTGGCGGTGCCAGGTTGCTGCGATACTGATGCTGGTCCGTGCGCACGGCCAGCGGTCCGGTGGCCGCTGCTCCATTGGCATGGGAATGCTGACTGGGATAGAGCAAGGGATGGCCGCCCATTGCGGATGGTGGTGGCTTGAAACCGCCTTGTGTTGGACCCGTAGGGCCCTCCTCCTCCGGCACCGAAGGCGGCACATTGGCAACGCGACGAACGCGTGGAGGACTTGAGCTGCGCAGGGAGTTTGACCTGGCCACGTGCGAGGTTTTTGGCAGGATAATACCACCACCGCCGGTCGTTGCCTCGCTGGGCATCATGTGGTGCATCATTCCGGCAGCGGCGGCCGCGGCGTTCGGTGGCATGGTATGGGAGCCCCCGAGCCCCATGGGGTGCGACGCCATCATCATGTTGGTGGTGCTGCTGCTGTTCAGCGAGGTGGTGTCCGCCTTGTTGTTGTTGTGATGCGGACGGACTATTGTCTTGAGGTCGAGGATCTCCGTGGGCGTGATCTCCGAGGGATCGACGAGCGGCAGCGGGCGGTTGCTCGACTTGAGGATCTGGTTGTTGCCCACAATGGAGGCCCACTGGAGGGGCAGGCCCACGTACTTGTTCTCCCGCTTGTCAAAGCCCGTGTGCACGCGATGCTCGAAGTTGCTTGGCATCGAGATCAGCGGTTTCTTCTTCTTTTTCGAGAACATTTTCCCAGCGCCCGGAATTGATGGATCACCTATCGCCTAGTTTTCCGTTTTCCCGTGCTCCGGATTCTTCTGTTGGCTTCTCTTTTACCGCCCTTTTCCAGACGGGAAAGAGTAACAAGCACAGCAACAGCAACAGCAACAACGACGGCAATCTTCCAGATCTCGCGCACACTCACACACACAAGCACAACAAACAAGCAGGGAGCACGGACGACTCTCACGCACACACACGCATTACAGCACAGCGGACGCGACTCTGGGTTACCATAAAATCCGAGTCCCAATCTGAATCCGGTTTCGATTCCGAGTCCGACTCAATCCCTTTTAGCTTCCTCCGGGGGTCAACACATTTCTTGGGTTACGGCCCACAAACGCAATTGGAGAAACGAAAAAAAAATAAACTAAAGAAAATAATTGCCCGAAATCGATAGCAATAGAGGTGGAACTATCGATTTAACGTCAGTGCACTATCGATAACGACTCGACCAACCGTCATTTTGATATGTTGATATTTTTCTTAACGGGTAAAAATAGGAAAATATATTGTTCTAAAAATCAAGTTTAGTCTTAAAATTCAAGATTTTTCCTAGTTTTGCATTTTTTACATATAAATGTTTGAGATGACCGTTACCAATATCGATAACCAGTTTCAAGCAGACCGTTTTACCATTCTCGGTAAAATACCCTGACAGCTGCGCGCCAACATTAGAAATGTTTGCTTGGGGAATTTTCAATAAACTTTTAATTACCCAAATAGCTAAACCAAACCAAGGAAAGATGATCACAGGGTGCACTATTAATTCATCTCACATGTGTATTTGTTTTTAAATTATCATACCGCATATATATTTACTTATTTACATTATGATAACTTTTACTCGACTCTAAGACTGCTCTTCTGATTTCCATTTCTATTGTAGACTTAATGATCAATTTAAAATTATAATTTATATATATATATATATATTTATTCAATGTGTGTCTCGCGGCCATGTTTACATATGTGTATGTGGATGTGAGGGACATGCACATCGTCGCTGTTCGGTCGCAGCTCCTCCAGCTCCACCTGGCTGAGCTATGCGCTCCTCTTATCAGTAGCTATAGGTTTTTTTGTTTGTTTACGTTGCTAGATAGTTGTTGGTTTGCATTACATTTTTGTTGTTGCTGCTGTTGGGTTTCCTTTGCGTATAATTCTAAAATCAATAACAGAACTAAGACTTAATGCAACTCTAACTGCTAAACCTCAAGTCCTGCCCTGCGCTGTCATTATCTAAAAGGGATTTCCCAACTCTATATACATATATAGATATGTATATGTATACATATTTATATATATATATATATATATAATATAGTTTACTTTTTGCGCTATCTCTCTTATCCTCCTTGCAGCTCTTGCTTGCCGTTTCACTTCGGTTCTTTACATTTTCACAAAATAATTATTACATAATTATCGTTTAATTAAGTCTACTACAAAAAATGTAAGCCAATGTATTTATGTATATATATATATATGTATATGCCGAGGGCCTAGGAGAATCACAAACAATTTGCAATGACAATAGCTACAGGGATAAAATTAGATTACAATTTACACATGGTAAGCCGTGCGGACACATTAAAAGTCGGTCATCCGCGTGGTTCTCCCTACACGATATATATATATATATATATACATATATAGATATTGAGATACACTAGATATTTAGCAGGTTTTAGAATCAACAAAAAAAAGAATCTTTTAAACATTTATAATATATATTCATTAAACATAACTGAACTAAACTAATGAAGAAGAAATATAGACTATGTATATATTTATGTGTAAACGGCCGGCAACTCATCATCCGCATCCTTTCCCGGTGGCGCTGTGTTTATACGTTTTACAGTGTGTGTTACGGCTACATCTCTTCTCCTCCTTGTGGCCCAGTCAAGTCGTTACTGTATTATCGAGGCTCTTCTTGGGTTTCAGTCAGTTGAGGCGCGGCTCCCCGTCGTCGCTTTAATGTCGCACATACCTATAGGGACTGTGCATATTGCGTCGATTGACTCCAGTAGTCTGGGCAGTTCCATATCCACTTTCGCTCCGCTCCGGTCGTGCGGACGATACTGCAACTCTACGATTACTCTGGTCAGCAGTGAAGTGTCTGTGTCCTCTGTCACTGTTGTGTTTGGCTTTGTATTTGGTGGTATAGTTGTTGCTGTATCTGTTGGAGTAGGTGTAGTTGCTGTGGATGCTGTATCTGTTGGAGTAGGTGTAGTTGCTGTGGTTCCTGTTGCTGCTGCTGTTGGTGAAGCTGATGTTTTTGCTGCTGCTTCTGTTGCTGCTGTTACTGTTGTTGCTGTTGCGATTGTTCTGTTCTGTTCTGTCCTTCGTCATATTCTGTTCTTGGATACACTCCAGCTCCTTTAGCTGTAGATGTCGCTCCCTCTCCAACTCCACCGGTATCGACATTTTTAATCTTTTGGCGGCCTGAAGAGCAGCTACCTGGGCGGCCGATCGCGATGCCATTTCTACCGGGGCGGCAGGCGGCGCATCGGAGTGCGCACTTTGCGGCGGAGCATTTGCGAATTTTGAGCCGACTGGCCAGCTGGCTGATTGAAGCTGTGAATGAATCAATAATTAATTAGTCTGCTTCTGGACAACACATCTCGAGAGCTCGAGAAGACGTCTTCTGCGGCGGGCGGACGAGTAGCTATGGAGCAGATACACTTATTTATTTTTCCAAAGACTTTTGCCCAGCAGACAGACACACACACACAGAAATTATTAACAAAATGATTAAGTAAAAAATGAGAAGTGCAAGCACACAAAAACCAAACACAAAAACTGTTGGAAGGAAAATAAAATTCAGACATTGTTTTATGGCATTTGTAGCATCGATAAAGCTGGATGCTGGACTCTCACTCCCAAATGGAACACGGATCACGTCCTGCGAAATATTTATGTCTAATCGAAGCTTTTTAAGCTTTCAATCAAGTGTGAATATTTCGAATGTACTGACGGTGTCAATGCCGCCCACCAAAAGACTGTGTAATATTGGACTATAAATTTGGTTTAAATCCGAACACAGTTCAAATTTAAAACAAAAAAAAGTAATCACTTTTCAACTTAATTTCTTCAACTTCACCTGTTTTTGAAGAAATATTTCAAAAGGTAGACCTCTTATTTTCACAAATTCGTAACGTAATAAAAAAATAAAATCAGTCATGCTTGGTTTTTGTGTGTGTTAATAAAATGTTGGATTTAGGATCATTGTGTTGGGGAGACAAAACGAAAACAAACTAAACGAACATTAACACAAACAAATGCCTTACAAATAAATTAATTATAAAAAGCAATTATAACGGTTAAGATTACAGTTGTGTTTTTCGACTGGTGTAATCGTATGCGTGTTTGTGTGTGTGTGTCTGTTTACGTTTTTGAATTCTGCCAATTCAAAAAGAGGAATAGGGAGACACAAAAAAAGTATCGAAAACGATGCATGGATCCTCGGTGTCTGATATCTCGTTTGCACGCAGGCGCCCGCTCGTATTTCTCTCTGTCTCTCGCCATCCCTGTCTTACTTACGCAAATATATTGGCCGGCGCTGGGGCACCGCTAAATTGGAACGGTGTATTGGCATTCGGTGTGGACTGCAACAAAAAATATTTTTGGTTTGTTTGCCTTTGGTAAATTTGTTTTATCTTTGCAATTGTAATTTCATAAGCTCTGTTTTAAATCTATTTAGTTTATTTTTCTTCTGTGGGTTCACGAAGATGATAGTTGTGGTGGTAGATGGTAGGTGATTTGTGTGTGATAAGGCAATATAGATTGTGTTTAGGATGTCTATGATCTATAGGTTATTTACACAAAGATACGATATTCTTCTGCCTGATCGAATGCTAAATGAAACGCAAGGATGAACAGTGGCGCTCCACGGTATGATGTCAAGTGGAATTTATTAGGGTGGGTATGGGGGTGCTGTGTGTCTGTGTTGTGTTGTGTTGGGGGGGGATGCGGATGTGAAGCTGATGGGCGTGAGTGCTCGTCAAATTACATATATTTTGGCAAAGAGCATGCAAAACTGTACTGTAGAAGCCAGAGTATATGTATGACAAGCACTGCACATATGTACATACATCTACGATCTACAGCTACAAGCATACTAAATATTGTTTACGATCAACGGCTACGATTTAAATTAGAATTAAAGAAAATGGTTAGGATTAATGAAGCATGACGACTTAAACACGATTTAAATAGTTATATTATTTCATTCTACTTTTAAGGCAAGGGTGCCACAGCAATTTCTATACCAGATCGCAAAATAAATCGAATATTTTTGTAGATTTTGAAAATCTAATTTTAAAACACAACACAGTTGTTAACTTAATTTAAGGAGTTTTAAATATATAAGAAAATACCACGAAATATCACTGCCATTTGAAAAGTATTACACTTTGAAAGGGATCTCGGTGGCACACCTGCATATATATGTACTTTAAAAGATCAAAAAACAATGATCGATCGGAAATATATAATTTTTCGAAATTTCGCTTGAAATACAGAAATTTCTGTGACGCCCTGGTTATGATTAATGTACACAGTACATATTATTCAACGAGAGTTTAGCTATCAAATATATATCGTGTATTTCGAGTCGACGACCAACTCTCTGGATATATTTTGTTTTGGGCCATGGATTCGCATTACCTGCATCTGAGTTTGCGGCGTTGTATTGTTAAAATTAAACATCGGCGGCATACCACCAAATGCAATGGAGGAGGCAGTGGAGGAGGCGGCTCCATCCGGTCCCGCTACCGCTCCTCCCATATCCGCCGCCGTTGATGAAGCACCAAACCGAAAGATACTCTGCTTGTTTGATTGAGCCGCCATACGATTTGGTATCGGGTATCGTTATCGTAATAAACATATCGAAATCGTGGTGGTAATCATAATATAGTGGTAGTAGGATGAATGGTAGTAAAGTTGGTCGTGCCCGTGCCCGTGCCCACAGGGGTTTTTCAGTACAGGGAGGGTACAGGTACAGGTACAGATTTATGGAGTTGCATTATAGGGAGTATACATTAATTACAAGTTACAACACGCACGATTTTCACATTTGTTTTTTTTTGGGAGTTTTGGGATTTGTCGGGGAATAGATAAAAAGAAAAAGAAAGAAGAAAAATACAAATAAATAAGAATACGTACGTAAATAATAAAGTAGGCAAAATTAAATCAGAATATATATAGTCGGGGATATAGTTAAGGGGGATCGATTGACTGTTAAGCGTATAGTTATCGTTATCGCTATCGCTTTTATTCTAGGACGGATTGTGGCATGCAAGACGGAAAAATCAAAGGGATATATATATATATATGACGGAAAGCTAGGAGACACTACAACAACCGTTAACAAATTTGCATGGATGGAAGTGTGATGGTGTTGGTTGCATCACGTCGTGCTCTTCTCCTATCGATCATCTCGTGGCTAGTTGGGACTTTTGTCAGGGTCAGAAGGTGGTAGTGGCATCCTCAATCATCTATGTTAAATTATATACTTACATCGCCGGCTGTTAGTGGAGCAGCTGTTGGATTTGCAGTGAAGGTAAAGGCGCCTGCCTGCGGTGTGGAGGCAGTTACCGAACCCGTGAAGTTGAACGTTGGCTTGGCTGCTGCAGCAGTGCCGGACCCAAAGTTAAATGGCACAGCAGACGACTGCTGACATGAGGGGAAAAGCTTAGTCTTCACATCAATTGATAGTAAATTCAATACTTACAGTTGCCGTGGCAGCGGCTGCTCCGCCAAAGTTAAATGCAGGCTTTGTCGTTCCTCCCTGGCCCACTGCCGGGGTCGTAATTGCAGCAGCACCTTGTCCGAATCCTCCAGCGCCGCTTCCAAACACCGATGACGATGAAGCCGGTGCAGCAATGGCCGTGGGATTTCCAAAGATGTTGCCCATCGGTCCCGGGGCCGCAGCTGCAGGTGTCGCAGCTGCTGTGGCTACGGGCGCCACCAGGGAATTGCCCACATTCCCAAAGACGGTGGGAAGACCTCCGTTTCCACCCAAGTTAACAGCTGCCGGAGTGGCTGCCGCTGTCGTGGCCGTCGAGCCGAATAGGGAACTGCTGCTGGCAACGCTGCTGGGAGCTCCAAACATAGGAGTGCTGTTGGCAAATATCGGCTGGGTCATCATTACACTCTGTGAGGATGACACCGCCGCTGTGCTGGTGACTGCATTAATGCTGCTGCTGCTGCTGGTGCTGCTCATCCCCGTGGCTCCATTACTGGGCCAGCCAAAGCTAGGCATTGTCGTCGTCGCCGCCGCTCCCAATCCACCGGAGCCAAAGACAAAGGGTTTCGCAGCAGATGTCTCCTCGGCTTGCTTATTAGCTCCTCCGAAACTGAACAGCATCGGATTCGATGGCGCCACGGCGGCAGCACTGCTGACAACGGTGCTATTAGTGCTGACTGAGCTGGCGGCTGTACTGGTGATAGCTGCTGCTGCTGCTGTTGATCCGAAAATAGAGCTCACACCAGCGGCACTAACTGTGGGTGCCGCTGAAGTTTCAGTCGTTGGCTGACCAAAGAAGAAGGTACCGGCGGCAGCAGGAGTTGACACGGGTTTCGGTTGAGTGGCAAAGCTGAAGCTAGGAGCTGCAGCTGCAGCTGCAGCTGGAGTAGGAGCTGCTGCTGAAGCAGATGCTGAAATGGCAGCAAAAGTTAGTCCTGTCGCTGGCGCTGGAGTTGCTGCTGGCTTTAGGGAGAAGCCTGTCGATGAGGTCGTTGTTATGGTATTGGTTGCACCAAAGCTCAAAGTCTCTGTCTTGGGCGCCGGTTGCTGGCTACTGGTGCTACTCACGGCGCTAGCGGATCCAGCTCCCGAGAAGCTAAACAGGGGCTTAGCAGTTGGCATTGAGTTGGCGCTGGAGCTGGACACCGTGGAGGAGGAGGAAGGTGGAGCACCAAAGGTAAATCCAGCTAGGGCCGGAGTGCTGCTGCTAGTGGTGGTTGTGGCTGTGGTTGTGGTAGTGGCGTTGCTTGAGCTGGCGGGGCTTGAAGTATTTGGCGCCCTAAATACAAACTGCTGGGATGGAGCTGGAGCTGGAGCCGGAGCCGGAACAGCGGCATCAGTTTCTTCTGTGCTTGAAGTGGCCGTCGTTGCCTTTGTTTCCTCCTTGGTGAAACCAGACTTCGCCAGCTGGGTATGCGCAAATCCAAAATTAAACTTTGGTACCGAATTGCCCCCTCCACAAACCGGCAACACGCTGCTGGTGGGACTGCTGCCGGGCTTGAGCTGCTCACAACAGATGCACTTGTTGCGGGACATGTCGTTCTGGGCCAAGCACGCGTCGCAATTCCAACTGGCGGCCTTTTGGGATGCCACCAGCTGCTGGAAACCCGCATCCGGCTTGGGCGCAGCAGCAATTCCTGGTGTGAAGCCGAACTTAAAGCTAGTGCTGGAGGATACACTGTTGGCGGCGTGAGGTGAGGCTGGTTTAGACGTCGCGGAAGAGGCCGCGGAAGACGAGGATGAGCTCGAGGTTGGCTCGGAAGTGCTGCTGAGTCGCGGATTTTCCGACTGGCAGGCCACGCATTCCACGGCAGTTGGCTGGTTCATCAACATACACGTCTTGCACTCCCACTGGCCGGTCTTGGGCTTGAAGGCATCCCCAAAACCAACACCGGAGGCTGTTGTAAGTGGGAAATTGTTAATCTTTGTTGGTTTGGCTGCCATCCGGGGTGTCGTGCATGCAATGCACTTGCTATCCTCTTCCTTGTTGGTAACCATGCAAGAGTCGCACTCCCAGGCACTCGATGACTTCTTGAAACGATCTCCAAAACCGGCACCGATCGGAACAATGGGAGCCAGAGAAGATGGAGCTGCCTGAGCAGCAGCCTTAGCCGCTCCCGGCTTGGGCGTCTCGCAGGCCACACACTTGCTAGCCTCGATCTTGTTGCGCACCATGCACACATCGCAGTCCCATTCCTTGCTCGACTTCTTGAACTGTTCGAAGAGAGTAGGTGCTGGAGCAGCCTTGGCCGCTTCCGGCTTGGGCGTCTCGCAGGCCACACACTTGCTAGCCTCGACCTTGTTGCGCACCATGCACACATCGCAGTCCCATTCCTTACCAGACTTCTTGAACTGCTCACCAAAGCCCTGCGCCGGCAGGCCGTTCGTTGCCGGATGCTCCGCCTCCTCATGAAGAGCACTTGGCGCTGTGAAGGAAAATCCAGGTTTGGCAACACTAAGCTCGGCCATAGAGTTATCCTGCGAGTTGGACGACAGTGGCGTGGGCTTCGCAAAGGTAAAGAGACGATCCGTGGCGGTGGCACTTCCATTGGCTGCAAAGCTAACAGCGTTCATGGGTTGCGGATTGACCAGAAAGTTTGGCTTTGTGGCTATAGTGGCTATGTTGTTCTCGGTCTTGCTCTCCGTCGAGGATGGGACGATGGCCTTGTGGAGCGAGGTCTTATCGATGACCAGATCGAACTTGGGCGTGCTGGCCATGTCTGGGAAACTGATCTGGGGCAGATCCGGTGGAGGCGGTGCTGGTTCCTCGTCGCGCGACTCCTTGCTACGCCCCGTCTGGTGTGAGAGCTTCGAACGCATCTTGTTCGAACGATGACTATGGCTATGCGGCTGATCCACACCCGCCGCCGTTGCGGTCACCGATGATGGCAACGTTTTTGTTGCAGCCTTCTTCACATCGCTGTTCTCCGCAAGACCGGCGTTCTGTCTTTGGGTCTGTATTAGATTGCGCGTGTTGGTAGTCACCCGGTTCAGACACCGGCGCTCCAGCAGCTGCTGCATTGTCGGCAGTAGTAATTTGTTCGAGCGCAGCTCCGCCAAACTGGCATTTGGACTCTGCACGGATCCAGTGTTGTTCCCGGAACTCTGAGGCACCGAATAGGGGCTGCCAGCAGGCGCATTGTCGCGCAACCTGCGGCTACTCTGGTGCTCCTTGAGGGTGCTGCCCATGCGCTTGACATCAATCAGCGGCGTGGAGTACCTGTCCAGCAGGTTGAGGATGCGATGCGTGGTTTTAGACATGACAGGGTTTCGATTATCAATCGACCTAGAGCTAGAGCTAAGCGCTCCACCACTTGTCTCTGCAGGATTTTTAGTGCGCATTTCCGTTGGCTTTAAGCCTGTGAGTTGCACCGGCATACCGGTGCGGGAATTGATTGACCGCAGTGAGGAGGCGGCCGATGAGCTGCGATTAAAGAAGCGATTATTCGCCGAGTTGCCGCCAAAGGCCGTGGGTCCTTTGTAGAAGGGTGAGCTTGATGAGCTGACTGAGGATGTTGTGGAGCCCCTGTGACTCAGCAGACGGCTGTCGCTCAGGGCCGAAGTGCTGCCGTATATCGTCGCATTGAATGTCCGCCTATTGCTCAGCGAATTCAGGGACCACGTGGAATTGTGCAGAGTGGGCTGGACGTTGATTGTGTTGAATAGAGATTTGTTACTCAGCAGGTTGCCGTAAAACTCCAAGCGACTGTTGCTGTGGCTGTGGTGCGCCTCGCCGTTGTCGTGGAAATTCAGTTCAACATGATCACTCTCAGAGTGCGAGTCTCCTCCTCCCGTTCCAGAGGCCGCAGTGCTAGAAGATCCCATGCTTGGCTTTTCCACATTGTTGTTATTGTTATTTATAATAAGTTCGCGCTGACGATCGTTAGTACAATCGATTAGGTTTCGGTCACGAAGGTCAGTACGCTTGCCCAGCAGAGATGGTCGTTTGTGGTGGGGCAGGCTGGAGAGCGAGAGGGTGCTGTTGTTGCGGCTAGTGACACTGCTGCTGCAACTGCCACTGCCAGCGACGCTGCCAAAAGGTATGTTCAGGGAACGCCGGATACTGCAAGGATAAAAGGGATTTACTTTTAATGAAAGAGGCAGAAAGGTATGTGCTTTACATATAAAGCAAGGATGCAAGTCACAGGACTACTCTTCTATTTCTACACGAGATGAGAAGCTTGGGATCTGTTAACTCACCTGTGCGGCAAATCGCCGGTAGTGCCTTCGGCGGCGGTTTCGTTGCCGGCGAAGAAGTTAAATGCGGGTTCACGGGTCCGCTGATTTTGATATAAATTCAGGTGGGTGCGACGGTGCGGAGGCAGCTGACTGTTAGTGCTCCGAACGCCACCCACAGACACGGATGCCGGCACGAGAGAAGCAGCGGGCGTGGACGAACCCAAGGGCATGCGGCGCATGTGAGGTAAGCTGACGGTGGTCTCCAGCTGCAGGTAACAAAAGGATGAGCAAACGTTTGGAAGGAGCTAAATATATAAAAGGGATAAGACGTCTCTTACCTTCAGACGTTGGCGCTTCGCGACCTGCTCGTGCACATCGTCATCGTCCTCTTCCTCGCATTCCTCGTCCTCCTCATCCTCCTCGACGTCGTCCTCCTCCACATCATCTTCCTCGCTGCCGCCAGTTGCAGCGAGGGCATCCTGCTGTCTGCGTAACAGAAACACATTGTACTCGCTTCGCCGCCTCTGCTCATCTTCGGCGGCCAGATCATGCTCGGTTATATTATCGGCCAGGGCCACCTCTTCGTAGTTGAGGCCCCTGGCATCGCTGCCATCGTCCACATCGTCGGCCTCAGCATCCGCCTCGGCCAGGACAATGCGACGGCGACCGCGTTTTCGTTTGGTGCATCCGTTGGGTTGACGGATCAGGTCCTGCTGCGGGGAGGCTGCAGCATCCGATTTCGACGAGGGCGAGAACCAACCGCTTAACGCAGCGGGCAGAATGCTCAGCCGCTTCTTCATCTTGCCCATGATGGTCTGTAAAGGCGGACACAAGCAGGGGTCGATTGGATGAAGGGGAATCTCTGGAGCAAGCGGTGAGTGACTGTACTTACGTTGTTGTTGCTGGCTCCCGCGGTCTCCTCCTCCTCCTCCTCCTGTTCGGGCGCCTCCTTCAGTGGCGTCAAGGGATGCAACTGGATTGCCGCTGCCGCTTGCGAGGATGCCGGTCTAGCTTTGGTCCCGGGACCCCGCTGCAGCTTTAGACCATCCTCAGACTCCGACATAATGTAAATTTCGGCTCAGGTTCTGGAGTCTTCCTATCTTCGACTCTCCAACTGTCTCTCTCTCTCGCTCTCTTGCCGGCGAAGCAACGGCACAAAAGAGAGACACCAAGCGAAAAGAAGCGTAGCACACACAACAAAACTCAACTAAAAAAAATTACACAAATAACGGGAGCTCACACTGTTGCAATTCCTGCCAACAAGCGCGAGCGCGCGCCTGCGAGTAAATGTGTGTGCGTGTGTGTGCTCGCTGTATGAGCGAGTGTATGTGTGAGTGCGCTTACGCACGCCGTCGTGTTTTTTTTGTTACCTTTAGATTTTTTTTTTCTCTCCACTGAGATTTCACACACGCGGCGATGAAAACTAAACTGAACTGAACTGTTTGGCGCCACAACTAACAGGGCAGGGGGATGTGACAGATATGTCGATGGCTGCAATGGAAACGCGGGAAAAGGATTTGAGAACGCAATCCGGTTTTAATGCCACCAAATACGGGCAATGCGATCGGGTTTTATTTTCAGACCCCCGCCGCCACTGCTGCCGCTGTTGCTTCAGCGCCGCCGCTGTTCCACTGGGCTCCGCCGCCGCCTTACCGTGCTCCTCCTCCTCCTGACTGCTGCATGCCGTCCGTTCCGCCGTTCGTTTGATCGCCGGACTGCCGCTGTCCGCTTTTTATCGCCTTCCTTTTGTCTTTGTGCTTCCTCTTTTGCACTCTTCTTACTGCTTTCGCAATTCTTCGCTTCTCCTCTTCGCTCTACACACACACACGCGCGCTGCGACACGAACCGAACTCTGGCATTCGTACGAATTTGCTTTAAAAAAAACACAGTCACTCAGTGGTTTTCACATCCGGACTCGGGGCCGGGCTGTCAATCTAAGTAGGCGCTCGTTTTGCAAACATAACGCTGGTCAAATTGAATACACGAAATTAATTAATTAATTTAAAAAAAAAACCACGATTTGGGAAAAACGCGTGTGTGGCCGAAGTAGCGAGTAACATGCTGTGACGAGTTGCTACTCGTCGATACCATGAATATGCAGATATGTGTGCGATGGCGATAATACAACCCTGCAAAGGGTGGATGATTGGAATGGAAAAGGTAGAAAACTTTGATAAATACCGATAACGACTTGCAAGATATTCGAAAAAGAAATGCCTTTATTTAAAATTAGACTATTTTATTATTAGATATTTTTACAAATTAATTTTTTTTTTGGAGCATTTGTTTCCCTTTACGGCAGCATTATCGTTAAATTCTTATACTGCTTTATTCGGGTATACGACTTAAACACTGTTTTAAAACAATACGTTGTGGTGAACAGCTTTGCAAGAAGAAACTAGAAAACGTGACCTATGTATTTAAATAAATATATGTTTTTAATTAAATTATCCCCGTACATATGTATCGATGTATTGTCCCCTTTTAATTTAAACACTCACAAAGCCGATAAAGACATCGATATGTTCGCGCGCGGGGTTTTCATCAGTGCTGCAGACTTGGTTTATTTTAGGCTATGTACAAAGTTATAAACTTTACTAAATAATAATAATTGACCTTTTTAAAATGTGATTTATAAAATAATGTATATGGCATATTCCATCACTAAAAAACCCCAAAGAAATCTTTTATTATTTAAAATCATTTTAGTTTGAAACATTTAACATTAACTTAACAAATTTAAATCATAAAATGTGTTGCTTATTTTGTTTCTTCCTTTCTTCCGTTGTTTTTATTTACGTGATGGTTAATTTTTATATTTCATCGATGCCGATGGCTATCGATATGGCTAATGGTGGCTAATACATATGGGATGTGCTATCGATTATTTAGCTTTTTTTTTTTTTCAAAATCTAGCTTGTGCGGCCATGTTAAAGTGTAATTTTAATGATTCCCAATAAGCTGTCCGCATTATTCCGCAACGGTTTTATTGAAAGTATCTGGAAAATGTCGAATAATGTGTCGCTGTAATCAAATAAGGGTACTTGGGTAAATATATTTATCTATCCATATTTTAAATGTCTTGGTCTTGCCTTAAATAAGCTAATGTCGCAACACTGTCGCGAGCTTTCGCAGAAGCGTCGGTGTTTCTGGGCCGTAGTTCGTTGCCGGAGTCGTCGAAACCATTGCGTAGTCGCGCGCAAATCTCGCGTCGTGTCGTCGAAAAACCCGGAGTTGTCCTCCCATCATCTCAGTTCGAAACACGCAGGAGCCCAGCGCAAACAAATCCAACATTTCTGTGTGTTTTCTTCAGTTTCAGTTTCGGTTTTATTTTTTTTTTTCATTTTTTTTATGCGAATTACCAAGAGTGGAAGCAGTGGTGGACGGAGAGAGAACGAGGGGGCGCACGTGTCGCAGTTGACGTTGGCGTCGCAGTCGGCAATTGTTGCACACTGCTTCTTGTTTCTTTCTTGTTTGTTGTGTGCTTCTCGTGCCGTGTCCGTTAATGTTTTCCCATTCTCCTCCTCTCGCCCACCTCCACCACGCTTTCTGCAGTGCAAAAAAGTGAAATGCGGAAATCAACGCGTTGAGAAAATAATATAAAAGATGAAAATTAAGAATAAATAAAGCAACGATTAAAAGAAGTAAATAAATAATAATCAAGAGTAAAACACAGTGAAAAGACGAAGAATTCACGGCGGAAAAATCACGAAATCATCCAAGAGAGTCGAAGGAATACAAAAGATATAAAATACAACAAAAACCAAAACATAAAGCAATCAAAAAGCAACAAACAACAAACCAGCAACAAAAGGTAAGCAACGACTAATAGAAACGTATGAAAACTTAAGGCAGAATATATTGTGTAATGAAGTTGAGTTTCTTGTACGGCCCCGAAAAATAACGGGAATAATACGAACAAGAAGCCAGGGCACACACATACACTGGCATTAACTGAGAACACACACAAGAAGCAAATGCGAAAGTGATACTCGTAGGTGGTGCGATAGGGACGGCGAGTGGCATAAACACACTTCTAATTGTAATTGTTGTCTACTGTCGCTCTGCCGGCGCCTCTGCCGCGCCATTAACCGTTGCTCGACGACGGCACGCCAAGCGAAGTTTACCAGCGAAGAAGAAGGGATAAGACAAAAGGTGGGAGTAGAATTAGGAGAAGCAGGAGAAGTTAGTGGAAAAAGGGAATGGAAATTAAGTCAACTAACTTTGTTTAGTTAGTTATTTCTTTTTTTTTACTTCAGTTTAGTTTTAGTTCTCTTAATATTTTCGCCGCACATTCACTTGATTGTAGAATAATAATAAGTAGGAGAAGGGGAACAGGGTAAGATAACCATTTACTCTGCTCACAAATGAATAAAAACGAAACCAAAGTTAAAAAACAGCAAAAAATTATTTATTGCTGTTTGGGCTATGGTATTAAATATTTATTAAAACTCGTGTTTGCGTGTTGCCAAAACTTTGTTTTTCTTTGTGTTTCTTTAGTATTATTATTACTATTTTTATTTGTTTATTGCAAAAATAATAAAGGGGCTTTCTCTTAGTTTGTTCTTTTATTTATTACATTTTTTTTGTTGCATAAAGTGTGTCAGCTTAACAACTTTTGAAACCGCAATTATGTCAGGAAGTGGATACAAAAAAATAAACTACAATTGTTTGCTTTCTGAGCGCAACACACACACTTACACCGGCGCACTTTGCGGTTGCATAAGTGTCAACCGCAATACGAACAGTTTGACAGCCACAGCAACAGTTTGAAGTTTCAAACTTCAAAGTAAACGTACCAGAGATACGGGCAAACATCCTTAAAGTCAGTCCTCAGTAAATATGCATCACCAGGGCAGGCAAATACATGTCTGCACTTTGAGTTCTTGATTATTTTCGTGTTTTTCGGTATTGTATTTTAAATTTAATTTAAAAGATGTGATTACATAGGTATTTAACCTTAATCATTGGCAGTTTAATAACAATGTCTTAATGTATGATACTAAAGGAATTTTGCAATATAGAATGAAGTGAATTGCATTTTCCATTTATTTCAATTATCCTTGCAAACTTCGGGTCATTTGAGGCTACACTGTATACGGGATTAAAGGGTGAAGTCACATGGAGCACCTATGTGTGGTCTCCAAAAGGGGGAAGTCAAGGTGGGGAGTTAAGGTGGCAGGCAGTGTCGGGTTAGTTGACATCCACACAAGATTGATATTGATGCCCTTTACACCCACGTCCACACACACACACACACACAAACAGTGAGTCACGGGAAATGGGAAATGAAGAAAACTACTTAAATATTTAAAGCAATTGCCAGGACAAACGTAGAGATGTGCAAGGAGAAGAGCGATAAAGCCAAGTGTAGAAAGAAAAAGAGAGAGATAAAGACAGAGAGGAAGATAGGGAACGTGAAATTGAATGGTTCCGCTGTCTCCTGCGGAAGTCCTTCCCCCGAAAAGTATGCAAACAATGCCAAATGGCACCAACACAAATGCCAAGTAAATCTTTAGCAAGTTCCTTCACCCTCCAGGAACCCCCAACTCCGTCCAAGGAAACGCGAGAAAACCCACAAAAAAAGAAGAATAAATAAAGAACAACGAAATTTACAAGAAGAGCCCAACAATTTTGTCACGCATGTGTAGCTTCGAGTGTGTGTGTGTGGTGTGTGTGTTGTGTCAAATGAAAAGAGCCAAAGCATTAAAAATGTACCAGTAACCACAACAACAAAAATCAAATGCGAAAGCAGACACAGGAATACTCTTAAAGAATTGTTAAGATCCAACGAGAAAGTTCTATGGAATTATGATTATATAGCATTTACAAATGAACTAAAAATTTATCCTTAGCTATTTTATTCCATACTTTTAGATACCATTTTAAAACGATTTAAAATCTTTTGGGATATCCTATAATAATATTGATTATAGAACTAATAATAATAATACAAATCAACTCGCTTTTTATCTTAAATTGAAACATTTAAATCAAGATCTAGTGACCGCCAGAAGAGAAGCTTATAAAAGAGCTTTAGTAGAATTTTTGCACTCACTGTAGAGTCACTAAGATACGCCTTATCGAGGGTATAAAAAGTCCAAGCTGACGGGCGCCGCAATTTGCTGTTAACATAAAATAAATAAAATGAAGCAGACACACTGGCATATATATAAATATAAATATGTATAGAATGCTGCTGGCAGTTGACTTTTAACGCTGACTGTTGTTCCCATTCCAATTTGCACATTTTCACATCCCAGCCTGCTGCTGCTCCACATTTCGTTTGACTTTCTTCGGTCGCAAATTTTCAATTTCACTTTGAGCATATTAAATATATGACAAATCGTAAATAAGATGGTATACACTGTGCGTCAACAAGTAATTAAGGCAGGAATGTTAAAACAAAGCAGAGCAGGGACTAAAGTCTTGTATTTTATACAATTTAATGAATCAATTTGATTTACTTTATATATATTTTTTTCTAACAGAAATATTTATTGAGTTTAAGTCCTTGAGAGCTGATTTACTTTATGGCAGTGCCGTTGCCATTGTTCTACTTTTATTACTCAAAAAGTTAATGAACTGTAAGAGGTCCCTGGGAAGAGAAGTCCTAAAGGCAAGGCAATGGCCAATCAATCAAATGGTATCAGGAAACCCTTAAACAGATTTGCAATATAATGTATATGGGACCTAGAAGAAATCACAGTTCACCTTGTGTGTGGTGGAGGAAGGCCTAAAAAAATATTTGTTGTCGGATTTCCATAAAATATATATGTATGTTAGACACACACACACAAAAAAAAAAGAAATGTGTTTAGCTGCCCGCGTTCCTTTTCTTTTCTTTTTCGCCCTGAAAATGTTTTATGTTTGACATCCGTTGGCATCCGTGCTGCTGCTACTGCTGCTGCCCTGCCGTGACTTCCGTTTCCGCATTGCACTGCGCTGATTTAGCCCCTTTCCTGAGCACACTCCTCCCTCCCTCCCTCACAACTGCATTATCCATTCAACACTGAGCGGAATAAAGGCAGATAGAGGGCGAGATTTATGGGGCACCGGCAAATAATTTAGTTATTTGTATCTTCAAATCGATGTTCAACATATTATTTACATTTCCTACTCAATCCCTGGAAGTATAAACATTAATGTTATATTATTTCCCTCATTTTAATAATGTTAGTCATCAAACAAACATCTGAAAAGACTCTCTGACTTACTAAGCTTTTACCACTACTCAAAATGAAGCTGGAAAATATTTATATGAGACAGTATTCCGATATATCCCATTTTGGCATTTTTCCCGCTGGTTTTCCTCCCTATTAACCGTAATTTATTGCATTTTTTTCCGGGTGCAGGCAGCAGCACTTATCGCTGTACAGTGAAGCCAGAAGCTGGACCACCTGCTGACTTCCTGTCAGATTGTCAGACTGTTTGGCTTTGGCTTTGCCTAGGGATTTGGCTCTTGGTTTTTTGGTTGTTCTCTCTCTCTTATGTTTGGTTCTGGCAGCTCCTGTTCGGTGCTCCCCGCACTAGCGTCCTTGTCCTCGTTGACCTTGTGCCCGAGATCTGGCTGTCGTATCAAAACAAGTTTATTAACATTCCACTGGCTATCAAAGTGGTCCCCTTTGGCCGCCGCTCCTGCTTTTACACTTACTTGGCAGTTTTTGGCAGTGGCAGGTGCCAAGAGGGCGGGGGAGAAGGGATAGAAGAGGACAATTACATATGTAAAATGTGGCTACAGTTTGGCAGCCACTGGCAAAATGGCAAATGGCGGACGCCGTCTTGTCGCCATGAAATGGCTGCGAGAATCCCTATAGCCTGCTTTCCGGCTGAATCTGTACCAGAGGAAGTGCCGCCAAGGAAGCCAGGGTTGTCAAAGCCAAATATCCTTTTGAGACTTATTTTCCATACCTTACAATCGTAGTGAAATCTATTAAATTAATTAATAAATTGCTTGGCAATTAAGGTTGTATTAATATTTCGAATTGGAGTTGGAGTTGGACTTGGGACAACCCTAGATGAAAACTGAAGAAGCTGGAAAAGCCAAAAAGGAAAACCCCTAAGCACGTGCGCAATATGTAAATTTATTTATTTCTCTGTCGTTGCTGCCTGCCTGCTCGCCACTTCTCAGCTTTTTCCAGCATTTTCAGCTCTTTCGGCTTTTTCGGCCCATTCCTGCTCACTTTTTGCCCAGTTTTTGGCTTTTTGGTTTCTGCTCTTCTTGGCCCTTGTGCTTGATGTTGTTTTTATGTTAATGTCCTGGCCGAATGTGAGTGTGTGTATGTGCAGGCGAGCAAACGAGCGAGTGAGCAAGTCCCTAAGCTGTTTGTATGGCAAGCGAGGACTCGGGTCCTTCCCGCTCATGTGCTTGCTCATTGCTTTTAATAGCCAACAACACGCCATGCATTAATTTATGAATTTCGTGTTGTACCCGGCCGAAGGATAGGCGTGGTCCTTCCGCCCACCCGGAAAGCTTTTAGCCAGAGAGCCAAGAGCCAACAAACCGCAGAAATAATTATAAAGAAAGAAAAGAAAATGCAAAACGTTAGGCAGTCTACGAAAAAAATTAAAAGATATTTGCCGATTATAGCCAAATAAATGATTACCTGTAGCTGTCGAACCTTAAGTTATCCCGCTTTGCTTATATATTTAATAACTTTCATTTACACCAAAGTTGTTGGTTAATATTCCCCAAATTCCTGAAAATCTCTGGGTTATTACTACCATAAATGGCTCATATTATAAAAACAATCTAATGCAAAGGACTCAATACAAATTGATACTAAATAAGGATCAATAAAGTGAATGCCCTAA